GCTCTACAGCGATTTTTCACTCCTAGACGCTGAATGCTGTGGTCGCCGAAATCTGCGCAGATTTCGCGAAGATTTGCCAGGTGTCGCTTCCCTTCATTTTGGAAGAGAAAATGGTACTCTGAAGGCACTTTTCTGAAATAAGTAAATTATGATACAGAATAGTTCCAACTTCAAATAACGTTAGTTAGACAGAAATGTTATAAAACTCATCAGCTGTATGAAAACTGTTCAACACATTTTTGAATCTCAAAAACTAGCGAATTCTGACTCAAAAAGATTTATTAATAAAAAGCAAGAAACCCTAAATTCCACCGAAATGAAATTATATATTCTAACAATAAACAGTAAATTTCTAGTGATGAAAAATTCAACTGACAGCAACAAAATACACAAGAAGAAAATGTAATAAAAAAAGGTAGTGAACTCACCGAAATCGCTCTACAGCGATTTTTTTCACTCCTAGACGCTGAATAGCTGTGCTCGCCGAAATCTGCGCAGATTTCGCGAAGATTTGCCAGGTGTCGCTTCCCTTCATTTTTGGAAGAGAAAATGGTACTCTGAAGGCACTTTTTCTGAAATAAGTAAAATTATGATACAGAAATAGTTCCAACTTCAAATAACGTTAGTTAGACAGAAATGTTATAAAACTCATCAGCTGTATGAAAACTGTTCAACACATTTTTGAACATCAAAAAAACTATCGAATTCTGACTCAAACAAAGATTTATTAATAAAAAAAGCAAGAAACCCTAAATTCCACCGAAATGAAATTATATATTCTAACAATAAACAGTAAATTCTAGTGATGAAAATTCAACTGACAGCAACAAAATACACAAGAAGAAAATGTAATAAAAAGGTAGTGAACTCACCGAAATCGCTCTACAGCGATTTTTCACTCCTAGACGCTGATAGCTGTGCTCGCCGAAATCTGCGCAGATTTCGCGAAGATTTGCCAGGTGTCGCTTCCCTTCATTTTGGAAGAGAAAATGGTACTCTGAAGGCACTTTTCTGAAATAAGTAAATTATGATACAGAATAGTTTCAACTTCAAATAACGTTAGTTAGACAGAAATGTTATAAAACTCATCAGCTGTATGAAAACTGTTCAACACATTTGTGAACATTAAAAACTATCGAATTCTGACTCAACAAGATCTATGTATATATAAAGCAAGAAACATTAAATTCCATCTAATGAAATTATATATCCTAACAATATTCAGTAAATTTCTAGTGATGAAAAATTCAACTGACAGCAACAAAAATACCCAAGAAGAAAACTATAATAAAAAAAGGTAGTGAACTCACCGAAATCGCTCTACAGCGATTTTTCACTCCTAGACGCTGAATGCTGTGCTCGCCGAAATCTGCGCAGATTTCGCGAAGATTTGCCAGGTGTCGCTTCCCTTCATTTTGGAAGAGAAAATGGTACTCTGAAGGCACTTTTTCTGAAATAAGTAAAATTATGATACAGAATAGTTTCCAACTTCAAATAACGTTAGTTAGACAGAAATGTTATAAAAACTCATCAGCTGTATGAAAAACTGTTCAACACATTTTTTTGAACATCAAAAAAACTATCGAATTCTGACTCAACAAGATTTATTAATAAAAAAAGCAAGAAACCCTAAATTCCACCGAAATGAAATTATATATTCTAACAATAAACAGTAAATTCTAGTGATGAAAATTCAACTGACAGCAACAAAATACACAAGAAGAAAATGTAATAAAAAGGTAGTGAACTCACCGAAATCGCTCTACAGCGATTTTTCACTCCTAGACGCTGATAGCTGTGCTCGCCGAAATCTGCGCAGATTTCGCGAAGATTTGCCAGGTGTCGCTTCCCTTCATTTTGGAAGAGAAAATGGTACTCTGAAGGCACTTTTCTGAAATAAGTCAAATTATGATACAGAAATAGTTCCAACTTCAAATAACGTTAGTTAGACAGAAATGTTATAAAAACTCATCAGCTGTATGAAAAACTGTTCAACACATTTTGTGAACATCAAAAACTATCGAATTCTGACTCAACAAAGATTTATTAATAAAAAGCAAGAAACCCTAAATTCCACCGAAATGAAATTATATATCCTAACAATAAACAGTAAATTTCTAGTGATGAAAATTCAACTGACAGCAACAAAATACCCAAGAAGAAAAACTGTAATAAAAAAAGGTAGTGAACTCACCGAAATCGCTCTACAGCGATTTTTTTCACTCCCTAGACGCTGATATGCTGTGCTCGCCGAAATCTGCGCAGATTTCGCGAAGATTTGCCAGGTGTCGCTTCCCCTTCATTTTGGAAGAGAAAAATGGTACTCTGAAGGCACTTTTTCTGAAATAATCAAAATATGTTACAAAATAGTTCCAACTTCAAATAACGTTAGTTAGACAGAAATGTTATAAAAATTCATCAGCTGTATGAAAACTGTTCAACACATTTGTGAACATCAAAAACTATCGAATTCTGACTCAAAAGGATCTATATATTCATAACCAGAAACCCTCAAATTCCATCTAAATGAAATTATATATTCTAACAATAAACAGTAAATTCTGAGTGATGAAAAATTCAACTGACAGCAACAAAATACACAAGAAGAAAATATAATAAAAAAAGTAGTGAATTCACCGAAATCGCTCCACAGCGATTTTTTTCAGTCTTAGACGCTGAAAGCTGTGTTCGCCGAATCCCACGCTTTCGTCCGTCTTGGAAAAAAACAGCTTTTGGTATTTCTGGTCGATTCTCCACATCGATTGAAATTTAAATGATACAACGTATCCTAGAAACCCATCAAATAATTGATAATTTTAGAAAAAAAGTACCTGATTGTCGAATTTTTGAACGGAACTCTCGATGTACAACGCCATTTCAATCGTGTAACTCGATAAACAGCTCCATCATCTTTGACTCTGAATATCTGAAATTTGAACGCAAATTCTAAAATTCTGTGCACCCTGAAAACATATTCGAATAAATTTAAAAAAGAGAGAGAGGGAAAACTACATGGGAACTGCATAAACAACAAGGAAGTTTCAAAAATGCAACGAAATATACGACGTTTTTGGTCAGCGAGGGAGTGTGGCTTTACGGTCGCTAGGTAAAGTGTCTTTTATAAGATTTCACGGGAATTCATGTATTGAAAAACTGAACACATTGAGTCATAATTCAGTTTGATATCTTGGAGATTTTTTCCCGACTTGAAAGGAGAGGAAGGCGGGGCAGGGCGAGGCGAGGCGCGTAGCGTGTGCGTTCGCGGCTCATGGCGAGGGTTCAGTTAAAAAGCCAGCAATAATTTAGAGAGCTTTTTTTTGCTCGTTTTGTATCTACTTTACTGATTTGCAATGCAAACATGTAAAAAAAAATCAACACAAAGTCAAAAAAAAAGGCGATAAACAAGCTCTTTAAGTTATCGCTGGCAGGCGGTTGAACTGAACCCGTGCGAAGAACCGCGAACGCACAAGCTATGCGTCCCGCACACTTCTTTGTCTCCCTCGCTTTTCAAGTCGGAAAAAATTAACTATTACGAACTCCAAGTTGAGGGAAAAATAACAATGATGTACCATGCGAAATCCCGAAATGAAGGTAAACTAAAGAGGAACACTAAGTCAATTCTCCATTCTCCATTTGTGTTGTGAAATGGTGGATCACTGAATTTCAAAGAGTCAAAGGATCTGCTAACCCATGAAAATGCAAGACCCAAAGGTAGAGAAATATTCAGAGATACAGGTAATTCTGAAAGAAAAATATTATTCTCCTGAAACATAGTTTTGTGGTATTAATGAATTGCAACGTCGAGCAAGATTTCCAATCAAGAAGTTCGAAAGAAATTTTGGATCAGGAGGATGTTTAAACTCTACACAAACCAGCTAGGAAGAACTTCAAGAGTCAAAGATCTTCTCTGAAGACTGAGTAGAACTTGTAAACTTGAAACTCAATCAAAACACTACTGCTTTTTAGGACAGAAAATGATTAACCCCCTCACAATATTTATCCCTGTCTTCACAGTATTCCAATAATGGTCATTTTGCGGGTACGCCAATAAGTGTTCGGATAATATGTATTTGACGGAAGGTAGCAATTTGTCAAGTAACCTTGGATAGCTCAGGGTCCGCCAAGTCGAGCTGGTAATAGTGGCAGCACATCGCGTTATAATATTGCAATTGATACCTATTTCCGACGGGCGAGGAGACCTCCATTTTGGTTTTGTCAAGGACGATTTACTCAATTTCGCGTGTTGTTGTAATTCCATTCGATTCGCTTCTGTGGACAATTGAAATAGACCGTGGAAAGTCTTCCAATTAACTTCTCAAGTCAAGTGCATAGCGTTTCATGCCAAAAATAGGAAGGGCTATTATCTCATTAGTTTTTGGAGCTCGTTTACTGATAATAAATCTAAATAGCTGAAAAAAATATAGGTTTTTTTCAAGAAAATATGTTCATTTTTTTAGTACAGATTCTAAATTAAACAAAAACTAAAAAGTTCGCTTGAATTTCAGCATTGCAACGCTGTTTAAAGACATCGGGCGGTAAAAACGGGGCTTTAGGTTAGAGTATAATCTTGTAGAGTTTTTTATTGCAAATCGAACGGTATACTTGAAAATGAAGCTCCTATTTTTGAAGAAAAAACAATTCAAAGTTGGAGAAAGAAAAGTTTGAGTTCTCCCCAAAAGGCGTTTTGCAGTGAAAATGCTCTATGGAGAAAAGGAATCGCAATTTTTATGTTTTTTGCTTTTTAAATTTTCAACTTTCAGCTGGATTTCACTTCATTCTGATTTCTTTTTTGCAGAGGACACCTATTCAGCAAAAAAAATTACTTGAGAATAATTTCGAAAAAAACTTATTCGAAGCTGAAAAAAAGAGTTATCAATTTCATACTGCATTTTGTCACGATTTATCGAAGCTTTTTTTGCCACGAATCCCCTTCAAATATGAGACGCATAACTGGTAAACAGAGTTCTTCAATTGTACAGTCGGCAAAACCGAAAAGACAATTACGGTAACATCAATACGAGGCAGTTGACTGCCCATAATAGGATGGCAACACGGTAATCGGCCATACAAGTTCTCGACAAAGCGGCGTCCTTGGCGATATTTCCGGAGAAGACGAGCCGACCGTCTTGTATTGTTTCAGCGACCTCAACCCGCCGTGAATTGCCGCAAAACAGACGAGCCGGGAAAAGTCGGTTGCAGAGTAATTATAATTGGCGAAGACGCGTTGCGCCACACTGTTTCTGTCGCCGGGTTTTGAATGGAATGAGACTTTCTGGCGACATCCACTCTGATGCAACCATATTGTTCAATAATAAGGGTCATGTTTATCGTAAAAAAAAAACTGAGCATATGATTTTTAAAATCATTCCATCACAGATTTTTTTGCAAAATTTCACAAAAGCACAGTGTTTTTGACTTTTTGCTAATCAATTCTTTGATTATCAGTCTTCGGAAGTGATTGAATATAAAGAGATAAAAATCTGTCAAGAAACCTTCATGCTGACTATTTCTTCGTAAGTAACACTGTCTCTGTAACTTTCAAAAACAATGGGTAAGAAAATTTTAATCTTTGATTTCAATGAAACTTCATCCAGTGTGGTAACTCACCATCAGAAATGCGGACGCAACTTTTTGAGTTATCTCTACTTAGTGTAGCCGAGCTACGGTAGGCAGGTTGGCACCTGCGTATCTGAGCGCGACTTGGCTTCTAAACGCGCGCGACTTGGCTGAGCATTAAAGAGCTTTTACTATGCAAGGATATATATAAATCGATAGGTAATACAATTCCAGGATCTTTCTCAATACATACCGTCTCGTATTACTGCGGAATTTTGTGAGTTATGGTACTTTTTGTGTTTGAAACATCGGTTTTTCGGCTACCCTGGCCGTCGCCATAGAATCGCATCGTTTTTGCTCCTGTGGAATATGCCTTTGAGTATACTTTAAACGATTCCTTGGGAAAAATTTTGAGTTTCTAAACCTAACATCTTGAGATTTCACTCCGAACGCGCGCAACTTGGCCCTTGGCGGCCAGGGTTGGACGAGGTTCAAGATTTTTCACATGTTTCTTTAGTTCAATATTGACGTAAATTTCTCAGAATGTTAAAAAATGTATAATCTATGATTGTTTTCACTCGAAATCAAGAAAAAGTGATTTTTTTCATAAAAAAAGTTACAATAAAATCGAGCTCGCGCGTTCTACAAAATCATATAAAATGTTGAAAATTGTCTCATTTATAAGCTGGGTAAAACATATTTCTATAAACTTTGTGAAAATAAAATTTTAAAGTTTTGAATGTAGCTAAAAAAAGGCGGGATTTTTCTCAAAATATTCAAACGAGCCTTTTTTAAAGAAAAAACACTACCTTTTTGATTTTGAAATTGAAATTCTGGTATCATTCGAATAGAAGACAGATGCGTCATGGACCTCAAATCCGACCTGTGTCATCAGTGGTCACCGCCGCCGCTGCCTGTGTACCGTAAAGAGGTGACGTTTGAGAGCCAACCTGTGCATCCAACGCGCAAATGAGCAATTACCTGCGCATTGTTATTAAGCATACCGAAGCATATGAGTGGAAAATTCATAAATTGCTCCAAATGGATTAGGATGGGCCTTTTTTTAACCCCAAACAAAGCTTTTTAGGAAAAGAAGGTCACCTCTGATTTGCAGAATTTTTTTATAAAATAGATTTTTCTGGGAATTAGATTATTTTTTTCAGAACATGTTGGTAGTTTAAACTCGCTACAAGACGGTTCTGGGATATTCGAAAAAGTTTCAAAAAAGAGTACATTGAAAATCAAATAATCGAATTTGAAAGTCAAGTCTCCAAGATTTGAAAAATTCATTTTTATAACGGTCGAGGATTTTTTTCCTAAGAAGTAACTACCAATAAGGCGCAAAATAAAAAAATTACAGATTTTTTTATCATCGTTTTGACTTCAACTTCTGACAATTTTTTTGAAAAATTTTTCAATATTGTCTATGACACATTTTTGGCTTCTAGAAGTACAGCGAACCTTTATTCAGAAATTTTAAGCTCTAGTCAAAAAATTTCTGAAATTTGTGCAACTTTCCGTTCTGGTGAGGTGAATCTTGAAAGCTCAACTCAAGATCTAAGCGGCACCATATGATCCTCACACAGCAAAAGGCGAAGCTTTCAATATTTTCTACAATCATTTTCTACGACTATGACAAACCTTTATCTCAATTTTTGAAATATTCAATCGAGCTGATACGATTATTCATCTTCAGAAGGAATGACTATCCTGAACAAAAAAAATTCTCGGGTCTCGACCGTAGAACCCAAGGGAAAAAAAAAATGGAATCGGTACATTTCTTTTTGAAAAAATCATGTTCATTCCAAGAAAAAATGTCACGAATGTCATTTCAGTGACTAAGGAAACACCGAAACCCGGCAATGGCTCAAAAAAATCCGTCAAAAGGTGTGTAATCGTTGACAATCGAAGAAAAAGTCGGCGAGCGGCGTCCTTTTCAACCGGCGACAATGGTGGCGTGAAGGTAGGCAGAGAGACTGCAGGTGCGTGACACCGAAATTAGCGGTTGCAGTTCCGGAGGCGACAAATTTTCAAATTTTTGTCCTTGTAGGAAAGAAAGCCGATTTCGCGCACGGTCTTCCGTCCGCTGCTCTTCAATTTTCGACACCGGCGTGACTCTTTTTCTAATTGAAGGGTTGGCCGTTCTCCGGATTTCGCCAAACCAAAAAGATCTTCTTCAATTGTTCCGCATTTTAAGGGAAAGCTCGTTTTGCACAACATTAGGAGCATAATTGTGGTTGTCCTAGGAGAGCTAAATGGTTCTTTTTTCTTCCATTTGGAGAGTTTTGCTATAAAAGGCCTTTTTCCTTGTTTCTTGAGGAATGGTAAAAATCATCTACAGCTTGGCATAATGACTAGAAAACTACGACTAGATTAACAAATCTGAGGTAACAGTACCGTCAAAAAAGATACGGAAAACTCTGCTTTTCTGGTAGGAGTTTAATCTTCCTGATAGTTTCCGAATCTGCTTTTTTTCTGTGAACTGAAACTTTATCATCATGATAAAAATAACGAAAATCTTCAAAAAGTTCAGAAAGATGAAATCCTCACATTTAATTCGTGACCGGAACCCCGTTTTTTCGTAGCTTTTCAGACGGTACTGTAGATTGCATTCTTCTCAAAAATAAAAAAAAAGCTGGAAAGATCGAGAATTTTAGGAAACAATTCTCGAAAAAGTTTTTTAAAAACTTGCCAATTGTGAAATTAAGGCCTCGTGGGGAAATATTATTTCGCAAAAAACCTACTTTTGATTGATCTTTGAAGCATTGATTTTGATCGAAAACTCAATTTTTTGTTGTTTCAGAATATTGTCCAAAAAGCGATTTGAGCGTTTTAGTTCCTTCTGAACCGAATTTTTTCTGAAACCCTCTTTTTTTGATTTTTTTTTCCTCATTTTTTCATTAAATTAGGATATAAAAATTTTTTTGTTCACATTGGTTATTCAATAAGGTCAAAATTTTTAAAACATACAATGGCTTTTGAAATCAGAAATAACGTTCCCAAAGGGACTCTGTAATTTTTTTATTTTTTTGAATTCGACCTCCATTCGTTTCTGCGCATGATTAAATTCATTAAAAAAAATAGCAAAAAAAACCTTTTTTTATATAAAATCTTCCACAAAAAAATTTTTCGATTTTTTTAAATCATTATTATCTTTATGACGATTTTTGCAAGATGGAAAAAAATTTGTCTGGAAGGAAAAAAATTTGAATGAAACAGCAAGTTCAATCTAAGTACTCATTCAAACTTCCCACCTCAACCTCCTTTTTTCGGGACCTTCTTGAATGTCGTACGCTGAAGCTCCGCCCAGAAGGCAGTCGGAGGCGTGTCTGCGCCAATCAACGAATCGCTTTGGGCGCCGTTTAGTGCTGGCGATTCTCCCTCTTGCCTCAATAACTTCCATTTGCACCCCTCCAAGACTACGGTAGACATGTCGCTACTCGATCCGAGGCAATTTCTTCTACCTGCGCTTTATTTGGATCCTGCAACTCAAGCGCTTCTACTGAAAGCTTCCCAAGGTGGCCCGTCTGCCTTCAAAATGGGCATGAATCCTTCATTCCGTATTTCTGATCTGCTTGAGACGCCTCGGAGTGCCGCCAACACCAGCTCTGATCTTGGTTTGTTTCGATCCTCTGTCAAGTTCTACTAAGAACGAGAGCACTTTTCCAATTCTTATTTTTGAACATTCTTGCGAAATTTTTTTTCCAGAATCGGTAGTTATTTTTTTTTAACAAGTTATAAGTGGTTCTGATCTTATAAATAGGATGAGTTTTGTTTTTCAGAGCCTTCTCCACGAACCACCTCCTCGGATTCTCTTTGTTCACCGCGACTAGTGAGCCCATGTACCGAGAGATCTGGGAACGTTAGCCCGAGTGGTTTGGGCTCCAAGAAAGCTCGAAAAGCTCGGACGATCTTCACCGACAAGCAGCTCCAAGAGCTGGAGACAACCTTCGAGAAGCAGAAGTACCTCTCCGTCCAAGATCGGATGGAACTTGCTCACAGGATGGGACTAACGGACACTCAAGTCAAAACGTGGTACCAGAACAGGAGGTTAGATTTTTTTCTTATTCCAGAAAGTTCTTATAAATTTTCTGAAAAAGGCTAGTTTTGGATCTCAATCTGAAATCTTCTGTTTCGAAATAGGAAATTTTGTGCTTTTTTCTCTCGCGACTCAGGTTTGAAAAAGACGAATCTCAGCATATTTTTGAGAGTAGTCCAGGACATATAAGCAGCTTATACTGTACATCGTAAAGCTTCAGAAAACTAAAAAAAAAACTCAAACTGGAAAAATCTGAAAGTTCAAAAACATTAACCGCTCTCAGATAATCAAAGCAACAGGCATCTTCACCCTTTTTTTCCCGGTTTCGTGCTCCTCCAGTGTGTGTCAACAAAAGAGGATTTGTTCACAATTGAGTCTAAACACGCCACTTTGGGCTAATTGTAGTGCATTAGGGTGCGCATCGAAATTTATCTTAATCAACGCCTCAAGCGTACCCCTTAGGTCCAAACCGATTCAAAGCTTTCAACGAATACAAGATGCAATTTTCACTCGTTGGAGTAACTCCAAAAACGGAAATTCTCTTGCAGGACCAAGTGGAAGCGGCAAGCGTCGGTGGGAATGGATCTTCTGAATGACGCTGGCAACATGGCGGCTGTACAGCAACTGTTGCGGACTAATCCTTACTGGGCTAATTATTTTGCTCAAAATCCTTCAATCGCTGGTTCCTTCGCCTCGAGGCCGTTCATGAATCCTCTCTGCATGCCGATGAGCCCTCCTAGAACCCTGGCTCCAAATTCTTCTTTGTCATTGCTTTCTTTCATCGCCGATAGCTCCAAAGATCCTCAGTCAGAAATCAAAACGGATAACCCACCAGAGTCCCCTCAAAAAGATACCAAATAAGCTTTTTCTTCCATTCGAACACACAAACCTCTGCTTGATTCTCATGCTTTATGTTTTCAAATAGTCCGGTTATTATGCATTTTAATCTCAAGTTGTCATTTGAAGTCTTGTACAGAGTATTTATGATCTCTTTTTGTTTCATTTCTCCAAATGAATGAAAATATTCTTGTTCAGTTTCGCCGTTTTTTTGCAAAAAAAGGAGAAATTCGTACAGGTGAAAGCGAGGCGCGCAATCTGTCGACAGCTGTCCCCCAACGTTTAACAGTCTCACGGAAATTACTCGGCCATCAGCGTTCTCAAGGTCTCTTGTTGTTGGTGACAGCTTAGGGAGTTTATATGCTCTACCAGAATGAGTTTGATATCTTTTGATATGATTTTAAAAAATATTCCCGTTTTGCGAGGTTTCCTGAAAAAAGTCAATCAGATAGAAGCAGTAGCCTTCTGTGTTGTATACACACGGTCGCACTTCGCAAGAAGGCGCGAAGAACTGGAAATTAGGAGAATATGGCGCTGCGTTTGATGGAGTCGATTCCAGATCATACTCCGCCAAATAGGCCGGACGCGCGTAATGGCGCCAATTATTGACACATTTGCTTTTGTAAAACTTTAATCGATTTGGTTCGCTTTCTCCGAGTCAATTGCAAGACGTTGGAGAACTGTGTCGGAGTAGCGGAAAGAGGCCGAAATTAAATTCGTCAAGACCGAAAATGGTTCTAGCAGAATTTAGAAAAAAAAAGTGCTGGAACAGGAGATTTCAAAACCCTTCGACAGTTTTTTGGCTTGATGCGATGTTGGATTTCTGAAATCTTGTATAATTTATTCAACGCTTCTCACAAAAAAAATGACATAACTTGCTTCTCTGATGATCAGTGATGAATTGGGTCCTTCAAACCTACTTAATTCATTCTTTCCAATCTGAAAAAAACTGCCTTGAAAAAAAGATCCAAGGATTTTGGCTTCATCTTCACCCTTTGCTACAGATATTCTGGACTAATCCCATGAGCGATCCCTAATTAATTTCTTGAGCAAAAAGTCCGAAACCTGGCTACGGTAGCTAACAGAGGCCAAACGCCCGACGCGCAATTTCGGGTGTTTATGGTCGGCGTATAGCTATTCAGAAGCTTCAAGTCGGAAAATTGAAAGACAATGGATGAGAATAGAGCTCCCCGTGAGCTAAACTTCTTTCACCTGACGTGTTGCAGCCTATTCTGCTAGTTTCTTGTGCAATTTTCACTCGAATGCTTTTGAAAAAGATCACGGATGAGCGCAAATGAAACATTGGCACAAACTTTTTCGAAGCGTTTTTTCAGCTCTTTGAAACTAAAACTTTAGTTTGAATCCAATGAAAGTGCTGTGAAAAAGTTTGGCTCATTAAAAATTTTTTTCAATTTTACCTTCCAGTTTTATTTTTGAAAAAAAAACTATGGCTTATGATCTTTCAACTTTAACACATGACCACTTAAGAAAACACGGAGAAACAGTAAACGCAACAAAGAAACTGAAAACTGTATTCCTAAAGTTAAAACTTGATTCTGAATTCGACGCTAGGCAGTAACTCATTCAAACGTGTATGTACTCTGGAAAATCGAATCACCACTTTTTTTCTACTTTTATGGGAGGCAGAAATATTTTTTCCAGATTTTTATCATTGGTTCAAATGGTATTGCTGTTCTGCAAGCGTAACACCTTTTGCTTGAACTTTGTGGAAACTGACTTTTTTTTTATCACTAGATGATATTACCGTTTCAAAAAGTTTTCAATTCGGCTTTTTGTGAGGTAATGTTTGGAATGAAAGTTTCATTGAAATATTTTTTCTTTAAGGGCTCCAGTAGATGATTAATGATCCTCTAGACACGAACGTTTCAAAAAAAAGTTTTAGAAAAGTTTCAGTTGAAGCTCTTTTTTTTCGAAGGATTCTTCTTCCGGTGTCACTATTCGTGTCCAGGTGACACCCGGAGGAAATTAGCCAATGAAGGAAGCTGAGCGGAAAGAAAAGTGAATGGAGTACAGAAGGCTGAACGTCGGATTAGCGTCGGCGATTTGCCAGCGTCGATTGCCTTATTAGCAGGTGGCAAGTGGCATCCTGTAAATGTACACGCAAATTTAATCATTGTAATTGACCTCTTGTTCGACGATGTCCAAAAAATCTCTAGATTTTTGTTTCGCTGGAGAATTCTTTTGGAGCGGTTGCTATGTAAAAAATGCTGATAATGAATTTAGGAATTTTAGAGGGGTCCCTGTAGGGGTTAGAAGGGGAAACAGCCTCTATAGGGGTCGAATGAGGGGTCTTTATAGAGGTTAAAAGTCTGACCCATTAGCCCCTAAAGCTAAAGTGGACCCTATGGGGGTTTTTCAATTTCAAATTCCCATGGAAATGCTTCTTCGCTGATAGTTCCCAGCAATTCTCGAATAGCGTGCTGAAAATCACAGAGACCTCTTTTGCAAGCTTTAGGGGCCCCTATAGGGGTTGGTATAGTGGCCCCGAAGTCATATCAGGTTCAAGGAAAGAGCTTGAGCAGCGACTCTTTCACTTTTCTCAAAGTTTACAGCATAACCTTCCTGTTTTGAAGTATTTTTTAGCATGAAAAAGTCGTTCTGTAGCGCATTTTGTCTTCAATCTCATTAATCGAAACTGAGAACTTTTATTTGTGTCTTTAGGCAACAAAGTAGATTAATAAGCCGGAATGTTGCCACGACCCGGAAGACTAATTATGATTCGTCCTTTTCCTTTTATGGTTGCGAATAAGACTTGACGATGAGCAATAATAATTATCCGCCACTAGTGCCGTTATCGGCCCATTTTCTCTGGTCACATCATTTTCTTGAATTTCTTTGTTGAGCATAGGGAAGATACATTTTTTTTACGGTGAGGAACAGACGATTTTTCAAATTTTAATGAAAAAAATTGGGAAAAGTTGTTCATTGATGGAAACTGTTGGTTGGTTGGTTAAAGGTGGAGTTTTCGAAAAAAATCTTGAAAGTTTGAAGAAATTTTTTTAGATTGATTACATATGATTGAACTGACGCTTGGAAGCAATTTCTTCAATTATTCGATTTTTCAATGGTCGTTCCATCAGAAAATATATATTTAAAACTGATTAACTTTTTTTTTTTCAAAACAAGGTAGAAGTTTTTGAGCTTCCATTAATACTTTTTCGATGAAGGCATGAAACATTAAAGAATCCAGTTTTTCATGTTAAAAACCCCTATCCATGGAAAATCATATCAGCTGTCACCAATAAACTCTTCTGGGGTTACTGTTCATCCAATCGTCTGTCAATGAACAAGCTTTATCCATGAGCAAATCAACTCGCCCTTGATTGGAGGATCGTGCAAAATGGGCAGTGATCCTGGTTTTCCGGCGCCGGATTCACTGCCGGTTGAATGACCGCAAAGACGCTAATTCATGTGTAGTTAACAACAAAACCGAGGCGCGTCGCTATTATGCACTCATCGGCCACTAACCTCGTTTGCACTGGGTCCAACCACAACGTTTTCTTTGTCTTGGGGTCATCTACACGATTCCGTGAGCATCACTGCTTTTGGAACTTGACTCCAGTCAAAATGAGCTTTCTCAACTTTCAAAAAAAAAAAAAAACAAAATGAGCTTTCTCAACTAAGTTCACACAAAATGAAGCCAAAAATAATTTTTTTTAAAAGCATTTTTTGAGAACTGAAAAAAAAAGTTTGAACTTTTTTCATTTTCTAAGACTAACACGTCTGAGTTAAGTCTATTCACCACCGATTTCAGAAAAAAATCGGTAATATGTTGTTTTCGAGAAATTTATTATCCCAAGCTTGTGGAGATAATTTTTTTCAAAGAAGAGGTAAAAAAAAAGTATACCTCTTCCCGAAACCGAAAAGAGCATTAGGTACTCGGATCAACGCTTTTTTTTTCAATATCCAGTCTTCTGCAAAATCCCATGTCAAATTTGAAACCTTCTTAAGAAATTTCAAAAGCAGAACTCAATTTTTCAACTAATGCTCATTTTTGCCAGTTTTTTTTCACACATGTCAGTTTTTTTTTAGCCAAAGCGTCCAATTACCAAGCCAATTACTGTACTTGCTAGGATCTATTGTTGTGGAATGTTAACGAACAGGTGAGATGTTAACGAGCCAAAAAAGATAACGATCAAGGGCGGATGATTGGCAGCAACAATCGGCGTAAAACGATTTACCGGTTGCGCCACCCTGACTGTTTGCCCACAACGACCACCTGCTGCACCTTCCGCCACTTTTAATAGCTTCAAATTGTATTCTGCAACACGGGCTAATTGAAATCTGTTTATTTTGAGGAGTAAAATGAACAAGGGGAATGACAATATAAGTATGACTATTTGGAATCTATCGGAAGGTACAATTTAATTTTCTTAAATCTTATGTTAGTAAAACAAAATACTTGCTCAAGTTGAGGTAAGAGAAATGATCAAAAAAACTTTGCTTTTTTTCAAACGTTCCTTCAAAAAAATCATGAAATTATCAAGCTATAAATATAATGGAAAAGGATGATAAAAGTCATTCCAGAACATCTAGTAACGAAACTAAATTGAAGATTTTTCAAAGACTGGCAAAATTTTGAGTAAGTGCGTTTTTTGTGAACTGACTTCTTTCAGTTCTAAGCCATCCCTTCAATCTTGCTTCAAGGTTTCGAAAGTCTATTCTAGTTTAGTACAATAAGAATCGTGACCTAGTACAGTAAGAATCGTAACCATTTCTGTAAAATAAAAATCGTATCTCAAGAAGTTGACAAAGTATATTAAAGCATGAACAAACAAAAAAGTTCCCCGTTTTTTTTTTGTGAAAGATGGAATCACGATTTAAAATCGTGAAGTCTTTCAATCCGTACTGGAAACATCAAGAGGAGAGGAAGGAGATGAACACTGAGACGTCGGCTGCACGACCACAGGAACAGAAGTCGTCGGCAAGCACATCCCCATCGGCGGCATCGTCATCTGACCCATCGGCAACGACGACAAGTAGGTCGACCAGAACGGATTGCTGCGTATGAGGTTCTGGACGGCGACCAAGTTGCCGGGATCGCTCAGAAGATCAACGCCTGACGTCGCCTGCCTCTTCCACTTGGTTCTGCAATTTAGCACGTCTTCGGGGGTTCGATTCTTGTCGAAAAGTGGTCTTTGCGCGTCGCCACTAGAGCATAATTCATCGTGGAGAATTCCCGCTCAGTTACGGTAGCTTTGTAATTGCTCGCCTTCACAAAAGCGCCATCGTGTATTTTTTTCTTCCGTACGCTACGCCGGTTTCGCAGTCAGTTATGAATAACAACTACTTAAGAACTTTGCGAATTGTCGTTTGAGTGAACTTTGGAGTTTGCAAAACAGAAATATCTTGAATTCACATAAAGAAAAGATGATTGAATTCTGAAGAGTTAATCTTCAATATTCTTAAGGCTGTTGACAAAATTGATATTCAAAAAAAGTCTGGGAAGAAGTTGTCATCAATGTGTTGGGAAAAAACGCAGTTTGAGTGAAGCTTTTATGAGTTTTTTGAAACAGTAAACTGCTCTTGATCGAGAAAAGATCATCTAACTTTTTGTACTGTGTTATATTGAAAAAAAAATCAGACTTTATTGCAGTTTCGATAAGGAATTTGGAAAAAGAGAAATTTTTGAATCTGCCAAGCTATTTTTGAATAATGGTCTATATTCACTTGTTTTGAATAATTAATACTTTTTACTGCTTTTTCAAACAAAAATTCAAAAAGTTTCAAAGTTTTTCAAATATTTCTTTCTCAAAAAGTTCAGTCTAGGATCGAAAACTTTCATGGCTGGCTTTTGTCGAACTTTTCTCAGGATTGTATTTGAAAACTAACCATGTTGGTTTCGGGTCGGCAATGCGATTAACTCTCAAAATATGTAATTTTAACCGTCATAAAGAGGCAAACAAGCCCACTTGAGAGGTGCGCGGACAATTGGGAATTAACCTGGCCTGCTACAATAATCTTGTCGGATTGTCTGGCGCAGGAGGGAAAAACGAATGTTGAGACAGCGCATGGGTCGTTATTAATAAGGGATGGAATACAAGATCAAGCTATGTGAGGGCCGCCGCTCGAGACACTAATTGAATTTTCGGCCCTTTGATGCCGCATATTACCCCAATTATTAGCCTTTTTTTCTGGCTGCTATCAAAATACAGAAACAATGAGGCTGCTCATTTTTTTCAGGATTGAGAGGTCATAGAAAAACGGAAAAAAGGAGAGTTTGCATTTTTTTTGGAATTATTTCCGACGTTTCGTCCAAAAATGATTGTGAGCCTTCTTTACTAGTTAAAATCAAAGATTATCAATGGTTCATTTTCCACTCCAATGGTTGACTTTTCCTAGAGCTGGAAGCTAGAAAGAGCTGGAAAACTAAACTGAACGATCCGCTCAAAAATAATCCAAAACAGACCTCCGGTTTTGGTACCAAGTTTTGACTTGGGTGTCGGAGAGGCCCATCCTGTGAGCAAGTTCCATCCGATCTTGGACGGAGAGGTACTTCTGCTTCTCAAAAGTCGTCTCCAACTCTTGGAGCTGCTTGTCGGTGAAGATCGTCCGAGCTTTTCGAGCCTTTTTCGAGCCCAAAGTGCTACTCGGGCTGACGTTTCCGGACCTTTCTGTGCATGGACTCGTCAGTCGCGGGGAGCACAGCGAGTCCGAGGAGTTGGTGCGAGGCGACGGATCTGAAACCCCTAATCTTCGTATTCAGTTTCAGTTATCGTGACCTATTGCCCCGGAAAAAGAACTTGTTGGCACGGTAATCCTCTAAATACTATCATTTTCCCTACGCACTCACACACGTTGCAAATTGACTCGGATTGTTCTACGCTTTGCAACGCACTGTAGGTGAGGCAGAAATCAAGTACGGTTGAATGAGCTTGTGAGATGCGAAAAGTGGATATTCAGTTTACCGCAAAATCTGTCTGACTGAGTGATTCTTGTTTGTTCTCCACAGTTTTGGATTTTAAAAGTTTCAAATCATTGATAGAATGAAAAAAATAGAAAAAAGATCATTTAATTTTTATAGCTTTTTTTTTTGATGGAGTATACTCCAATTACCATTGACTCAAGGAGAAAAAAAATTCCCAAACGAAAAGATCAAAAAATTTGCAAGCAGCTTAGAAAAATCTTTCTTTTCTTAGACTAAAAGCGATCAAAATTGTTCACTTTTTTCATACTGACAAACGTGAAAAATTGAAAATGAATTTTATGAAGGCAAGGCTCGTTTAAAGTTGAGCCCACAGTATATTTAAAAAGTCACTTTTTTTCGAAAAATGTTCAACCTTGTTCGACTGGCAGGCTTTTAGCCGTGGTAGGAGTTTGAAGCAGGTCAGAAATCCGGAATGAAGAGTGAAGTCCCATTTTACCGCCACCAGAAGACGTGCTCTGAGCTGACGACTGCAGAAGCAAAGCCTGTGTTGCTGGATCCAGATAGAGGGCCGGAAGCAAGAATTGCCTGGGGTCGAGCATCGACATCCTACAGTATGCCGAGAGAGGAAGTGTGGCGGCGAATTAACTTGAATGGTCGGTAGCCACGCACTAAATGTCGCGCAAAGCGAGGCGATGATTGGCGCGATGCGGACCGCCCCGCTGGAAGTTAACGCTCAGACAATGATGGGCGGAGTCAATTACATGCCAATTGGGTGGCGTTCACACGTCCTCGCGTGTAGCCTGAGCTGAGTTCCGGTTTGTCTTCGATGGTCTTGGAGGAGTCGAGACGAGATTGGACCAAGGGAGAAGCTCGTAGACAACTTGGAAAAGTCTGGGAATGAGCTCTCTGGGAAGATTTCTAGGGACCACCCACCGGACAGGTTGAAGGAAATTGATGAAACATGTTTTGGACTTTTGTTCATTTTGAGAGCTTCTCAAAACGTTTTACCCATGAAACTTAGTTTTGAACTTATAAAGTCTGCAGAGATTCGATACAACGAAGGCAAACCTCAGTCATTACCGTAGTCTGCTTTAGCAAAAATTTTTGATCACTTATCAACTGATCAGAGAAGTCAGTTCAGCCAACATATATCTCGATCAAAATGAAGGAATATTTATCATAGTAAAAAATTTGGCTCACTCAAAATTACTGAAAGGGGCTGGAAGTAGAAAAAAAATAGACCTTCTATCTCATAGGGGGGAGAAAATACGCAAGCAGAAGCTCAAACGCTTGAGCATTTTTTTGAGCACATTCACGGATTTTTTTTCCTGAGGTGAAAGTTCATAAGAGAAGTCTCATTTATTTAGAAGCTTTCTAAGGCGAAAACGAAGCGATAAGACATATTCAATAAAAAATGCGAAAAATGACGATCCAAGGGTTTTTTTTAGTTGGCACAGTGGTGATGCTTCAAGACGATTTGAATTTTTTACCCTTCTCGCAAAAAAGGGCAAAACTAACAGACCTCATGGTTCCGGCAAGAAAATGTCTTTCTTCTTTTTTCATTACGTTGCATCTGCCCTCTTGAAGGTAATTTTAGTGATCCGATTAATTTTTGCCTGAAAATCCACTTTTAGACTTTTCGCCGTTACTGTGGATCAAAATGAGCTCTATGAAACTTGGTAAGCTTGTATTTTAGTTTTTTCTGAATGAACAATATTTGACTCACTTCAAAACTACGGAAGTCAAATCTACGGTGGAAATATTATAAGTTTGACGGTCATGGACAGGCTTTTTTATAGGCAATAATTGCTCTCACTTGAATGTAAGGGTCTTTTCGTAGTATGCAATGGATTCCAATTATCTTGCATAAATTCTGAAAAGCGTGTGAAGACGACACCAAGGACATTTGTGGGCCCACAGCAATGCTAATAACCGTCGCGCCAGCGTTGAACGTTGACAATTTGTGCGCGTAAAAAAATGGCCTGAAAGTGTTCGAAACGACACTCCATCTGTACACAGAAGATCCAAATCAGACAATTTTCCATGGCCGCACCACATTTGTCGGCTTTTTTTCGATCCTCTGACCATCCATCATGGGTCCACGTGGAAAAAAAAAAGTCTATTGGCCCTCGCGTTTGTTCATAATTGAGGGTGTTTCGTGTAAATTTAACGTCGTTACAAGCAAATTGCACACACGTTGTCGAGGTTACAGCACACTGGGATAGTTGGAACCGTGGGAAATGGAGTGCATCTCAAAGGAAAAGAACCCCTTCAATGTTTATTTGTTTCAGAAGACGCGCTTCATTTTCGCTCTTTTTCGGATTTTTTCTCAAGAACTATTTTCTTTCGTTCAAGCTCAACAACTGGAGTAAGAAAAAAACCATCCTCAATTTTTCTTTGATGAGGTAGAGAAAATTTAAGTACTTCAACATACAGTAAACAAGTGTTTTGCATCAAAAATGTTTCGATTTTATTCTTCTTTCCCACAAATTAATCGAAAAAAGTCATTATAAGTTGGTTTTACCCTTGGGAACTTCAGAGTGGTCCCTATAGGGGCAACCTTAAATACCCTTAGAGGCTTCCCTCTCAGGACCATTTATCAACCCCTATAGGGGCCACTAAGACTTGTAAAAGAGGTCCCTATTGGCTTTTTAGCTAGTTGCTCCTACAGAGGACATAATAATCGATAATTTTTCAAAAAAACTTTTTTTGAATAAAATTGAACGATCCCTATAGGGTCCACTCAAGCTTTTAGGGAATACGGGGTCAGACCCTTAACCCCTACAATGACCACTTTATTGGCTCTATAGGGACCGCTCTAAAATTTTTAAGAATGTCAAAAAATCAAATTGAAACTGAAGAAATCACAGAATATCTCTCTAAAACTTGAAAAATAAAATAAAAACAAGATTCTATTCTTTTCAGGTTCTTTTTTCTAAAAAGGTGACTTTTCGGAAAAAAAAAATAAATCACAATTTCCCCTTGACAAGTTAAAAACACGGTTGCCAACAAGTACAGAACCAAAAATTCCAAGAATAAAACCGATTTTTCTGTTATGTTTTCACTGTTTTCACGCTTATCTGACTTTTTTTTTCGTTCCCGCTAGTTTATGAGACATGAATTTAATCCGATAAGAAACTACGCACATTACCCTGTGTTATTTTGGGATCGGTCAAATAGCCTTCCCTAAATTTGAGTTCTTTTTCGTTAGGATTGCTATTGATTTTCTGCTTTTTCTTGATCACTTTAGTTTTTTTGGATACTTGATCTTATTCAGCGGGATAGTTGAAGGGGAAGCTTTTGGATTCCATTGTTTGGGGAGATTTTTCATTCAGGTTATTCTTTATTCAAATCACTATTTTTGTATGTTTATATATTTTTAATAGAGCGTGTCTGTCATTGGAACTGCTTTTGTAAGGATGTTATCAAAGAATTCATGTTGTTTTAATCATCATTTCCATATTCATAAGTATTCGTTAAGTTTCCTTTCTGTTTTTGGTCCGAATATATTTTTCTACTGGGCTAATGTCTCATTTGCCAGGTTTTTTTGATCAGCTTCAAATTTTTTTGAATGTCATACATATAAATTCTATCGCCACATATCTCAGGACAGTCATATTTCGATACAATACTTCATATTATGTCACTTAAAAATCTAGGTTACTTTAAAACTCTGTTCACCGCTAGTATAGAGCCAATAACATCAAAGAAACTTGAAGACCTAATTATTCCAAAATATTCCGCTAAACGTGGTGAATTCCTTTTCAACGAGTGTAACACTAGGTCAATTTACTTCGCGGTCGAGATTATCTTGGAAATTGGCCAGAACACTCCTGAATGTACCAAATTAAGGTTTTGAAACTCTAAAACTGCACAACTTCCTAATTTTTTGGAAAAGACGTCTCAAAGTCGGAGAAAACTCTACATCCTTAGAAATAATCAGCTTTTGACCTTTGAGTTTTTCTTTCTCAAAAACTAGATAGTTTTGTAGGTTGAGATTTTCAGAATCTTTTTCCTGTAGCTGGCCAAGTTTCAGGAAATTTTCAGCCACAAAGTAAAATAACCTCCCTTGTGAAACCGTTTCGAAAATTCTGAGCCGATTCTCATTCATTTTGTAGAAAACACAGCGGTAAACGATCCAGTTGCTCTTTGAAAATCAGAAAAAATGTTCAAATACCACGCTCTGAAACTGCAGCAGAACTGATAGCGCAAAGCCGGCGACAGTCGGAAGATAAGGGAAAAAATTGGATGAGCGTGGCAGACGTGTCGCGGGTTGCGCAATGAGACGTTGTTAAGCCATGCCGACCCGCTGACAATAGCAATTGACACAATAGCCCTCGCATCATAAAGGTAAACGTGTAGGGCGCTCATCACCTCTTCATCATCTTTGGCTCCATTGTTGCTCGAAAAGGACCGCCGGTGTTTGCCCACCGCTTGCTCCTGTCGCCGGAAGTTTTACGACCAGCTGTGGCGGTTATGGCACAACGGTCAACTGCTTACTGTAGCCTCTATATGCAGGGAAATAATGAAAACAACGAAAACTCACAGAAAATTAGCATTTCTCGCTTGAATCGTACATAATGGCGATACATGAAAGAAAATCGCTTTAAAATATTTTTTTCATGATGAAAAAAAGTTTTAAACCTCTTCCAATAATCTTTTTATGGTTTTTTGTAAAATTTTAGGTGAAGAAAATTTAAAAAAAAGCTGTTACAGGAAACTATGGTAAGTGCAGAAACATTTTTAAGAAGAAATTTCAAACTACTCATTTTTTTACGAAAAATATTTCCAGGAAAGCCAAAAATGATTCATTTGAAAAAAATTTGAGCTTTGTCGAATCTTTAATTTGCTTTACTCGCATTTAGAAAGAAAAAGTCTTTTTGTCAAAGTTGACCATGAGAATTGAAAAAAATTACCTTTTTTTACAACAAAAAAACTTCTGAATTTATAAAAGATCCATGAAATATTCAGTGATTTTCCTTATTTCAAACCGTATCAAAAAAACTCGATTCAATGTTCAGTCTTATAAAAAACCTTCCAACTTCTAGATGAGTTGAAACTCTGAAATCTGGAAATTTTGCAGTTTTAACTTTTGATTTTGTGCTGGAACTATTTGAAATGACAAACGGTTGGATCATACACTTGAATCGTAGAAAACAGCCGGCTGATCAAGCAAAAACGGATTTCGCAATCAGAAGCACACATGGCGTCTGTAATGCCTTGTCTATTAACTGAATCCAGAACATTCCGGCTCGGCTCAATTTTTCGTCTTTTATGCTTTTCGAATTTCAGATGTATATCTGCAACTCGATGGAAGTTTTTCGAAAGTTTTCATAGGATTTTCGTTTTTTTTTCGAAAAAGTTTTAACAAATGTTTTCAGTTATTTTTTCTTTTAATTTTGATTTTTCATATTCTCTTGGCTCAAAAAAGAGGAAAACTTGTAATGACGTCATAAAAATGTCCGAAACCTCATTCTTGCCCATTCAAGATTCAATAAAACGCTATATGGTTCTCTCAAAAAGTCTAATTTTTGATGCGGTCAAAACATCCAAATGGAAACTCTACATGAAAAAATTTGTGCGACCTCCGTTTTCATGATGAAATTGAACAAGGATAAGTATATCTGAAGATTAGAAATCCCTATTTTCAAAAAAACTGTCTTTATAGCTCCTTCAAAAAAACAGTTAGGAATTTTTCAAAAAATCTTACAATCCGGAAGAAACGAATAAAAAAATATCGCAAAACATCAAAAATTCTCAATCACACGCACACACACAAACGAACGATTTCCCATCGATTTTGAGAGGCGAGGCTTTTTTCCCTTTTAGTGCCTCTGAAAGGAACAATCCCCCAAATATTACACGTGGCCTACTGTTTTTGACTTTTGACATGCGTCCAGAAATTCAGAAGAAAATCTTTAATTTCACGATTTGAGTGCAGTTTTTATAACTGGAACGCATCAAACTACAGCGTTGGTTGAGATAATTTAATCGGTTTGGCGTTATCAATCACTCCCAAGCAGCTTTCTCGTTGTTTACTTGTTTGTTCTTGTTTTTCGTCGCTCTAACTTTTGATGATTCGGTCACGTTTTTCATTTTTCAAAATAAAAAAATTCAGGAAAGAAGAACCGGGGCCAGGTAGTCAGAATGTGGAGTCCTGAGGTTGAGCACCTTTTCGCTCTGTGCGACTCCGAAGGAAAAGGTTTTCTAACTGTTGACGACCTGAAGAAAATTTGCCCTCAACTTGATGACAAGGTAACTTTTCTTCAACTTGAAACTTCAAGATGGGTTCCCAATTACAGGATATTGCTTTCATATTCAAACAATTGGATATTGATAAATCGGGGAAAATTGATAAAATGGAGTTTTGCAAAGGATTTGAGGCAGCGGTATCGAAAGGAGAAACTAACGGTTTTTTTACACTTTGATTTATGTGAAACAGTAGTTTCAGGTTTGAACGGTATGCAGAGAAGAGCCTCAATCAGTTACGACGACCATATCCCACAAATCCTACGAGATGAGCAAGTTTTTGACAGCGACGCTGAAAGTGTAAGTATTTTATTTCATCATTTCTAGTAGTGCTGAACAAGTTTCTTTTTCCAGACACTTCGACCAAATCATTTACGAGTGGCAGATGAAGATTTGTACTTGTCGGAATCCGACACCAATCATAGCATCGATTTCGCCGTGCCTTGGTAAAATTTTTCTGATAGGCTTGCTTTGGATTTCAAAGACTCGAAATCTTTTTTGAGATTTGTTGCTTGAGAAAAAATTTGTTTTCGTTACTCGAGTTTACCGTTTCACTCCAGCCAAGACGAGGTTCTGATGCTCTACGAACAACTGCAGTCAACTGGAATGCCTCAACTTCTGCGCAAATTTGAGAAGGTTGCCAGAATTATATTCTCTGCATTCATTGCGTTTTAAAGGTAGTGGGCTCATTTTACAAGGAAATCAAGGAGAAGAAGCATGAAAATGAGAGGCTCCAACATATTTGTGCTAGGTGAAAAGTTACAATCAACAAGAGAACTTTTGTATTTGCAGCGAGAAAGAAATGTACAATCGAAGAATGGAAGAAGTCGAAATTGAGCTGGACCAGCAACTCGAAATGGCCGAGCGTAAAGCCAGAGAAGAAGTTGATCCCTGCTTATTTTTTGAATTTTCATGATTCAAAGTTAAGGAGAGACAACGTCTCACGAAAGAAAAAGAAGAGATGAGGGCTCACTTAACTGAAGAGCTTCGGGAAATGCGTCAGAATATCGAACACCTTCAAAAAATGGAACACGTATTGGAGAAGGAAAGCGAAAAGCTGACTCATCAGAAGGAGCTGAACGAGAAGCTCAAAGTGAGTATTTCATGAAGATTGAAATAATCAGATTCATCTAGCAATTTTTAGTTATAAACTCAGTTGGAGGCATCTTTATTGAGTTTTTAAATAATGAATGCCCAAAAAGAGGTGAAAATTCATCAGGTAGCTTCCTTGTGTTTCTAACGTTACTGGAGGTGTAGATCATTAATTTTAAATATCAAGAGCTGTGTGACCGAAATGAGGAAGAATTAGCATTTTTTTCCAATCTCATAACACTTTCAAAATCATTTTACCGGCGTCACACCGGTTTTCGAAATATTTTGTTTTTTTTTTTTCAGGAAGTCAACCAAGAAAATGCTGGTCTTCGCAAGAACTTGGCGGAGAATCATTTAGAACTCGCTATGATCAAAAGCGAGCTGGCACATGTGCGCGCCAATTATGATGAAAAACAAAACGAGCTTCTCGAACGACGCGGTTGGAATAACTTTTTTCCTCAATTAAGTTCACTTTCAGACCAAATGTCAAACGCCAACGAAGAAAGTGAGACCTTGCAGAAGCAGCTTCATTTGTTATTGTGAGTTTTTTTTCTTATCATTTTTCTGAAACAGTAACATCGTTATTTTCCTAAGATAGTGAAAAAACTATAACTGAGCCGAGTTGCAGTGATGCTAATAAAAAGCTACACGAGACAAATGAAAGCCTTCGGGACGCTCTGGACAGCCGAGCTGCCGTTCTGAGACAGTTCAATTTGGTATGAAGTTTCCAGTTTTTGAAGAGAAAAGGAAGACTTTTAGAGAACTCCATCACCAAGTGTCCTGTCTAGGGATTCCCTGGCGACCCCGCAATCTTCTTTCTCGCCTGCTTCTAGACTTTTCAGCCCTGTTGCTCTTCATGCTATCAGCAGTGATGACATTGGTATGCGAAAATTTCAAGTGTCTCGAAAAAGAGATATTGAGATTTCAACCTCTCAGAGAACCTTTTTCAGATACTCCGTTGATTCTCGATGATTCACATAGTCACGATGAAAAAACTAACGCCAAGGATCTCATTGCAAGTTTTTTTTATCATCTTTTATTCTAGACAAATTTATATAATCCAAAACCACATCAGGGTATTCATGAAGCAAGTGGACCCGCCGAAAGAACATTCCGAATAGTTATGTGCGGAGACGCTGCTGTGGGGAAGAGCAGTTTTGTGATGAGAGTCATCCGTCGACAGTTCACCAACCAACTTCCTAGCACTCTAGGTAATTATTTTCTCAATTTTTGAAAAAATAGCAAAAGCTTTCTTAGTAGGGAACATTTTTTAACGTTGAACTTTCGATGAAGTTTCGCTAAAATGTGTTCTAGAGTCTCCTGATTCTAGAAAAAAAACATTTCTTGCACTAAATCTCGTTTTCGAGTTATAAAGCTTCAAAGTCCGTGAAATACGCAAATCATGACAAAAATGCGTTGTTTCAAGCTTTTGAAGCGTCCTAATTCAAAAACGAGATCTGTTGTTAGAAATTTTTTCTTGTTCTGCAATCAGGAGGTCCTCAAGTACACCTCAGCAAAGTTTCATCAAAAAAATCAACCGGGGGGATAAAATACGTTCCATAAATAGTGAAAAAAATCATGATTCTTCATTGTAAATCACATTGAAATAGAAGATTTTATGATCAAAGTCCCTTGAATCAAGAAAATGGAAGATATTGTAGGAAGGACATCAATGAAGAAAATACGATTTTTAAAAAACGATTTTGTGGCTTTTTTAGGAATGTCATGTCCAAAAAACCATTTCGAAACGTCTTCATGGCCATTATTGTTTAAAAATCTTCATTTTTTTCTGAAAAACTTTGACCTATTCCTATCATTTTCCTGATTTTAAAAATGACTTGCAAACTCGAGTAAACGGAATATCTCCTCAGGAGTGGATTTCCACGTCAAGACGGTCAATGTAGACGGTCATAATGTGGCCTTGCAACTTTGGGACACTGCTGGTCAGGAAAGGTGATTTTCTACTCTTTTTCCGAAGCATCTTTAAGATTGCAGATTCCGTTCTCTCTGTAAATCGTACTTCCGTAGAGCTGATGGGGCTATATTGGTTTATGACGTCACCGCGGAGCACACTTTGCTACGAGTCAGAGACTGGATCGACACTATAAAGGTTATAAATTAATCAAACATCTCGACCATTTTTTTGTCATGAAAAAAAGGTTTCTTATATTTGCATCTTTTAATAACACATAAGTGATAATTTAATGATTATAAGGGAGAGGGAAATAGACTTAGAAGTTGAAAAAAGATACGAAATTCAAATTTGACTCCGAAGAAACCTTTTAACCCAACGTTTTTTCTAAACCCTTTTGTAGGAATCGGTAGAAAGAAGCATTCCGATAATCCTGGTCGGCAACAAGTGCGACTTACGACGTGATGGCGGAGGAGTTGCCAAGGCGGATGGCGCCTCGATGGCGGCGGTTTGTGAAATTTCGCATTAGTTCGAACTTTCCAGCTCTTTCAGGCTATGGGAGTTTTGTTCATGGAAACTAGTGCCCTCGATGGCAGCAATATCGACAACGCTATGCTTGCTTTGACTAGGTTAGTTTCGAAATCTTGGAAAATGGATATGTTCGCAAAAATTTGTAGATAGAATAATAAGATTTGAGAATCAAGAAAAGCCCAGAGAAAGCGCAAATCGCTCTTTTTGGCTTGTTTCAAGCTTTATAATGATGCTTTCCATTTTCAAACGAATTTATGAATTTCTGCGCATTTTTTACGCTATGCTCTTATTTTCACCAAGTTAGCCAAAAAGCTATACTCCATTAAGCAAAAAGAAGCTTGGATGATGTTCGGAAATCTGAAAACGGAAATAATCAGTTGAATTTGAAATCAGCGGAATGGTATGAGAAATAAAAGAAATGAAATCACGAAATTTTTTAAATGGTTTATTTTCGATTTCTTCTAGAAGCACGTTTTGAATGCAACTTTTTGAGTTGCAAGAAATTTCGTCCTTTTTTTGGAAAATTAAAATGTCGTGCTTCGAACATTTTCACAAAATTGAACTCCTCTCATAACTGGATGCTAAAAAAAATTAAAAAACGGTCTGATTTCCCAGTGATACTTCAAGCTTAGCAGCTTTTTAATTGGGTCGCAAAATTTAACACTACTCTAAGGAATATAATATAGTTTCTGAAGCTAAAGTTCTATAGTTTAGAATAATTAATCCTTCATGTCACAAGGTAAGTGGACATGATCATAATTCAAACAAAAATCGGCTTTTTCTGCTGGAAACCAGCCTCAGATTTAGAAGCACGATGAGACTAATCCTCTTGAGATAGAACAAACCCGAAATTTCAAAAAAGCAAGGTTTATTGTACTCATTATGCTCTTGAATCCAAATAAGATTGATAAGGTTACTAAGCCGTTCCTAAAGTTTTTTTGAAAGTTCGATATTTGAGTCCCGATGGCTTGAGAAAAAAAAAACTTGTCCCTTTTTTCACAGAGAACTGATGGCAGTGGAAGACGTAGAAATCCGCGCCACTGGCGTCGTTCTCAGTCCCAGAGAAAAGCAGAAGCAAACGGGCTGTTTTTCGAAATGCCGTGGCTCTTAGCTTCATTTCCCTATCGACTCAATAAACCAACAACCAAAGACTGTTCTTCTTCTCATTTTCTTGGGTGCGCAGAGTTTTGTGCTTATCAAAGTTGTCTCGAATTTTCGTCCATTGATAAGCTTCTATTTTTGCACTCGGCTGTATCAAATAAAAATTTTATGACACGGGAAAAAAAGATAGAATCCCCTCTTCCTCCGTATCTTCTGTCTAAAAATAACCTTCACCTTTTTTTTTGTTCAAATGGGTTGTGTTGTATAAATATTTATATTTTTTTCATGAGTTGATTGTTGCGGAAATGAAGATGAAGGTAAGTTTGACGCCTCGTGGCAGGCTGATAATGATAATGAGAAAGCCGTCAGTTTTGTGCAAGAAGCGGCTCGCTATTCAATTGGGTCATGCAGAGCGGCTATAAAAAGGGCAATAAAAAAGTGTTAGATTGGGTTATTAAAGAGACACTTGGCGATGAAGCAGAGAAAGAAAGTGAAGCTGTCAAAGGACTTCGAGTCTCTGATTACTTGGTACAACGACGACGGTTGCAGCGACAATGGCGGGCGGAATGGCTCATATCGAAATTAGTCCGTTCATCCGACTTCTTTGATCATTGTTTTTGAATTGGTTTCAGATGAAAACGAGCTGCAGGCGCGTACCAGAATCGTGCGGAATTACATGAAAGTGAAGATTTTTAAGTTTTTTTTTTCAATTTTCATGGCTTTGTTGAATTTATCGATCCTTTGATTACTTATATTCTTTTTACTTACTAGAGAACATTTTTAACTTAAATTTTGATAAATCGCTGATTCATTTCAGACTCCAGAACAAGAAAAAAACATTCTCCAATAGATCTGGTTTTCATGTTGAGATGCTTCAAATGTTTGAAACGGTTTTTTTTGTCAAAATTTCGGGTTTTTGAAACTTTCCAGCCTCTTGCATCGAGAAAAAGGTTAATTGGGAGAACTTTTCCTGTTTTTGGAATGAGAAGGTCATTGTGTGGAAAAATTTGCATCAAAATTTCATCCGAGGGCTGAAAAACGTTCCCTAGTTATTTTATAGTAGATTACTATGTTAATATGTAGAAAATGCTAAAAATTGTTTCCGAAAAGCTAGACCAAGGCCAACTCGAATCGAAATGAAAAAAATCTTGCTTGTCTGCACACTCCTAACCCTCAGCAATAGTTTTGTATTCACTTTTTATTTCCTTTTTCGTAGACAATTTTTTGATTAGAGGAGAGCCCAGAAAAGCCAGCTATTGTTTTGAAATCAAGAAAGATTATTGAAAAATAAATTGCTCTTTTAGGATCGAGACAACTGCATAGTATTGAGAATCGACAAACGGATGCCAGATGTCGAGAACATGAATCCCTTCGGATTCCATTTCGAGTTTGATGAGAAAAAGTATAAAGCTCGGAAACGGGAAATACGATTACGAAGTTGGTCGACCACTTTGTTCTCAAGAAATGAAACATTTCAGGGATAACTCGCTTGTTTTCTTGGCTCGCTTATTATCATCACAAATTTGGAATCCGGCATATTACTTTATTTTCTTTACTTGTTATTTATGTTTTTCTTGGCGGTTTAATTTTCGAAAAGCTGGAATCGCCTCATGAAATTGCGGTAAAATTTCGTTTGAAGCGAATAATCAATTATTTTTTCAGGATTTGAAGCAGACTATTATCTTAATGCAAGGCATAATCAACGAAGAGACAAACGACATAATAAACATAACTTTGAGTACAAACGGCACGGACAGAAGAAATCAATTGGGACGGTTAATAAAAGTGAGTTTTAGAGAAATGGAAAAATTCATGGTTTTTATTAATTTGAGTCTTTTTTTCAGAGGTACTACAAAACGATGTTAGAAGCTGAAGGCAGATTCCACGGCAGCGTCTGGCACAAGGCCGAAAACTTGGATATGCATCTCATGTGGTATTTTTCCTCGGCTACTTTCTACTCCATGACGCTTTTTTCAACTATTGGCTACGGTTAGTCTTTTGAAAATTTTGAAACAGGAATGTATGTGAGTTTGGTTATTTGATTTTTTTTTTTCTCTTGTTGTATGGAGAATGCCAAAAGCCAAAAATTAAGAGTATTGATTTTTTCATCTGCTAACTATAGTCTGTGTGCCACGACTTGAAATTTCACCGAACGACATTCCGCTGTTCCGCTGCGTGCGTTCGTGAAGCGTCTTTCGAATCTAGGTTTCCCTTTCAATTGATTGTTATTGCTGTGGGAGCACAAGAAAGTAGAGTACCTTAATAAAAGAAAAATAATTAAAAGCGCGACCGAGGTTCGCAAATGCGCGCAGCGGCACAGCGGAATTTCGTTCGGTAAAATTCCAAGTCGCAGTACACAGGCTATACCAACACTCTTTTTTTCGGCTCTCTTCAATTTTTAAGGAATATGCAACAAATAGTAGATTATGATTACAGGTACAATTACTTGTCAAACTTTTTGGGGTCGTACTGTTTCCATGATTTATGCTTCCCTTGGGTTACCTCTAATGCTCGTGGTACTCGGAGACGTCGGCGAATGGTTCCAAAAAATTCTAACCAAAGCCTACATTTTCTGTTATCTCAAGTACAAGTGAGTGATTTGTAGTCTGAAAATAAGATAATAAAACAGTGAGTGATTAAATTTTAACGCATTTATTGCAGTTTCAGTGTAAAAATAAGAGAAAAATGAAATCTTTAAAAAAATCTATTGGAAACGAATCATTGAACCAGAATTTATAGAACGCATAATTATTGTGAAAAAATTGTGATTTTTTTTTTCTAATTTTTTTCCTTTTTGAGTTTTCAGGTAGATCACCTTTATCTTATCACGTCTTCGAAAAGTTTCATTCCGTTAAGAAAAAGACATTATCATGATTTTTTGAATTTTTGTTCAGTAACCTTTAACACCCAAATTCTCGTACAAATTATTTTTCACACAATGGATGCCAAATAACTTGACCAAGTTTTTCAGAGATTTGCGAAGACAAAAAGTCACGAAAGACTTAACTGACCTTTTTTTGCCCATGTGGATTGCCTTGGGTTTAGTTCTCGCCTACATTTTGATTTGTACACTTATGATCAAAATGTTCGACCACAACGAAGGCAACAAACCAGGTTTGCAATCCAAACACATTTTCTGACCTACAGCCATTCTCAGGCATCGGCTTCTTTGACGCTTTTTATTTCACTTTTATCAGTTTGACCACGATTGGTCTTGGTGACGTGATGCCGTATAATATTCAAGTAACATTATTTTTTATTGCTCGATTCTGCTGTTGACGCGCAATTTTACAGTATTCACCATTTCTGGCGGCTGCCTTTTTGTTGGGCCTTGCTTTGATCTCAATTGTGAACACCTCAATTTACGCCCAGCTGTACAAAATATTCTTCAACTTGATCATTTTCGTCGAGGACAGCTTGGAGAGAATTCACAGTTCGAGGCATGACGGTCCTGGCTACCGTATTTTCCAGGTTGTTCGGGAAAAAAACATTGTATTTTTTACAAAATTTGATACGCTGATTTGTATTTTTTGCAGGTTAAAAGAGTTGCTATGTTTTTTGGCTCAATTTCTAAAACTGCCGAGTTGCGACACCTGCTATAAAATCTATTTTTTTTCTAGAAAAACTCTTCTCATCTCAGTAATTTATATATAGTGTGCTCTACTGATTAAAAATGTTCAAAATGTTTCTGAAAAAACCTGTCAAATCTTTTGGAAAGCTTACTAAAAATATCTCACAAGTGTCTCAATTCTCCAGATTGATCTTTCAAAAAATGAAAAATTCAGGACCTTGAGCCGGTGATTAGAATGTTGGTTTGCACTTTCCCACAAGTTGATGCGGAAGAAAGAGCTTTATTAGCAACAGCTTGCCGGAACTCATTCGTCAAACGGGCCAGTAAAGATGTGATTTTTTTTTAAATCCGTTTTTATTTGGAATTTGTGTTATTCAGAGCGGTCATTTGCGGTTCCGTACAATTTCTGATATTGCTGCCCACGACGGGAAGCATTTGTACGAAGCACGACGACAGAGGAGAAGGAATCTGGAGACCAACAAAACTCCGATCAGGACTCATGCTCCTACTCTTGGCGCTTTTGCTGGAATGAGCTTGAAGAACTTTCAGTGAGTGGTTTTTTTTTTTGAAGGAGTGAAAATCGTCCAGTTTCAATGAAATATAAGTGAAGGTCGATGTTTAGTTTTTTCAAGACGATGAGGAGCAAAATACAAATAAAATTTTTGCTTCCAACAGCTCAATTTTCGAAGGGTTCTAAACTAATTTTTCAGACGCGGGAGATCAAGGACAGCGCCAAAAGACGAGGATGGAACGGAATCGGACGATTCCACCAATTCTGCTTGAATGTTTTGTTTCCTAACACACTGATAAAAGCTTTTTCTCGGCTGTGTAAATTGGGAAATGAAGAAAAACCCGCCCTTTATTTTATTCGATCTCTGTTTGATCCTTGCGTCGAGTGGTCAATGCCCAAAAGCCATTATGTCCTTTTCCTGTGAATTACCTTCTCATATTTTATACGTTTCTCTTGCTTTTTTTCATCAAGAAACCTTTTTATAAAATATTTTCGCACGGTTTTTCTCGAATTTTTTTCGTTTTTTTCCTCACGTTTAACTACCCTTTTTTTAATATTATTAATATTTTTTTCTTTTTGATTTGTTCAGTGTTACATAAAGTTTTTTTATTATTTTTTTGAGCAGGAAAAAAAGTTTATCTGAAAATCCAAATTTCTGTGTTTCTTTTTTTCCTATTTTTTCATTCGAATCTTTGACCTGTTTACTTTTTTTCATCCGAAACTAGACCAATACTTCCATTATAAAATATCACGGCTCGAAGCTTTAAATGTAACGCTCGTCAAGCTCTCTTTTCTGAAGATTTCACAAAAAGATTAGAAATTTCAGGAGTCAAGCTTTTTTTTAACTGCATCTTCCATTTTTTCAAAAAATGAGGCGTTGAAAAAAATTAGAAAATCTGGAAGTTGCAGTATTTATCCGTGACCAGTCTCTAATTTTTGTATAAAAAAAATAATATCATACTTTAAAGAACCTAAAGTTCTTTCCACAATTTTTGAAAGTTTGAAGCGGAAATTTTTCAATCTGTTCGGATCGAGGTAGTTTTTTTCCTTCATGGACTCTTTCCGTTGAAAGTTTGACCCTATAAGCCTGAAAATGCACCCTTGAAACGGGAAAGTTATAGTTTATTGTTAGCTTTCGTGCATTGAAAAGAAATTTTGAGTTTTTCGTTATCAAAGTTGATCATTTCAAAGAAATAAGAAGGTACATTTTCTTCAAAAAAAGAGAGGATTATCTCTCGATTAAAAATAAGCCGAGACGGAAAAAGTTGAGCTTTTTTCGTCTAAGTGCATCCGTTCAGGGAAGTTTCGCGTGAGCCGTTTGAGACTCGACCACGGCTCATTTCTGTCAATAAGAATTCCGCCTCAAAAAGCGTGCGCCCCGTTTGCAAGCTTCACCTCCCTGCTCCGCTTCATCGTTTGTCTCCCACGCTCGGAAACGCCCCATCTCTTCTCTGGCACCTCCGCAGGATCCTTGCTTTCTCGTCGGTGCCGCCAAAACGAAATGACGAGCAAGAAGCATCACAGGCCAACGCAGTGTACGCTTTAGGGTAAACTATTCGGGTTCGATTTCGGCGACTCATCTTTCGCAACGATCATACGAGCGATTTCGAGGTCGATTTGGAAACAAAATGGGTCGATTTTCGTTTTTCATTGCTCTTTTGAGCATCTGAACTTACTCCTGAGTTCACCATCCATATGATTTGAACTCTTTTTGAACTGAAATCATAAAGAAACTTGAGAGTCATGGGGAAAGAGTTCGATTACTTCCACGCTGAAGAGTTTTCTATTAGTTTCAGGAAGAATGAGTTCGTATTCCTTTCGGAAATTCTATTTCATAAAGTTTTCTTGGCAATCAAAATACAAGAAGTTGTATTCAAAAAATCTGTGAATTTTCGTCCGTTTCATCTTTTTTTTCCGCTTAGTTCGAATCCCTTCATTTATTTCAGAAGATAAGTCGGTTATTTTTAAATTTATTCAGTTTTTGAATCACGCCCTTTTGAAAATTGACCTTTTTGAATCCTAATTGCTTTTAAGTTCTTGGAGTTCTCAAAATGAAGACCCGTTACTTTTTGATATCGTTCTTTTGAACTAATATTCTGCGAAAACCTCATGAGAGTCTCTTATATTTATCGAGGAAATGATATAATTTCCGCTTGGCTCGCTATTTTGAGCAGTTCTGATTTGATGCTTTTTGATTCATTTCTGTGTCGCAATATTTCTTATGAAGCTACTATTTTATTCATAAAGTTTAAGTTTGGCCATTCGAAAAAAATTCATTTTTGACTAGAAACATTAAAAAAATAACATTCCGATTCAATTATTTTTTTCATTCTCAATAGCCTTCTGGAAATTTTACAATTTCTACTCCACACATTTTTCAAATTTGTCTCCCTGCTTGGATCTTTTTTAATAAATGTCTCTCTGTTTCTTATTGATGAGTTTCCCGCAGGCACGTTTTTCCACCGCAAAATTTCAAAAAAAATGTGTTCTGCTCTCTGGAAACGAAACGGTTTCAAAGGTTCACAAGTAAACTTTTCTTTCCCTGGTTTACATTCCTTTTTTTTTCTTTGTATCAGAACTCAATGTCCGTAATGCACTTGGTGGCGAAAGTTTCTCTGTTTGAAAATTGGACTGAAACTTCCATGTCCACGGAAGAGTATTAAGTTACTCTGTTTCGCAGCAGGTCGATTCTTTCTTGACCTTTCTTGAGCTTTTCGCGAGCTTCCAAGTGTTTTATAATGACTTATTCACGCTGAGAAAAACGCTGAAGCTTTGACTGCCATTCAAAAACGTTCATTTTCTCTTTTTGATTTTTTTTTTTTCATTGGTTTCAGAGCTTGGGAGTCCCGCTAATGAATCTTACTTTCCTGGAACTAATTAATAAGGAAATCTAAAGAATTTGAACTGGTTTTAGAGTTAAGTTTCATAAGAAAAATAAATAAATAAAAAGATCCATAGACAAGTTTTCTTTATTTTCAAAATCTGAACTAGCCGGACCGGAAACTACTTGCGCATCACAAAAGAGAAACGGATGAACCTCGACCACGGCGTTCTCAGTAGTTTATACGTGACTACAAGTTTCAAGAAAAACGCAGACGTTTTTTTAAAAATAAACATAAACGTAGGACGTTCTTTTTTTGTGAAAGTGAAAATTTTTTTGTAAACGAAAAAAATGAGAAACGGTTAATTTTATTCAAATTTTTAGTTTAGTTATATTTGTTTCTTGTCAAATTGGAGTAATTAGGAAGTTTCCAGAAATTTGAAATTCAGCCCAATATTAATCTTCGTTATTTATTCGTGCTTTTATGCACTGAAACAGAATGAAAAGAGGTTTTTTGAGTAATCCTCGCGGGTTGAATGGAAATGAACTGATCATTATTTTTGGCGATTGTTAATGGAGCTGGTTGTCTGCTGGCGCATTAGTTGTCCTCTCGCGCACCTTTAACCCTCTCCCGACGCACCTTTCCACGTCCGAGACGATTTCTCTTCTCAATTGTAAGCTTTCTTCTTGGCTTGCATTATTTCATTTATTCGTTTTCAATCTCGAATAGAAAAAAAGTGGTTGTCAAATTGTGGTCTGAATTGTTTCTCGCTTATTTTTGGCTCATCTTTTTCTTTTTCCATTTTCAGTTTGATTTTTCTGTCAGTTGATTTTCCAAATGAGAAGTCCGAGGGGGAATCTGAGCATGTCCTATGACAATGAACTCAAATTAATTTTCATGCAACTTTTCCCCGAGGAACAAAATATGTTTCCAATTCAATTTACGGCAATCATTCAGCATTTTTTGAATCTAACCAATTTTTGGACATCGGTCACTGTCTTCAAAAAGGCTTCATATACAAGACGATCATTTCTTCAACATTCATTTTCAAGAAACACAGAATTGAAAAAAGAATTGGACATTTTATCGATTCTGAACTAATCTTCATTTGAGAATCTTGCGCAGAAAACTGATTTTTTTGCTTTCTGAGGACTTTTTCGAGTCTTCTAGTGTTTAAGTGATATTCCTTTTTTGGTCTGAGAATTTACGGGAAAGATGATAATCCCGCAAAATCTCGACGTTTCTTCCATTTTTCAAGGTGAACGTGCTACCACGTCATGGTTACCGGCCATTGTGTGTTTTCCAAACGTTCGTTGCTTTCAAGAAATTTCTACGCCTTGAGATTTTTGTTCTGCGTTGAAGGACAAAGAGTTGTCGCGTTTCCAAGAAAACCTTCAAGGAAATGTCTTTTATGCACGTTTTGGCTTTTTGAGGGTTTTTTCCTGCTCAGAGATTTTGTTTCCGAGATTTCGAAAGGGCTTTCGCATGTTATTTTTCGACTGCTGTGAGATGAAAAATATTTTATTTTTGCTCTTCCCAAAAAAGTCATATCACAAGGTCTTTTTTGTATTATTTCGATTTCAACTCTTCTCATAAATTGCTTCTCTTAATTTATCGTTCCAGATTACTTTTTATCATTTGAAGAATAGTGCGTTGTGCCTGACGCGCTGATAAAAATGACAGCCAAAAATTGATAAACGACCTTTTTCGATCACTTTGCCATTCGTGGCAAATTTAATTCATGATCCATTGCTTATTCATTATTTTGCTCCCGAGTTTCTTAAAGAAAAGGCAATCAAGTCGTCCAAAACCCACGCGAAAGGCAGAAAAGGCGGCGGAATCTGAGAACCAACTTCGTCTCGATTCATTTTTCTCGCCAAACTTTCTTTTTTTTCTGTTCCAAACTAGATTCACACTCTTACGGGCATTTCTTATTCTGATCTCAAATCAAATCAAGTTTTTTTTAGTTTCAGTCGTCCAAAATCTGATTTTGGCTTTTTCAAACCATCGCTCTAACGCAGTCAATCAGGGTTTGCACGCGTTTTTTTCATATTTGCTCTCCGTTCTGAAAGCATAAACCTTTTCTGCTTCTCTGAGTCAAAGCAGCTTTTGGAATCAGAGTTTGTTGGAAAATCAAGTCATGACATGGTTTCAAAAATACTTGGTTTTCCCAGAATTGCTGTCAATCAAGTTCAGCCATTTGATGATTTTTGAGCAATCCTCCGATTTTCTTCTATTCTCTGGCTATAACATTTTTTTTTATTCAGATATGTTGTACTTTGACCTGAAGGGGAATACATTGTTTAAATCAAAAAAATCGTTTCAAAGTTTTGTACTTTGATCTGGAGAACACATTTTTCGTTTTCTCGTCTGATAATTTTCTCTCGTGAAGCGTTTCAAGTACTATCTTTTTTGATAGATTCAAAAATTGTAGACTTACTCGACATAACTCACCAAGATGTTACAGACAAAGGGCGTGGTTAGAAGGAGAGGACTTTTGCGGACCGGAATCCAGTCACTCGTTAGAATTTTCACATCGATTCCGCACGTTGAATGAACATATACTTCTGGCTCTATATAGCCATATTACCTGTCTTCGTCGCCTCCAAGGCAATCGAGACTGCGCCAGCCGCCGTCGTCGGCACGGCCTCGGCTGAGGTTGGCTTCGAGTTGTTTTGCAGTCTTTGAAGGGAAATAGTTTACTTCATCATTTTTTTCAAAAATCGTCATTTTTTTCTTCAAATTTTTTTCTCTTTATTCAAAAATAGTTTTTATCTGAGTAAAGACTGCACAAAAAAAGCTTGAAATAATAAAAAAATCTGACAAGAGAAAAAAATTAGATCGAGTCTAAATTCTTTTGATGTTTACTGATGAATAAAAAAAATATAAGTCAAAAAAATAAATAGGATTCCTCTTCTGAAATAAGGTATATTTGAATATGTGAAAATTGATAAAAAAACCCTGAAAAAAATTCTCTTCAGCCGAAGAGCCCCTGAGATTCTTCAAGCAGTAACGAGTGCACCTGTAATTAAGTTAAATGACGAACACGCACGTGGAAAAAATGTCATCGTCTCCGGAATTCGTCTCGAAACAAATGAGATCGACGACTTCTTGGGCTTCAATGAGTAAAAAGATAATTCGATACAAATTATAATTTGTTTCTTCTCAGAAGAGGCAACAGTTACATTAAACCGGAAACGGAAGTTAAGGTTATTTTCTACGGATTCGGATTTACTGATGTAGTAGCGGTAAGGGCATCGTTTTTAAAATCACACGGGTGTTTTTTTAAGGTGAGTTTCACTAGGAACGGGTCCTGCAACGACGGAGAGCACATCTATGAATCAAACTTTTTCATAAAGACTCCGACCCGATTTGTCGTGACGACCAAGTTCGAAGAGTAAGTTGACTATTTTTATGAAAGGTTCAAGAATAGTTTGTAGTTTTACAGGAATTCTAATGAACTTAATGAAATTTGCTCTGTGCTCACAATTCTCTTCTTTCATAATCATTTTTTTCTTGTTCATTTATAAAAAAAACCTAAATTATCAACTTTCAAGCAAGATATTTTTAGAATCTGTAAAAAAATCTGGACTTTCAGAGATGATGGGCGCATGTTCAGTCCGTGTATCGCTGAACGTCCTGCTGCAGGCCAGAAGGCTGTTTTCACAGTTCAGAACAACGCTCACATGTTGATTTCTACCCAAATACCAGAAAAAATTTATTATTTCCCGCTCCCCATCCAAGTGAGAAGCTGAGGGGGATATTCATATTGAAAGAGATTTTTAGGTGACAATGATCAGCTTTCTTTTGATTTTGTCCGGACTTTTTTCCGGTCTCAACCTTGGATTGATGTCTTTGAGTCTCACCGAACTGCAACTTATTTCGAAAGCTGGTTGGTTATTGGATTCATTTGAATTTAGAAAGGATCTTTTTTGGAGGTCCTCCAAAAACTAAAAAAAAACTGTAGCAAGATTAAAATTGGTTTCAGGATCTTCCAGAGAAGCCAAGTTTGCCGAGGCTATCATTCCGATCAGGAAAAAGGGCAACTTCCTTCTGTGTTCTCTTCTTCTGGGTTGGTATTTTCTTCTATTTTCTCCCAAAGTTTTCATATTCATCCTATTTTTGAAGCTGACTTTTACAGGCAACGTCATTGTGAACAGTGCGATTTCCATTCTTCTGGACAATATCACGGGATCCGGAGGCGTTGCCTTGATCTGTTCTTCTGTCGCTATTGTGATCGTTGGAGAAATCTTTCCGCAAGCCCTTTGTGTCAAGTTAGTTTCCACTAAAATTTCTCTTCCAATGGAAAATTGCAGAAAAGGATTAGAAGTTGGAGCGAAGACAATTTGGATCACGAGGTGTTTCATGGCTTTCACGGCAGTTGCTTCATACCCAATCTCATTGGTTTGTTTTTATTTTTTATTTTTTTTGTGGTAAAGTTTTCGATCTGGGAATAGTTGCCAGCGCGGTTACTATACAGTTTTTTGAACTAATTTTCTCAGAATTTTACGTCGAAAAATTTTTTTAGAGAAAAATAGAATGACTTCAGGCACACCGTTAGTAAAAAAAGAAAGGTCAGAGAATGAGCGTAAAACTGTTGCCTATGAAGAGATATACTTAAGATTACGAAAAAAATCCCACTTCGTTAAAGAAAAAAAGTCAATACAAAGACTCAATAAATTGGATTTGAATCCGAAAAAAAAAAATTTGCAGCTCTATGGAAAAAGGATTATTCGTTGTCATTCTCTTTTTTTGACGATTTTAAATTTTTCTGCTGCTTACACAATTTTCATAATCCCAGGAACTACCAACAAAAATGAAGTTGTGAAATAATTGCTATGTAAAATTCCCTCCCAAGGAAAATGTGTGAGAAGAGCATAGCAGATCTGGTGCAAACCTCTGATTTCGATGCCTGTAGTATGACAAAAAAAACTACCTTATTTCCCTTTCAAACTTTGCTCTTATGTCTTACAAATGTTTTAATTTTTACTTACAGTTGCTCGATCTGATACTCGGAGAAGAAGTTACCTCTTTCGATCGGAAACGTTTGGTCGAGCTCATCAAACTGCAAAACGGCGTGAGTTTTGTTTTGGATAGCCAACTTCCGAAACTATTTTTAATCTCGTTTGCAGAGTGGAAAGCCTGGGGATGGAGAACTACTTCGCGATGAGTTCAGAATCGCGTTGGGAGCTTTGGAAATCTGGGACAAGACGGTTTCTGACGTCATGACCAAGATCGAAGTGAAGACTTTTTGACGTTCATCAGCAAAATATTTTTTCAGGACGTCTTCATGCTTCCCACGTCTGCAAGACTTAACACTAAGCTTGTTGCGGAAATTCTCAGGATGGGCTACACTCGAATTCCTATTTATGAGCGTGAGTTTAAGGGAAGTTTCCCATCAATAAAAAGGCACAATCATTGCTCTTAAAAATAGAGCACGTAAAAAATCGCTTTTATAAAGGGAGTACATTGTTTGAAAAACCTCATGAAGAGATTGACGAGTCTTCTTCGATATGAAAGAATGAACAAAAACGTTTGAAATGATCATTCATTCAGAGATAATTTTGAAGGTTTTCATAGATCAAAATCTGAAAAATCTGTTTAGCTTGAAAGCTACAAACGTGTAAAATTTTTAATGGCCAATTGGCAGGTTTTTCGCTTAGACTCTGTTCAAATGGCGTAACTTTAAAGCTTCCGCTCATAAAGAAGGAAAAAATGACCTCTTCGGAATCTTGATTTTATAATTTTCTATCAAAACACCAACGAATGAAACAGTAATATCAACCAGCGCTCTCATTCAATTTTTTCCATCCATCAAACTTTAAAAAATGTTCAAAATCTGTAACACATAGACATGAAAACCAATAGGAACTCATGAATGCATTACAGACGATCGAAACAACGTCGTGTCGTTGCTTTTCGTCAAGGATCTAGCGCTTTTGGACCCCGAAGATAACGTTTCCGTAAGCACCGTCTGCAATTTCCACCAGCACATGGTTCGATTTGTGACGGAAGACACGCCTCTGCGTTTCTTGTTGGACGAATTCAAAAAGGTATTTTTTTTCAGGGATCGAGTTGCAAAGAACACGGTTAGAGGTTGAATTGAGAAAAAGTCCATTCACTTATCGGTGGGGGTTTTCAAAAGACCAATAAAACATACATATAGCATTGAACGCTTTTTTCAAATGGAGATCTTGTGTTTTGATAATCGCAGAATCATTATTCACGTTATCAAAACTCAGACCAAATACTATATTTGCTTTCTTCTCCTAATTGCGGATTCCATTTTTTCAATCTTCAAAAAAAAACGCGTAGATCATCCAGTTGCGCCAACCTTCAATTGTAGATCATGAATTGTTGAGAAAAAATCCGTTTATATTTTAAGGACTCATTTTAACAGAAACAAAAACTTTTGCCGCTGTACAGGCTAGCTAAAAGCTTGACGAACTAAAAGTCCAAACGTGTAGTTGTTCAAGTTGAAAGCATGGTCGTACGGTACTTCGCCTGGTCTCTCTGCGTAGTTTATAAAGCCAGCCATGATGAACCCTAAATGCAGTGAATCTTGTGCTGGAGACCGAGTTTTAGGTGAAGCCCTCAAAATAAGAGAAGTATCAACTCAAATCGCATGAATAACGGAAGAAAACTAATTCATTGAATTTTGAGGGCGACTACCACTTGGCGATGGTCCACAAGCTCGTCTATGCTGATGACGCCGATCCCTCCTACGAACTCGTCGGTCTCATAACCCTCGAAGATATCTTCGAGGAAATTCTTCAAGTCCGTTTTTCCGTCAATCCCTTTGAGAATTCACTCATCGTTCCTCCACTAGAATGACGTTTCAGCTGTCAGTGAAAAAAAGTTTTAGAACGCTTTGTTCTCAGATTAGAATTTTTTTCATCGAAGTCCGTCAATCTTCAATCCATCTACAATTTTTTCCTCAAAAGTTCAGCTGAGCTCTCAATTTTTATAACTCTCGTGGGAGTCTCGGAGCACAACATTGAATGTCTGCCATTATTATGGATGAGGCTGACTTGAAATGCCCATTTTTATTCATAGATTCGTAGAAAATTTCCGCGTGGAAAAGGTTTTAGGCAAATTTTTTGGAGGATTCATCACTATCAAGAAGAAAAATTTCGTCTGCTTGTGTTGAAAATTAGCCAAAACGCTTGAATGGAGCATCTAGAAACAAATCTGAATCTCTCAACCAGCTCATTTTTTGAGAGAATCATAACTAGATGAAAAAAAAACATTTGAGAGCTTTGAAATTTGAAATTTTTTTGATACTCCTCTGAAACATCACAGAGTGTCAAATGAATTCTCGAAGCATTTCTAAAATGTTTGTGTACTTTTTGATAATTTTCGGGTTCATTTCGTGAAACCCGTGCTAGAAACATGTTATCAGACTCTGAAAGGAAGCTTTTAGCGGATAATCGTAGGTTGCACGGCCCTCAGAGTACAGAAATCAGAGATTATAACAATTACTTGAAGGAAAAAAGCTCGTTTTTTTGAGTCAGATCTTGAAAAAAATAGTGCTTGAAAACTAAGTTTGCAGTTTTGATTTCAATGAGAAAAAAATGTTTTTGAACTTTAAATTTGGATTACTCAATAGTTTTTTTCTTGCAAAGAAAAAAAATTTTTCCGCACTTAATGAAACTTTGAGAGCTTCTCGGTTTCAGATCATTGATAAAAATTTTTTTCGACTTCTGCCTTCAAAAAAATTTTTTTAACCCGTCAGAGTTTTTAAATATATTATTCCAATGAAGAAAAATGAGGTTTCTGGCGTCTCCAAGGCAAAGTAACTTCACTGAAACTCGTTTTTGAGCACCTGATTCCAGGCTTAGGTACTAGATTTTCGGAATCGTTTTGTCCCAAATCTTAAGTTTACTTGTGGAATAGTTGTTTTCAAAAAAAGAATCGATCAAACTCAAAAATAATCTTTCAGGCTGAGATCGTTGACGAAACTGACGCCGTCATTGACAACGTCCACAGGAAGAAACGCTGCGGACGCAAGGTCTTTCTTTTCTTTTTTAAAAGCAATTCGCCCATAAATGGAACTGAATTTTCGGAGTTTCGAGTATGACGCCCGCGGGGTCTCAACTCGAGAAGGGAAGAGCATGCTCGTCTTTGCATTCATATTCCTCGAGGGCAAGCCAAAAGCTCAAGCGCAAAGGGGAGGACTCCTCGAGATGAGCGTCCCCCGTGGCTAAAGCTTGTGATTCGCACGGCCGTTGTTGTTTTGCGAGAGCAATTTTTTTTTCTCGACAAAAAGTCCTGCTCCGTTATTCTTATTTTCCTGACCAAAAATGTTGAAGCCACCACCTCCAAACATGAACCGGTCGAACCGAGAAACTTCTTGTTATTCTATTCGCGACGTTTCTGTTGCGGGCTCTTTGCCACGAGCTCGACCTTACAGAGTCAACCTAGATTCGACCTGGTGCCGCTATTTTGTCTCTTTATTAATGCTTATCGTTTTCACTTCCTCAGGCATGTACCTTGCAATATTCATGAAGTCAAACAACGCGTGAAGGTAATCGTTTATTCAATAGAAAGACTAATTTTCGACTCATGTTTCTACGATTCTAGCAAAGGTCTTAAAAGAGAAGTTCAGTTAAAAAAGTTATGCTAAAATTCAAAAAAAAAAATCCGACAATGATACTTTTTGCAAAGAGGCGCCCACTTTATGTCACAAACACTTGCTCTTTGATACATCAAAGTCGAGAGTGTTGTAATCAAAGCGAGAGATCCTCTTTTCTCATCGGATTGATCAAATCTCGTCGCTTTAAAACAACGTCATTTTCTGCCTCACGAAATGCTAAACTTGCTGTTTTGAGCAACAATCAAGAGATGCGGCCTACCGCGCGTGAAAACTTCATTTGGGCTCTTCGTTAGTTCTCAAAAACAAGACGCTTTCTTGACTTCCGCCAAGGCGAAAAAACCTGCGTGTTAGAAGCTTAAAAAAGGTGGTTATGTCTATAAAGTGATCAGACTTTGTTTTGAGCATTAAAATTGTACTGATCATGTTTTCTCTAAACTGAAATTCTCTTTGAAAGTCTCCAAATTCTCTCGGAAAGACCGATAGCTGAGAGTTTTTTATGTCCAGCTCTTACTTTTAACAACCTCGGAAGGCTTTACCCGTCTCAGAAAGACTCAATTCGAAACCTTCAAAGGCGCTAGAAGTTTTCATGAACCAGGAAAAAAAAAGCAAATGACATTCTAATTCGATTTGCGACAGATTTACTTCATTAATTCAAAACGACTTGAAGATTTTAAAGTAGTTAATTTTGAAAGCACTTCATTTTGTCCCTGGGAACGTCAGCGTCCCTTTGGCGTTTCCAAGAAATATGAATAAACAGGAAAACAGATATGAAGAATAATTTTCTTTCAGTCGCGAGACATGTCGGCGTTGATCAACCCAAAGAACCCTTCGTGCGTGGTCAGCGGCCAGATGCAGATAGTGGCGATGCAGTGGCTCATCAACATCCATCCAATATTTGGTCCTGACTATCTAACGCCGTCCATCTTGGAGAAACTCATTCTTCAAGGCTGCCGCAAGGTTTGTTGTCTGGTTGAATAGGCTAAGTCGGAAAGGTGGAAAAAGAATCTATAGAAATGTTCATTTTTGCTGCCTTTTTGAGCCATTTTTGGTGCCTCTCTCATCTTCCTCCTTTTCCTTGAGCCTTCAAAGTTCTAAAAAAAAACAATAGGCTCAATAAAGTGACTCTTTTTGCTGCCTTTCTGCGACTTTTTTCGAGCCTCTCCCTTTTAGCGTACATTATCCACTATTCCGATTATTCCGGATTTGACTCTATTTTACTAATCGAACCCACTAAAAATTCCATCTTGCATTCGAAAAAAATCCTATCACATAAACCATTAAATTCTTCAAAGTTCAAAATATGTACAACATAAACTTAAAAAGTTTATAGAACCGAAAAGTGTCAGATTTCGAAAATTCAAAAAATCAGAAAAACCATTTCTGCGCGACCAAAACATCTGCTTCACAGGTCGAGACTTCTCTTCTGACGGACGTTTCCGAGCCAAACTTCGTACTTCCCAGGGCTGCAAAGCTTTTCACAAAAGGAGAGTACAGTGACAAATTTGTCCTGATTCTCGAAGGACGAGCTTTGATAACTGTCGGACAGGTATGAAAGGATTTTTTTTCTAAACCTTGAAGTTGACCTCAGGACGGCATGAACTTCGAGGCCGGTCCGTGGGACATTCTCGGCCGAGAGATGCTTGACGGACTCGCCAAGTCCTGCGAGGACGACGACGGAAATATCAATCGCTCGTGCTCGTCTTTGCCTACCGACCGTCCCAGACAGGTTTAAATTTTTTTAAGAAAAAAAGCTTGGTTTCTATTTTTTTCATGAGAAATTCCAAACTGAAGCGTTTCTTTAACATCGGAAGCCCTAAAAATTTTTTTTATAGTGAAACTGTAATGTTATATGTATATTAAGCTCGTTTAAATTCGCAAGGTCATCGTCGCATTAATTTGGCGGTTGATTTGAGATGCCAGAAACTAGAAAACCAGCGCATTGAAACATTGGGAAGTATTAGAAAAAAAGCTGTAGAATGAAGTCAAATTTCATCGCAGTGGGACAAGGCCTATTGAAAAAAAAACCCTCGAAAAAAACCCTTCCTATTGAGAAAAACTAAAAAACTTACAGCTCCTTGGATTTGTGTCCGACTTCACCGCGGTGATCCGTCAGTCGTGCACTTTCGTCGAAATCCACGCCAACGACTGGCTTCTCGCTTACAAATCCACTTTACTCGTTCGCAGGTATGTTTAAAAAAGGAAAAAAAAAACATAGATTACACAAACAAAGATATAATTTACCATTGTGTGCTTTTTTGCAGTTTCGTTGTGCTGCTCACGTTTTGAGGGATTTAATGTTGTGTGGTGAAGGTTTTTCTCATTCCTTTTTGCGATCCTTATTCCTGTCAGGAAAAAGAGAAGCTTCAACAAAATTCAATTTTTGAAATCCGTTGTGTAATTGCCTTTTAAGGCTTTTTAGCAGGTTTGATCACGTGGAAGAGAAAAGTTCGAGTCTTCGTCGTGGCTACAGCTGCCCCGGCACTTTCCCTTTGGACCTGTAGTGTTTTTGAACCTATCCTTGGTAAATCCTTTGCACGCTTATCCGCTTGATATTTTTTTTCTTGAGCATGTGATATTCTTACACACAGTAACGTGAGAAAAGTTCAAAAAACGGGGTTTTGTTCAAAACTTTTTTGTGAGGATTTCAATCTTCCTGGAAGTTTCTGAAGCTGATTTTTTTTCTGTTAACTGAAACTTATCAGAGTGTTCAACATATCAGTCATTACAACTACAGAAAGTTTCAGAAAGATTGAATTCGTTACAAAAAAAGATGTGACCGGAACATCGTTTTTTCGTATCTTTTCGGATAGACAGAATGAAAAAGCAGCTGAAACGGTGAAGTTGAGTTTTCTTGGAAGCTTTGGAAATCGGTAAGCACCTGGAGTATGTTTTAATACTAAAACGTTCAGGTCAAAAATTTTGTATTACTCGTAATCAGTGAGCTTCAAGTCTCAATTTAGCAAATTTATAATTTTTTCGACCTACTGTCTGAAATCCTCCCTTTGCTTGCATTCTTTGTTTTCGGCTTTTTTACACCTCCACCCATTCTCCGTGCGACCATGCTTGATTAATATGACATCTTTTTGACAAATAACGTTTCTTGCATGAATCAGTAACTGTCCAACGTCCTGTGCTGCTTATAAAAATACTGCTTGTATTTAATTTTCAAGTTCTTGTTCGTGAAAAAAGAAGACATGCAAACTCAAAAAAGCAGTAATCTGAAGAAAATGAGCTTCTACTAACGGTTTTGTTTCAAATAAATGAACGAACCTATCTTTTATTCTTGCTCTATTTTTCTACTATATCTTCCAGAAGGCCATATATTTTTTTCTTGAAGCAATCAATACAAAGGGGTTTTTGCTTTTTCAAATACATAATTTTTCATGTTTTTCAAGGTGAAAAAAATAATTTTTCAAATCTGAAAAAAAATTTCATTTTTCTGGTCTTCTATATGTTTTTTTCAAATATGTGTCATTATAGTTTTCAATGATAATCATTCATAATAATTTATTTCAGAAACAGCTTGGACGATAAAGGGCCCAAATCAACTAATCGCACAATTTCACACAACAATCTTCATGACACCAAGGATACTTTTTTTGAAATCTCCACAGGTTTGAAACTTGTTTTTTTCAAGGAATCAAGAAAAATTTTTATAGGAATAGGTTTTTAAAAAAAATAGGAATAATTTGGAACTGCTGCAATTTTTTTAAAATCAGCACTTTCGTTGCAGATTTGAGATGTTTGCAATAAGCTTGATAAGTTTCATTTTGAAACAGGGAACTAATAAGCATGCAGTTAACAGCTCCAAGTGAACATATAATCAGAAATGTACACAGCTATAAGTTGCACCGTACACTTTTAAGCACCGTTTGGCTCGTTGGAAAAGAAGAGGCACATTTGTGTAATGGTAAGCGTAGTGCTCAGTAATTTTGTGACAGGTCTTTTTTCCATGGATGTAATTTTTTGAATCAATATGTGCTCCGTTTTTCACGATTTGAAAAGCCAAGAAAAGTCACATAATTAGAGGAATTTACTGTTTTGTAATGAGAAAATAATTTCCCGCTCTGTGGTTTTATATCGCTTTTCAAAACGTGGAAACTTGAATAAATGGTTCTCGAAAACCAAACTTTGAAAATGCTTGGCTTGAATTTTGTCTTCTGTTGTGTCAAAATATTTTTTTGAACTTCACAAAATATATCATCCTGATTGGATGGCTAAAAATGGAAAACACCAAAACTTGGTTATAGAACTGCATGGGGCCTTTTTGTGTCAACTAAACTCAATTTTGAGCAAAGTTTATGACAGCCTTGTTTTTGTCGTGAGCGTTAAAAATCACAGAAAAACACCTGGAAAGTGCTTTTTGAACCTGTTCAGAATCTGATGTAAATTTTTATTACAACAGCTCGATAAGATATCTCAAAGCCAAGCAGTGTTCAAAACATGGAAGAAGCTTGGAAAATTGCACTTTTTGCTTTGCTATGTGGCTTTGAAATATCCAAAAAGCGGTTGTAACATGAATATGAATAAATGAACTTTCATGGTGTCGAATATTCTTTCAATTGCTGGAACTCGATTTGCAGTATCGCTCGCCGAAAAGAAACGGGAAGCCGCGTTCCTGCAGTGAGAGTGAGCAAAGTGAGTTGATCGCTGTCCGGACACCGTCTCCCAGAAGAAATCCACCACTTACGGGACGTTGTTGAGTTTTTCTCACGTCATTTGTTTTCTGAATGGGTTTTAGATCAACTTCCAAGATTTCTATTGTTTTTCTCTTATTTTAACGTTTTATCTACGGTCAGAAGCGGTCAATGAAGGGTTAACTGGAATCTCGTAGCTAGCAATTTGAACACGAATTTTGAAAGATGTCCAAAGCAAAAAAAAAGAATTTTCTTTTTGACCGCTATTCCATCTTGTCAAACAGTTTTCTAATTTCTGTTTACTTTTTAAATTTGTTCCTGTCCAACCCGCCTTCAAAATCATAGTTGCCTTATGATCATTCATCTGTTGTGCAGATATCATTCCACTTTTGAAATTTGATTAAACCCGTGATTTGCATTTGAAGTTTTTTGCTCATTATTATTTTATAATGAAGTGCCAAACTCGTTGTCGCTCAACTCATCTCTGTAAATTCTCATGATTTATAAGATTTTTATATGATAATAAAAGTATTCATCGGAAAATGCATGATGTGATTGTTAAAAAAACTGATTAAAGGTTCGGGTACGCGCACCGAGTTGAACTTATGGTGACTTATAAAACTGGGTAAGAGCTAATGGAATCATGAGAGATTATCTGCTTAGACCTTTGAGAAAAAGCTTCTTGAAAAAATCCAGAAAAAGTCCTGTACGCACCTGAACCATCTTCTCTTCCAGAAATGAGTTGGTGCAGTGGTTAGAGGGTCCGTCTCATGATTGACTTTGAGCAGGTTCGACTCCTGTCGACGGCAAACCTTTTTTGCGATTTCCTTAAAGACAACGATTTCCATAAAAGTACGAAATTTGATAAGATTCGGAGTTTTCATTAATATAGTAACTCATTTTCAAAAGAATCAAGCAGAAATTTCCTCAAAGCTCTAGGGAAAAATGCTAGATTTCCTAGTTGTACTGAACAAGACTTTTATCAATTCGATCCATTCTTTTTTATGAAGCGATTCGTCCAAAAGAACAGCTTTTTGTTCAATTTCATGGCTTTTAAAAAGCTTTTCTTCTCCAAGAAAACTAAAAAAAAAATGCGCCCTTTTTTCGCCCCGGAATTCTTTTGGATTTCTTCGAGAACCTTTTTTTCGGTAGCCTAAAGGGTTTAGCAGCTGATCTTCCTTGATTATAAGAGCCCTTAGACAAGTATGTTAGAAACCAATGTTTCAACTAGATCCTCGATTCCGAGCCCGAATGAAATATAGTTATTTTGATTCATGAAGGATTCGGGTACCTGTAAAACCTCATTTTTCCAATCCGTTCAGAATTTTTCCAGGTGTTATCACTACGTAGCGGATGCTTCAAGCGCATCAGACTAGAAACAATCTTCACACAGGATCACAAAAAATATTAGGTCAATCTGTGAAGTTTCAAAAAAATAGGTGTTCAAAGTTCAAACGACAACGCTGTCGTAAAACTCTTGGCTTCGACAAAAATTAGTTTTTGATGAAAGTTTTGAATATCCATCCTGAATTCAACCAGCGTTAAAACATTACGAACTAGAAAAAACACAAAGTTAAAAAATGTGTAATTCAATACTAATAACATTTTCCTGCAAAGAAAAAAACGCCAGCTGAATAAAAGTTCTCACGGACAAGCTCAAAAACCTGGTTTGAAACCGTGTATTGGTTTTTGTATGATTTTCCACGAAGAAATTGCCAGTTTTCCAAACTTCATCTTTTTGTTCATCTGTCCAATCAAATTTCGCGTCCCCAACACGTCAAGGTTTATTATTTTCTCCAATTAAGAAAACAATTACATAAATTTATTGTAGAGTGCACGGCGACAAGTACTGCAAAAGGTACAGTTTCCATGGATAGCAAAGGTGAAACCAAGTTGAACTTTCCTCGCAAAGATAGGGAATGGCATGAAGCTCTGGTAAGAGGTTTTCAAAACTGAAAATAAGAGAAAGGTTAAATGTTTTTCGACGTTCTGACCTTTTCAGAAACTATTTACGGCCAAAGCGCAGCACACCAGGCACGCTTTTCTTGAGAAGAAGGTTTCCCGTGTCATCGTCGAAGACGACCTCCGATCGCTTTCCGAATCTACAAGCTGTCTTTCCTGCTTGAACTTGTAACTCAAAAAATATATCCTCAAAAATGTCAACGCTTCATTTTTCCCTCAAATTACCTCAAAACTCCAGGGACGTCTCGTTTGCCAAAGCGGAGGACTCCTGAAGCTGAACTTCTTAAAGGGTGGCCTCAAATCGTTTACCGGGCATGTCGTTGCGCTTCTGCAGGTAGTCTTCCAGGTCCGCACGTTTTCCGAACCTCAGAACTCCTGGGATCTCGCGTTTCTCGCTCAGACCTCTTTTCCCGAAGCGGAGAACTCCTAAATTTGTTTATCGTAGACTGAAAGCATCTATTTGCAATCGGATTACTTTCTTTAGGTCTTATTTTCCAGGTTTCCCATGAAAGACGAACGTTTACCTGGCATACTTTTCTTCTCGTTCAGAAAGGTCGATCGTTTTCCGAAACGAAGAACTCCAGGAACTTCCTTCTTCTGGACGGCGCTTTTGCGGTCTTCGTCCCACAAGCGGCGCTTGCCAAACCGAAGAACTCCTGGCATCGAGCCGTCAAAGTCTGAAAGTTCAGATGAAGTAGTTTCATATCTCTCCCGCGTAGTCGATCTTGTGAGTGGAAAAAGATTTTTGGATGAGCTCTTTTTCTGTTTCCGCTTTTATTGTCGGCAAATTTGATTTATAGCCTTGCTCAGGAAGTAACTCGTCTATGTCCAGCTCTTGTTTTCAGAGAAGACTTTTTGGAAGGATCCTATTTAGTTTTGTTGACAGACCTCAGGGTTTCAAGCATCCATAGTTCTTACCTCGTTTCTCAAAGACGAGGCCAGGCATGAGGCTTGGATTACCGTTGCCGTCTACTGGGTCGCGTTCTTCTATTATCTCGTAAACTGAAAGAAATGAAACTAATTTGAAACTTTAAATTGGATTGTTTCAGAGAAGTCGTTAGATTTTTTATATCAAAAGAAGCATCGGAATGTATTTGCAATCGTTTGAGACGTTTTTTTCTCTCCAGGTTGAACCAGAAAAAGCTTTTTCTAGTTAAGAAAAAAAGCTCTTTCTAGTTCTAATGCTATCGCTTGTTCCAACTAGGCGAAAGCTTCGCTTCCCGCCTTTTTTTGAAAAAGACGGGTTATGTAATTTTTTATATTACTTGTCAGAGAAGCACATAGCCGCGTCATTTCAAAAGGCGGCGGGAAGTCCCTTGAGGTCCGAAAAAAAATAAAAACTAACAATTCATTCAGCTTTTGGGTGGAGCGCCCCCGGATTCTAACCATTTTCTGACTCTCGGCCCATAGAGGCTATGATATTTTTAGTTTCGCTTTTTTCCTTCCTTGACTGCGACGTCAAACTGAAGTCGGTTGAAAAAGCGAAACGACTAAAGATTGTTTGAAAAAGTTGGATACGACGATGGAGCTTTAGATTGAGCTTGGAAGTGAACTTCGTATCATTGAAATCTACATAATCGCAGATAAAATTTCAATGTTTTTTCATCAAAACTCGAATTTTCTATCAAAAAATACTGGTGTCGCAAAAAATTTAGGACTGGGTAATTTTTTTTTCTGAAAATGATTTATAGAGGTTTCTGAAAAGTGGTTTGTCTCGTGGAAAGCTTGAAAAATTACAAAACGATTCTGAATCAGTTTGCTGAAGTAGATACTGACAGCATTTTTACAGTGTTATCTGCAAAAAGAAATGACAAACTTAGTTCGCTCTCGGCAAGAGCGCCGTGCAGTGCGCAGAGCACTGTGAACACGAGCACATTCGTCCACCGATGCATCTGACCCTGTAAGAAAGCTAGAGTTGGAATATACGGAGGAGATCTCCACGAATCAACTACCGTAGAGAACGAAAAGACTAACTGGCCGAAAAGCTAAAAATCTTCGATGGGCGGAGACATTTCCTGTCTCAACTTTGACGGACACTAACTTAATTGAATTATTTTCCTTTATTTGAAAGGTGAAGCTGAAAAGAAGTATTCGATCCAATGACAGGAAAACAACAGGAGGATGTACGCGAGGCAAAAGGGACCACAAGAGTTGGACCGTCAGGAACAAGTAAGTTTTATTTAGGTCCAGCTGCTTATATAGGTGGAGCTCGAAGAAGCTTCACTCGCGATGCCCTAGAACGGACAAGCGAACGTGTCTCTGCGGCTCCGCCCACGCCTAGACGGCCTCCCGGACTCCGACGTCATCTCAATCTTCAAGCCAAACAGATTACCAGTATCGCCTCAATACATGTTTCAAATGTTTCCGATCCTTAAACTCGATTGCCTCCGTCTGGTTAATCGAACCCCAAAACGGATTTTGGGCAACTTGGGTCGCATTTTTTAGGCTTTTCTCTCACAGAAGGAACAAGCAGAATGAGAAGAACAACCCTGATGGAAAGCGATATCCAAATTTTTTGTTATACTCGATCCTTCCAATAAAACTGGTGCTCCAAAAACTGAAAAGGGGGAGAGAATTTAACACATTTTCTTTTTGAGAAATATTAAAATCTTAGATCAAAAAATAGGAAGAAAGAAAGAGAATATTGAATCGGGTTTTTGAATTTTTCTCCAACTTATTAACTGATTACAAAATTTTCATGTTAACAAGTCGACTTTTTTATTCAAAAAACACGAGTTTCAAGAAAGTTCTGAAGCAATTGTTCAAACTATTTCGTTTCCGGACAAAAAAGTTTCTCGGCAAGTTCTCTGTATGTGAACAGAAAATCTTCCGGGAAGGTCCAAAAAAAGATGACGAGTCTTCTCCGTCTTTGATTATCTTTAAGGAAATTGGTTCACGCAACGCAGTTCGAGAAAACCAACGAGTTTGCTTGAAAATAGTTGGAGCTGGCTAAACCGTAGGCAAACCTTTCTACTCACAAGAAATCTATTGCAACCAGTCGAAAATTCATATTTATGGCTTACCATTAGAGTTAACGAGGAGCCATTTATATTAAGACAAAAAAACATTTTACTACGTGAAGCACAAAGAAAAAAAGAGCAAAACATAAACGAAGCCGTAGAAAATCTCGCAGGAAACCAAATTTTCCGCGACAGAACATTTATCCACCGTAACAGAATGGCTACTGACGAATTGGATGAAACTCATTTCAGAAAAGCAACGGGAGATCGTCTTGACGTCTCCTGACAAGGGCCTACTAAATTTGGGCAAAACTTTCAATTTTCCTCTTCTTTTTTTTTCTTTTTGAATGACACGTGAAATATTGCTGCGTCGTTTCAGTTTAAGGGGGCGGTAAAATTGAAAGTTGAACTAAATTGCTTTTTCTACGTTGGACAGCGTTTCCCGTGTCATCTGGAGCTCTTCTTTTGGGCTTTCGCGAAAGTAATCGGTGAAAAACTTTGTCTTGAAGGTAACAAAAAAAATAAATTGAAAGTTTTGATTATTTGCTATTTTTTTGATAATATTAGAAATATGCTATGAAAAAAATCTCCATCTTTTTTTAGATATTTTTTTCCAAAAAAAGATATTGTGGTTTATTTTTCTTCAGCAATTTCCTGGGATTTACTTATTTTCTTTGAATGATAAAACTGACTACCTGATTGAATCAAACAAAAAATCATCAATTTTGCCGAGACAAACTAAAAATAAAATAAAATGATGCAGTGAGGTGAAAGACCAAAGCTATCAAATCAAAGGCAACCACGCAGAACCAAATCGTGTCTTAGTTGTTCAGCTTTTTGTCTCAAAAAAAGACAAGGTTTCCTAAAAGGGTTCCCGTTCCGAAGACTCACAAAAACATCTAAAAAGGGGAGCTCGTAGTTTTTTTTCTGAAGAAAACTCCAGACAAATATTTTGAAACAGACCAATTCAGCCGGAAATTCCTGTTTATGTATCATTTCCTCTGCGTAAGAACTTTTTCAAGTCACCTACGTGGGCTAATGAAGAAATTAGCATCAAAAACAATGATGCAGCTTAGCTTACTCCAGAAACAATCAGGAAGCACTTTTCGAAAAATTATGTTAAGTACCGTTTGGAGAAAACTTTTCAGTTGGGGAAACTTTTTCAGGAAATTTAAAGCGTCTCCAATCTCAAATTGGGAAAAAACTCTTTTCTCATTCACAAGTTGGAAAGTTTACACTAGGGTGAAGATTTTGACAGGAATGCTTCGGTGAATTTTATTGCGAAAAAAGTAAAGAAACTTGGAAAAATCAAAAAAATGTGAATGCATTCTCAATTCATATGATGAGTGAAAAGATAAAGTTCATAATATTCATACCAACCTGTAAGACTTCCTATTTTCATTTGAACGATCTTTTAAAACTGCACAAAAGCTTCTCCTTCGAGCCAAGTTGGCTCGAAATTTGAACAAAAAACAAGCTATTTGTAAATGAAAAGAGTTCAATCGGCTTCGAGGAGGTTTGCGCTACAATTCGAGAGAACAGTTAAATGATTACTGTAGTCCCACCATGTATTTATAAGATAGTTGACGCATTTTTTGATTCTACACATTTTCCAAATTTCTTCGAAACGCTTTTTCGCAATTTCAATTTTAACAAAAAACTCTACGCAATTCCAACCCAAAACAAATAATTTTGAACAAAGTTATAAGCGGGAAACCAAAAAAAAATTGCTTACCTATTTTTGCTACTGTATCTGAGCGGGGGCAGAACGGATGTGATCGTCAAAATTGTAGATGGTATCACGTACTGATATGCTTTTATTTTTGAGGTTCATTAACTTTATTGTTGATATTTCAATTTTTTTGGAGTTTCAATTCCTTTTTTTATGTTTAAGAATAAGAGTGTTTATTAGTTTTTTTCCTTCCAAACGTTTTTTTAATGATACATCAATTTTTTTGAGAAAAGGCTTATTTTTCTTCCAAAAACACCGTAGTCGAAGGTACAAAAAAATTTTTCACAAGGTCCGTCTTAAAAAAAAGCCTGGATGCGTGACAACTTGAAATCAAAAGAAACTTTACCCAGTCGTTTCTAGAGCATGAAAACTGATTTCAGAACACAAGTTCAGACCCGAAACGAAGCTGTCGAGTATTAACGACTGTTTTTTTTTTCTATCACCCCATTAAAAATTCCTTAAAAATCGAATGTTCTCCCAGAAAACCAACTTTTGACTTTTATAGGTTCAAGTTTTGTTGGGTTATCAGGAAATGTCTCTGTATAAAAGCATTTCTTGATTCCTTGATCAGAGTTGTAGATTTTCGATGGGTTTATCAACATATTCATGCCTTTCTTCTTTGAATTAGAATTTTTTTGTATGCTCAGTCGTTTGGAACTTTCGCCAAAAAGTGGTCCTTGTTCTACTGCTTCTTTAGTTTCAGAGAGAAAACGATGGAAACGACGAAAAGGATCAACTATTGCTCTGAAACGACGTTTAATTCATTGTTGCACCCGACCTCCAGCGACTTTCCCTTCTCGTTTCAGATGCTTATAAAAATCAGTGAAATCAGAGTGGTCCCTATAGCGGTTTAGAGTGTGATTTCGTAGCCCCTAAAGCTCAAGTGGTCCCTATAGGAATTTTCAATTTATTCAAAAACTTATTTATTTAGTCTCCTATACCAAACCCCTATAGGTCCCACTTTTGAAAGCTTTGTTGGCTCCTATAGAGGCTTGGTAAAGTGGTCCCTTGAGGGACTCTTTGAGAGCCCCAAAGGTTGCTCTCATAGGGACCACTCTGGAGCTCTTAAAAATGGAAAAAAAACTTTTTTAATTCTGTAAGACCTACCTCTAAGTTATAACCAATCAGATTATTTCCTTCTTATGCAAAACCCACGTTTTGACCCTACTCAAAGAAGCACTAAAACTTTATTTATATGCTAATAGGTTGCCGTTTTTTGATACGCTTTGCAGGATTAAAGACCGCCGCCGACCTGCACAGTTCTGCCCAAAATATTTTCGACAGTTGTCAAGGCAACTCCTCATCGAATAAAGTGTAGACCTTTGAGTTCGTGTGAAAAAAATATAATTTTTCTGTTTTTTTCGAGTTTTTTTCACTGTAAGTTTCTGTAAGAATATTTATAATAATTCCTTTTTTTGACATAATTTGCGGCTATGAGGTGAATATTGGAAAAATCGAAAATTTCAATTTTTTTTGACAATATCGTTTATATTTTGTATTTATAACAGCAACTTCAGTTCCGAATTTTCAACTTTCAATGGAAACCAAAAAAAATTTTCACAAAATCATGGAGAGTTCCCAGAAGACTATTAACACTCTGAGAGAAAAATAATAGAATTTTTATCAGTTTGCGACTTTCACGTGGTTCTTCAGAAAAAAAAACTCACCTAGTTTAGTGTAAAATTCAAAGAACTATCACTTATCTCTCAAATACCGCACTCTTCTGAGAAATGCTGGAAACACGAAAAAATAATAATTTTCACCTTGCTTGCACTATACAAGATTTTGCAGGGAGCTGAAATTGTTTTCAAAAGGCTTTACGTTTTTTATGCATCTTTATTCACACTATTCGTTTTTGCAAACTGATGGGAATTCCCAACAGCCGTCGTTTTGTGTAAAAAATACACTTGCTTGAGCACCTTGGAGCGCGTCTCATTTTTCATAACTCCATTGCTCATTTAAATAGAATATTAGTTCAAAAACTTGGATTTTTAAAATATCTGGAAATATTGCTTCTTTGCAAAATTAATTGCTGCTTCAAAGAGTATGGTGGCTCAAAAAACGACTTTCTGAATTCTTACAGCCTGTTCTAAAAATAAATTGCTGGTTGGAAAGTTTTCCGAGGAAAAAATAAAATCAGTAAAAACAACTTTTTTGCAGCTTTTTCCATGAAACTTGTCATTGACAATTTTCAGATCATCGAAGAAAATCTGTAAAATGGCTGCTTTTTCCTACGTGGTCCTATAAACTTTCTCTTTGCTTTACGTTTTTTTCCTTGCTAGCGGCTCTTTTTAATTTCTTTTCCAATCTCTCCCCTCCCTTCTCTCTTCATCAATGAGGCCTATAAAGCTTCCTGACCGCAGAGAATTGGTTCGTTTTTTCATCGCATAATTGGCTGCTCTTCTTAGCTTCTTCATTGTGCAAAGTCTCTACAAAAAAAGGGGAGTTTCACAAGTTCCTTTTCCGTTTGTGTAGTCAGGCAAAACTTCCTTTCACCAAATACATGATTTTTCTCTCTTCAAAGTTCAAAAAACTTCCGATCTCTTGAATAAAGGAAGTTGTGAGCATAGTACTGGAAACAGATGTGGTTTCCGCTCAGAAATATGGCAAACAAATCGAAAATGAGGGCTTTTTGTAAAGTTATATTGAGAAAAAAAGATAATTTCAACTACAACTTTTTTTGAGAAGACCAAAAATGATTGATTTCAGGCTTCTAGATGTACGATTTCATACAAAATGGTGTTATTCAGCTCAAAAACGCTAGAAGCGTATTGAAAGGAATAAACGCATTTTCTTGCCTCATCTCTGAACATTTCGAGGCTGACTTGCTTAAGAGGCTGTTTCCGATTTTGTTATGCGCTCTAATCGGCGGACTTTACGAAGTTTTCTTGATGATTTTTATTGCTAAGGTTTCCGAACTTGCCAGCATTTCCTCAAGCTTTTTTTTTGCGGAAAAAAAAACAAATTTTTGTTCCGATTTTTTTTGCTTTCGCTATTGGAAGTTTTAAAAAGCGCTGATAAAAATCTTTTCAAAGTTATTATTTCAGTTTCAAACTCCCGTGATCAGCTAGGGATTAAAACAGTATTGCTCAGAAACGAAAAAACTGAAATCTTCATCTTAGCTCAACCACTTTTGTGAGCCAATTCAGTTCAGCTCTACTCATAAAATTATCATTTTTTACGAAAGAAAAAAAAATAATTCTCAAAGTGAGTTCACTGTTTCAAGCTTGTTTTACTCTCAAGAACTGGGAATTGGTCAATTTTTACTCCAAACAGACTACATCAAACTGAAAATCAAATGATCCCAATCGGTTCAGTTATTCCATAGCTTATCCAAGTGCCTAGTGAACTGAGCTTCTGCTCTAATGGGAGCGATGATGCAAAGGTGCGCAGATGTCGAAATGCGAAGGATTCGCAGGCTTCCTGCTGCGGCCACGGCATATATTTTTGCATCATTCCGCACGTCGACATGTCCCCCAGGCGACTCGGTTGAGCAGCCTTTTGCTCGCCGAGTTGAGTTGTTTGTCTCAGGCTCCCGAAGATTCAGATGGAGAAAATGCACCCGCTTGCTCTTTTTTGCTGATACGTCATATCCTTCAATCTTCACTTTGACTCGCTTTTTTTCCGCCAGAAAACCTAGGCCTCTGGGAATTTTTCGGAAAACAAGAAACAAAGAAACATATTCCCTGAGTCCGATTTGTGATTTTCATTTTTTGCCTGCAGGGAAATTTCTCGTCTCAACTACAAATTTTTCATCTTTTTGTTCGAAAATCTGCCGTGTGAGAGTTAACTGAAAGCTGGTAGAAAAAAAGAAAAAAATCAACAAACAACTTGAAATTTTTCTGAACGATCTCTTATTCATGTCAGTTTTTGCTTACTCTTCGAAAAATTGAAACGACGGCGGATTTTTTTTTTAGCAGTTTTGCATCATCATATTTTCCCTGCAATGGCTCGGTGGCGTGAAGTTCGAAGATTAGAAAAAAAATTCGCACAATTACTTTTTTAAATGTTTTTATATTTAAATAGTCTTTTCGGTGATTGTTAATAATCACATTTTGAAACAGAGATGCTCAGAAAATAGAAATGCTCTCTGACCCAGGATTTCAAAACTCAATGAACGAACAATAAACTTCGAACAGAATCTTTCAGCGGACTAGTCTCCCGTTCAAAAATTCTAACAGCTGCCGACTTTTCGCAACAACAGTTTGTCATTTGGCTTTCTCTTTTGAAACGCGTCTATGAATATAAGTGGCGTGAAAACGAGTCCGAAATCCCCTCAGTCGCGGCTTTTCTCTTTTTCGGGAAATCTCTTGGAGTTTGAGCGAACTTTACATTGTTTTGTTGCTTTTTCGGATTTACGAGTTGAATGTTGCGTGGTAGACTCGTTAGCATGAAGCAACTAGGCCCAAATTTGGTTTTTCTTGGACCGCCTTTTTTCGTATCTGATGGCACAACAGCGGGTTTCGCATCATTGCCTTGCTGTTGCCCCCTAAATTTGGAGCTTGTCCTCTATTCCCGCACATCCTATTCTTCTCCGGACTGCTCTTTGAGACATGGCTGCTCGCGCCACTAGCATTCGAGTGAGTTGAGAACTGATTACATCCTTTACCTTGAATGAACTATCAATTCTAACAACATAGCGGAGGTTGGAAATGTTAGAAGATCAGAAAAATTGAGCTTCGATTTGAAAGCCATTCACCAAATGTTAAAACAGCATTACCTGTTCATCTGAAAGCTCCGCCTTTTCGGAATTCAAACGCCATGGCCTTACATACTTTTTAGGTGCAGCAGACCTTCACCGAATTTCGCAAACTCTCTTTCATCAAAAAAAATCGAAAAACACAGTTAGGCTTGTCGAATTATCTCTATCGGGCAAGGCAAATTACTCCCAGTTCATTAGGAGACGTCAGTTAAAATTGCGTTCTTCATTTTCCAGCAAATTGAACCGACTTTCATCAAAACAAAGTTGTTTTTCTCACCACGAGCCGATCCCAAAAAGATAAATCTATAAATTCGTGAAACAATGATCAGAAGTATGAATACGTACAAATTCATTCAAAAACCCTCATAAGTTCAGTTTTTCCCATAAAAATGCTTTTTCGCTCAGAGTTCATAACAATTGCAAGATTTTGTCCCCTAGGGGCCCTCAAAAGGCCCCTAAGGTTGCCCTTATTGGGACCACTCTGGAGTTCCTCACAAACTCTTCAGCAGCATCCTTTTTCAAGGACCGCAAAAGAATCTGAATCTCCGTCGTTACGTTCAAAACTGTGAAGAAATTGATACCGTCTCAACTGCCGCAGTTATCTTCTCAAGATCAGTTGACGCCGTCCTAATGGCCTTTTTCGGACCTGTATACGACGCGTGAACACTGTCACCTCTCCTCTTGACACATTATTAACAAACGTTCGCGAATCGCGCAACATACATTTCATCCATTCAGCTCAAATCAACCATCCGTCGGCAAATGATATTAACTCAAATTGGCGTCCGTTGTGTGTCTCTTACTCGCGCACGCCCAGTTCATTTCTCCTTTAAAGGTCATTCAGTCCACTTTTCTGTCCTTCAGATGGCTACCGACGTGCCACCGACGGAGCGCCTTCGCGCTCGGTTTAACATCAAAAACCCGACAGTTCGCAATGCCTTGTCCGAGTTCTTTGGAACGGCTCTGCTTCTGGTAAGCTTTGTGACTTCTCTCAAGAAAATTTTTCACCTTAAAAAAAATTGAAATATCATCCAAGTTAACAACTGTCAAAAAAGGGGCTCAAAAATATTTATTGTAAGATCCAACTTTTACTCCAATATTGAACTTCATGTTTAGGCAAAGTCAAAAAAGTTGGGAAAAGGCTCCATAGAAATGTTCTTTTTAAGGTGAGAAAGGTTCCTTTTGGCTGCCCTTTTGCGCCGTTTCATCGGCTTTTATGCACCATTTTTGCATCCTCTTACCTTTTCCCGCAATTTCTTGAGCTTTTGAAATCCTAAAAAAAGACAATTTTGGACATGCGGTGGAAAACGAAAAGTTTCTTTGTACTTAAAAAAAAATGTTTTTTGGAACAAAAATGGAAGAAGACTTCAAGATAAGCTGATGGTACTAATTTTCAAATGAACATGGTCTTCATAGCGTGGTTTTGCTTGATCAAGAGAAAAAGGGAATAGAAATTTTCAAGCATAATTTTCCTCATCGATTGAAAGAAAACCATTTATTTTGAGTTCATCGGTTTGGGCATCGTGATGCAATTCATCCTGTCCGGCGAGAAGCTCAACACGTGGATCAACGTGAGGAAAACCTCGTTTTGTGATAAAATGATTAGTTCAACAGGTCAACATCGGATGGGGTCTTGCCATCACTTTCTGTGTCTACGCTTGCTGTAAAACATCAGGTATTCAATAGGTCTTTTTTTATAATTTAGACTTCTCAGGCGGTCACTTCAACCCCGCCGTGTCTCTAGCAATGGTCACCCTCGGACATTTGTCCGTCAAGGATTTCTTCGCTTACTGCGTCGCTCAAGTCACTGGAGCTTTCGTCGGATCTCTCGGCGCCTACTTCCTCTACTACGGTATTCATTTCGTTAGAACTTCCTGGTAAATATTTGTTTCAGACCAATTCACCAAGTTTGCTGGTGCTTACCGTACAATCCTCGGTGCCAAAGCTACTGCCGGATGTTTCTGTTCTTTCCCCGCTCTTCACGTCTCAAACGCGACCGCGTTCTTCGATCAGGTCATTTTCCAGCTCTGAAAAGAAACGCAATAAAGGAAATTTAGGTGGCTGGAACTGGACTTCTCGTGCTCTTTGTGTGCGTGATCATCGACAAGCGTAATGGAATCCCGACTTCCGCTCATCCTATGCTCTTCGGCTTAGTCGTCGTCATGATTGGTAGGCCTTGCTCAATCCAATTAGCCGTTTGCTTGCTTTCTTTCGGTTGCGAGAAATTTAATCTGAGTTTTTCACCACAACTTGGAGCTTCAGGGCAGCACGTGAGAAAGTTCAAAATGGAAGAAAAATGATATATTAACTGGAAGAGTCTCTTGAGAAAATAAGTTTTTTCCTCGTGGACCTAGGCTTCATGAATACGTAGTATTATCCACTTTGGTGGAATCAGAAAAAACTCCGCAGCCGCTGCGCATTGAGCCGTGTAAGTGCGGTCTTGAAGTTCAGGTTTAATCGAGCTTGTGGCTTTTAGTCTGCTAAATGATAGTTTTATTTTAAATGCTCATTTTTTCTCTTGGATGCAAATAAGCAACCGCTTGAGTAGATAGAATGATTAAATTCAGGAACTGCTTTTGGCATGAACCTCGGATACCCGATCAACCCCGCTCGTGACCTTGGACCACGCATCCTCGCCGCCTTCATCTACGGATCTGGAGTCTTCTCGTGAGGAAGTTGACAATGATCAGATCTGATAATGAGAATCAGGTACCACGGCTACTACTTCTGGATCCCGGTAATCGCTCCACTGTTCGGTGGAGTCCTCGGCGCCTGGCTGTACCACTTCTTCGTCGGAGCCCACATTTCTGACGTCGTCGTTGTCGAGCCAACCAACACCACCTACCTGCTCGCTGACGAGGCCAAGCAGCCACTCAAGGCTGGGTGAGTGAGGAAAATGCGCTCCTCTGTGAATGAATTTTTTTCAGAAGCGAAGCATAAACGACCAATATCGACTTTAAACTTTTTCATATGCCGTGCATTCTTTTTTTCATTTGATTTATTTGCTTGAAACATTACCTTGCTTCTTTCTTCTCTAATAAAGTTTAGTCGGTTCCGATGGTTTTCAGACTTCACATTCAACGTTCTTCTCAATGGGAAAGATACAGCCGTTTTTTTCGAGAAAATTAATAAATATAAATTTATTCGACTATTAGGCATAACCCGTAAATTACATGCACATTGATGAATATATTATTTAATGCTGCTGAGCAATCTCGGAGAAAAAGCGCAGGACGTCGTCCGTCGAAACATCCAAGTCGATTTTTGATCCCGGATAGCAAGACTGGATCAATTTGTGATACTCGTGAAGTTGCTTCAGAAACTGCTCCTATAAAGTTGCTGATGTCTAGTTTGAACCATTTTTTTCTGTATACCTGCATGTTGCGCCAGACAACTTGAAGAAGAGAAGAATTCTCAACCAGGCTTTTTTCAATTTTCTTGTACAGCTGGTCCAGTCCTTTCTTAACTTCTTTCCCAGGGTATTGCGAAATCACCTCAAAATTGAGACATTTGACGTTATCACATGGAAATCCAACCTTTTTGAGCTCCAGGCGACTGAACTGAGGTTGATAAGAAACTTCTTCTGGTTTCACTCCGCGTAGTTCGATCGCGTCATTGACATGATCAAAGAAAGACTAAATAAACTTCATAATCAAGAAAAATCAAAAGGATATTATTAACCTGAATCTTTTCCAAAGGTCTACCCATGTATTCCTTGACATAAGCGTCAATATGCTCTTCTTTCAAAGCTTTGGCATCTTTGCGCTGCCGATCAAGACAAGTTATTTTCAACTCGGAAAGGGTCACTGAAACAGGAATCTTGGATATGTTGGAAAACCATTTTTCTGACAATATAGCTGATGGTAGTTCTCAAACTTGACGACAGAAGGAGGCGATTTGCTGTTTGGATTTGCCGAAGCACGCTGAATACCGTCGCACAGACAACGGTATAAATGACTATACCTAAAACGAAAAACTACTTAGACTTCAATTCGAAAAAAAAACCAACCATTTTTCCAAATCTGTTCTCCTCTCGGCACCTTCAAAAATTGTCTCAGCATTCCGAACAAAGTTTTCGAAACGCAGAATTGTTGGTAGGATCCCAATTCTTGTCCTTTTTGGGACTTTCACATCTGCATAGGCTTGTCCTTCGCTCTCCTGAAAAAATTTTGAATTATTGAAGTTTTTACGTTTCAAACCATGAAAGCGTCGAATTGACGTTTGATCAGAACGACGAGACTACCAAAAGTTACTGAAAAGTATGAGCTGGAGTCCAAGGGCGAGAGAACTTTTTTTGACATTATCACGAAAAGCAGAAGTACGTTGCTGGAAAGAGAAATGTTCAAATTTGGGTTTAATCGAGGCCAAGGAAACAAAATATGATGGTCTAGGAATTTATCACCGATAGAATGTCCACAGCTCAAAAGAAACAACTTCTGTAGCCATTTCAAGGGCGACCAGGACTTCTCAAATTTACCCGAAAAATAATTTGGAAATTTACCTAGGTTTGTGCTTACAAATAGCCCGACAGAAGCTGTCCAAATGAATATTCAAAGACTCAAAAAGACCGCCCATAACGCTGCGCACTTGTTCGTTCATGAACTTTTCCATGCTTCGACCGCCTAAACTCATTTATGAAGAAAATAAATTGATTGAGGGCATACCCAAACTGGAACTGTCTCCACTGCCAGTGGAAGTGGTTTCGAATTGAGCGAGCAACTCAGAATTGATGTGGAAAAAGCGGACGACAAACTTTTGTTCAGCATCTATCACGGCGCTCAGTTCAGCCAGAACAGTTTCGATCAGCTGTGATCGGAAAGTTTATTGAGAATAAGGAAGAAAAGCTGGAACCTGAGGCAGCTGAGCGTCCGGACCATCACTAACTTCGCTCCCAAAACTAGTATTGTCCATCGATCGGTTTGAAAACGATGAAGTATCTGAGAACCACAGTAACTTTCAATTGGAGATCAGAAACTCACTCAAGCGCTTGTCCGGTTTATCCACATTGATTCTGTTAACTTTAGCAATGAGACTGTCAAAAAAGTTGTCAAATAGACGTTTGTAAAGATGGTTAGTCGTCTCAGTATAACGCTGCATTGTCAGCGAATATGGCTTGGGCCTGAAATTCCAAGCAAATCATTTCAAATTACCCAGAAATGAAAATACCTATTGACTTTCAACCAGCTGATGAGATCCGAAAGAGGAGAAAGAGCCCGAAAACGTTGAGACTGCTTTGGGATGCATAAATCGTGCCATTCTTGATCCAAAGAGAGGTCATTCTCAAATTTTATGTTCTAAGCTGAAGTTCGAAAATTTGAGAACCAACCAGATTGACGAAAAGAGCGGAAAGATGGGACATTAATCTGTCCACGAACAGATCAATCGCCCCAAGTTGATTGTTTCGATCTTGATAGGCTTCCATGGCAAGCATCGGTTTGGAAATTCGGCCATGCCAGAACTGAGAAACGGCTCGGGCGGCGTCGGTACACTTGTGCACGCTGAAAATTCCAGAAATATCGAAACTGAGCAGGAAAACTGCAAACAAGTCTTGATTACTGCGGGTAAAAAGTTTAAAAAGTCTGAGTGAAACAGGAAATTGTATAAATTTTGATTTTTGTTTTCAGGTTGAGAAAATAGATAATTTCGGCTATATAAGCATCGAGCATGAAATTACCAAAAACCGCTAAATATTTGAAATTAGGCAGTAAGTTTTCTTTCACCAGGACTCAAGCTGGAAAATGGTTCTCGCAGATAAGTTGAGACAATTAATATTACGTGAATGTCTAAACTTATGCCAGTGAAGAACATATTTTGCTGAGCTTCTTTTAAACTTAATTTTGGGAAATCTTTTTAAGTTCTCTTAGCTTGTCTTCGTAAATTTCCGGAAAAAAAACCCAGAATTACCTTTCAGGATTGCTGAAGTTGGCTTGTTTCAAAGTCTCCAAATGGTCGTCGGTAACGGCTTGCAAAGCAGAGACAAAAGACTGTACTTCGTCGTACAACTTGCTCTTGTTCCTACGTTCCACAACCGATAAACTATCCTTTTCTTCGATCAGCTCCACGCTGTTTCTCACGTACTGAAAGAGGACCATCGTTTAAAAAATAGAAATCAGAGCCTCACCGCGAGAATATTGTCACAGGTGTCGAACTCATCTTCCACCTGTTTTCCACTGGAATTGGCCGAGCCAATCAGTGAAACAAGTTGGTTTACTGCATTTTCACTGGCCATCATTGATTGGATATTTGCTCCGTCGAGCGATTGCAGCTGCTCCGTGAGCATCTGAATATATTTTTGAGCTTTGAAGGCTTGATCGAAAGACCTCGGCAAAGATATTCATTTGACCCATTGATAGATTTGCTTTTCCCAACAGCTTCCGGAAATCTGCCTCTTCCCGCGCTGTGATTGGCTAGAATATAAAGATTGGACTGAGCACTCAAAAAAAATTAACTTGATAATCGTTCTGATCATCTCCAGCGTCGGGAGGAAGTTCTACAGGGATTATCATCGCGTCGTTTTCCATCATTGGGATAGAGACGTTGCAAAAATCAGGCATTTGAACCGGCAAATACTGAGCTGAGAGCTGGAGAAGCATCATGATAAATGTCAGTTCCGAATTCAAAACTGACCTTGTAGAGCTCTCGAATGAATTCTTCTTTCTCTTCAGTTGAGCCACTGATGATCACAAAACGTCGGTCTCCTATCGTGATGTGAAGTTCTGTCGTAGGCTAAAAACAGATCGATTTCCCAAAATTGTCGATTTCAGCTTTTTGTTCGAATGAATGGCTGCTAGAATGAGAATTTCAATGGCAAAATCCAAAGGTCTCAAAAAGGATTTTTCAAAAGAAGACCTCAAAAGCGCCTTTTTTTTAAATTTTCTTGAAAAGAACCTTTTAGGAAGGTGAAAAAAGAAGAAGGCGGAAAAGAGAAGAATAAAAAAAGATTTCGAGAAACTTTGGACACCTTTTTAGGATCTTAAAAAGAGCTTCAGGCTCTTTTTAAAGGCTTTTTTGAGGTCGCTTGGACTTCGCCTGTGTATACAAGATTGATCATATTAATGTTTCACAGCCAACAGATAAAAATGTACTTATAAACTTTTAACGAAATTTTTAAACGCCTTAGCAATATTTTTCTTCGATAAATTTGACCGGTTCCATTTTTCAGAGCACCTCAGCAATTTTTCAAGATTGAACTATAAAATTTCAATGTAATCAGAGGTAAAAAAATACGATTCATATCATGATTTTTCAGAAAAAAAGTTGAACCGACCTTTTTGGGATTTATTCCATCGATTTCCCGCACTTCGCGTAAATTAAAACGCTCCTTCTTTTTGAATGTGTCGTCCCGTTCGCCTTTCACGAAATACAGCCGGACCGCGATGGGATGTTCAATAGTCACTGGTAAGTTTTCTCATTAAGTTACAAAATCCAAACGAATAATGATTCAATACCTGCCAAACACAAGAAAGTTTGATGTTTTTTCTTTTTTCCGTCGAGTTTTATCACATTTATGATCGACTGGATCCTTTCATCGTCAATTTGAAACAACTGACGCTGCATGATTTTCCGTATCGCCGACATTATTACCTTGAAAAAAATTTGTTGAAACTTCACATAAACGCATGAAACACTGAGAATTTGCATAAGCGGAAAAAAACAGGGCCGAATTTACATAATTTGTAAAAAAATCTGAAATATTTCTTAACAAAAAAAGCTGTAACATTTTTGCAGATTGTGGTCTTGTACAACTTCAAGGTATCAAAATAATGAAGAGCAGATTTTTTAATCAGTTAGGGCATCACAAATAAAATAAATAAATGTGCTATAAAAAAAGAAAAATGTCGTATTTCTGTGTTTGGGGGTGAAATTTCGGTAGAGCGCACTTACCCTGATGTGATACATAAAATTGCAATGCTAATTTTTCAAAGTTTACTCAATTTTATTAAAGCTTTATAGTTTTTTTCAGAGTTATTTAACTGTGTTTTTGTAAGTTGTATTAGCTGCATTCTATGTGAATCTTTAGAAATTTTTTTATAACGTCACTTAATTAATTTTTTTGATAGGTTAAAAAAATCTAGCTAATTATACTGTTTCATGGATAGAAAAAAATTAAATTTTTCTGACTTTTCACCTAATTTAAGGCTGGCTGGAGCCATCAAAAAAAGCTGAGAGACAGTGCCTGGTTAGTGGAGAGGGCAGACAGGCTACACTTTTTGCATCCGAAGCTACCGGTGGATGAGCTAATGGCATGTATTTTTAAAAAAAGCGTTCAGGAGTTCCCTGAAAAAATGTCAGAACAGTCTTTAGAGTACAAAAAAGATATTCTTCAAGCCTCAAGCTTCACAACTTCCTAGTTGTAGAGAAACGAAGACTCAAAGCCGAAGAAAACCTTCAAAACCAGTCAAAAAAGCCATTTATGGAGCTTCGAGCTCTTATTTCTTGAAAACTAGAAAGTTGTGTAGATTGAGACTTTCAAGGCCAAAATTTAATACTTCAAGGGAAATAAGGAAAAATTTTCAGAAAATCTTTCTAATTTCCGATTTTCGCAGAAACAAAAAATTTGAAACCCTTTTCAAAACTCGTCCGTCTTTTGTAGTGAGCTCTTGAATGTTATAGATTTTTCAAATTGAACAGAAATCAAAAAATCATCCTTCATAAAATTTTCTGTAAATTATCAAATATAACTAAACCAATAGATTAAAGACGAATTTTTCCGAGCTTTCATAACTTTGGATGAGTAAAAAGTTTATTAACGCTGACCACAGTTAGAAGAAGATTGTAAGGAGAATTTTATTTTTGGAATATAGCCACAAAAAACCTAAAAGATGGAGAAGCAAGCAGAAACCGTAATAAGCAAATCAAAAAAGAAGTAAGTGACAGTTTTTAAATATACAAGAAGAGCACCATGAAAAAATTATTCAGTTTCATTGTCCTTGATCGAGGGAGAAGCAGCGACGAGACGGGGATGGGGATCTTCCATGTTTGGCGACAAAAAGTGAGTTTTTGTTCCGATTTTCGACGATGAAAATATTCTGCTTGCTTTCTTCTTCGCCGATTCTGAAGCGTTAATATCAATTATCTAAACTATTGACTCAAAAAATACCTATCAAAGATGATTCCGTCCACGTTCATCTCTTCTTTAAAATATTTTTGGATCTTCTTGTCGTTGAGATCGTCTCCCCAAACAAACTTCACCAATTTATAACGGTCAGCAATGTTGATCGGTGTACGGTCCTTGAAATAAATGTTTTTTTTACAAATCACAGAGCATCTATCTCACATTAAGAAGCTCTTCACTATGGAAGTTGACCCCGAGAAGCTGAGAACCGGCAGCAAAGTTGGCCGCGATCCGACTGCAGTCAGATCGAACATCCTGAAAAGTCCCATTTAAACAAATATTATTTTCGGAAGATTTTACTTTGAAAGGAGTGTATCTCATTGTAGCCCCCACAACAAGGAAAACGACTGGATATTTGTGTTGCTTTTGGTTGATCCTGAAAAACTCATGTTGCTAAGTCAGGCAGAGATATTTGGAAGGTGAAATTGGAAAATGCCTGCCAGAAGCCTTCCAGAAGCCTGCTGGAAAGCATCTGGAAGGTTTCCGGCAGATTTTTTCAAGTTTAGAATGCTGGAAAGCTATTTGGAATGCGTTCAATCACTTGCTGGAAAGCTTCCAAACGTCTTTCAAGGAACCGAAAGCAGAAGCTTCCGCACTTCCATCTGAGAACTAAAAATAAAGGCTTACAAAGTGCAGATGTCTGGATCGAAGCAAGAGAAAACGATTCTGCGCTCTCCTGCGAACTCTGCGACTTCGTTAAGAATGATATCCACGAACTTGTTCTGCTCAAAATATCCTTCACACTCATGGCTTCCGTCCTGAAATTCACTTGAAATACTGACAAAGCTCTCCAGAATACCTTCATGAACATCGGATATTTAATCTCAATGTTCAGACCGACATCTGGGTGAACATTTCTGAGGACTTGGCCAATCGAGGGAAAAGGGACATGCAGCTCGTTTGTTTCATCTTTTGCTGGAGTAACGGGTAAGCCAGCGTTTTCGATTTCTTCACAAGCTGCTCGAGAAATGTGCTCCAAATGAAGCATGTTTAGCTGCTCCAATGTCAGATCCTAAGAAAAACCATTCTTTTTTTTCTAGTGAAGCTGTTTAGAAACCTTGATTGCGATTTGATGAAACGCCATGTTCAATTCTTTTGAAATAGTAGGTGAGCCTGATGGAGATTCTCTGCCTGCGACGTGGACCAAAACGTGGAAATCATGGTAGACGACCGTTTTCAAGTCCTTGAAAATGGATGATGAAAACTTTTCAATGCCGGTTCTTTTTCATTTTCTTTTTTTTCTGAAAAAATCCTAAATCTTTGAAAACATTTCACATAAAGGTTACAGAAGTCTCAAACGAAGCGAAATTTTTTTAATATTTGGAAAAAAACTGTCTCAAATTTTTCATTTTATGAGATTTTTTTGTCAATTTTTTTTAAAAGTTTTTTTGAGAACCATGAAACTTGTAAGCTATACCTTCGTGATTTGTACGTCCAGCTCTACATAGTCAGCACCTCGACGAGCCGCTTCATTCAATGAAAAAATCGTATTCTCTCTCGCACTCGTCTCTCTACAAATCAAAAGTGAAACAAAATCTTTTTCTCGAACTCACTTTGTATAGGAGCTGCCCATGCCGCGATGTCCGATTTCCAATATACGATTTCTCCTACGCCAGTACCGTCCAAAAGACTTTTGCATAGTGTCGATCGCGGTAAAGGATTTGGCTTTAGGGCACCTTTTCGCTATCATGTAATCAACTACAAAAAAAGTCTCGATGACTGGGAATAGAGGCTTTGCTCACGATCCATCTGCCCGACGGGTGCTTGGTTTAACCCTACGAGAATTACGGTAGATGTGCCATGAGTTTCGGGAAAAGTCGTTGGCAAGGTGTAGGCAAGAGCGTATCTTTTTTTGTCCTCATATAGTTCAATCCGTAAAGCCTAAATCATCCATTAAGGCTAATTCGAGATCATATTGATTACGAAAGCAGATAATGCAACAGTCCTCGTTCGGAACACCAAGTAGTCCACATTGTTCCGGAAAACAGAGCCATTCGAGTACTGGTCGCCGTAAATCGGATCTTCTCTGGTTAAGACCTTGAAAATTAAGAAATGACATGAATTTTCCCTAAGCTATAATTACCGAAAGATCGGTGTTCGAAAAACTTGGCAGTTCTGGCGTTCTTCCAGGATCGTTCTCATCTACATCTTTCTGTAAATATGAAAATTTTAATATGAAAATTTTGATTGAAAAGCGAAAAATTGAGAAGCCACAAAGGTTTTGATCATAAAAAAAAGGATAAAAGCAAGCTGCAAGCTTTAGAGTTTATCCTATCAAAATAGACTTAAAATAGGAATTTGTTCTATTTTTTTCTCACTTTTTTTAGTATCAAGTATATTAGAACGATACGAAAACTGAGGTCAAAATCAATTCAAAGGAAAGAAAAAAAGCAAAAAGCGCCAGTTACGAAGTCAGATTCATATACAAAAAAAAGTTTTTTTTTTCAAATTCTTTGTTTTCAACCATTTCACAAAGGGCCTTCAAATTCAAAAAATATTTTTTGAATTCAATTTTTTTACAGATATAGTTATAATAGAATTCGTGACTCTCTTGCCAGTTTATCCTCAAAAATCAAGCTCTTCGGTCTTTTTACTGATCTGATTTGAAAATCAGTTTTTTTTTCTACATATTGGGTTCTTCGTCCCACCAAAAGAACAACTTTGATCGATTAACGCGATAATTGCAGTTGTCTCCACAATTCCGTCAAACTTCAAACTTCACAACATCAATCAGAACACAAAAAAGCAACGTTTTTGAGGTAGCCAGAAACTAGAACGCGCCACGACACATCTAACATAGTACCCACAGAAACAGAGGCGTACACTGATGAGTGCCGCCAAATGGCCCGACGTTCTGAGGAATTTTTGCTATAGGTAAACATCTGCAATGTCCGTTTGTTCAGATTGAAAATATTCAATTTGAAGAAAATATATTCGAAAATTGTACTTACATCTCGAAATCTGACATCGAAAGGAACAACTTTGACGCGGAGCGTTTTCTTCCTGTCCAGGGGACTGAATAGCTTCAAGGCCTGAAGATTCGGGTTTCGAAAAGATTTTCAGATATGAGCTACTTCTCCGTGAATCCGGAAAAAGACCACGTGTTCGTTGTCGTTCAAAATCCAGCCGTCAGATATTTGGACTTTTCCGCCTAAACTAACGGTTTACTGAGAACTGGAAATTTTGTGTTGATTTTTTGGGTCTGAAAATTTTTCAGTCATTTAGGCGATATTTGGGCTGAGAAAATAAGGTCTACACTTTGAATACTTTGGTTTTTTTTCGTATAATAATGGTTTCTTGCAAGCGAAAATTTTCAAAAACCTAGAAGTTCATTTTTGTCAACCTTTTTTTCAAATCCAGTTCCCAAATGACCATATTCCAAAGCTTTTTGCCATTTGAAGAAACTTCTATCGTACCGTATTCTCCGAAAATATCGATTTTCTCCTTCCTAGCATGTCCATTTGTGTGCTCTACGTCTAGGATACAATGTCTAGAAGCGAGAAACGTCTCCCATCTGCAAAAAGAGAAAATTTTCTCTTTCTTCCGGGTTTCTAAACCTTGATAGGATCAGAACAGGAGAAGATGATTCTGATGTTTCAGCTGGATCCAAAAAGTAAACGGAAATGTACCGGAAACTAATGTGAGACATGCTTTTAGCCACTTTGAGATATCCGCCCCAGATCTTTCTGGAAACTTTCGGATGATTTTTAGATCTCATTTCAATGATTACGCAGTGTTTTCCCTAGTCAAATATACTTCGCACTATATTCGGAAACCTTCATTTCTTTTTCGACATCAGATTTCAGTACCTGTCTTCTGATTCTGGCTTTAGAGCGAAAGACTTCTGAGGCATCCAATCCCCTAAGGCCGGATGGTCTCCGACGACATGCATGTGCTCCCATTCTCGTATGTCGTCAAATTGCACTCGAAAATGTATCGTGACGTCTTCTGTCATTTCTGAAACAGAAAACTCTTCTAACTATTTTATTTATTTTACCAAAAAAAAACGACGGCTTCGAGAGTCCTTATTTTTAGGACGTAATTTTCATTTTTAAATTTTTTTCAAGTTAGATTTGTAAATTAACTGACATTAGAGGGTCTTATTGTATCATTAAAAAGGTTACCTGACCAAATAAAGAAAAAAAAAGGATGAACGAGAGAATTAATTCTAATTACAGAGATAATAGGAAGTAATCTGATCCATCTAATCTAATCTAATCTAATCTAATCTAAAAGCTAATTAATCTACTTGGGATGTACTTTCATCATCAAAAAAAAAAAAAGTCGTAAAATTTGTAAAAAGGAAATTATAAATTTGAGAGTTCTGGAAAATCTGGAAAAGAACCCTATTCAATTAATCAATTTATTGCAGGCAAAGAAAGAAAAAAACGCGAGAAGAAAAAGAAATTTTTTTGCTCAATTTTTTTAATGAGCTGGTGAAAAAAATTTCAATAGTATTCAAAATTCAATCTATCGGATTAAAAAAATATTGAAGCAAAAAGAAAAGTAAAAAAATAAAAAAATTGAGACGATCTCCGTTATTTGTTTGTTCCAATTCACGCAAATAAAAAACCCGTCTCGACTAATTATTTATAATTCATCGGGTCTCAAAATATGTTTTGGAAAAAAACTCGAAAAAAAAGTATAGCATAGTAAAACACATGAAATGAAGTCTAGTCTGAAAATTATCAAAAGTCTTGATCATGAGGTACGTGAGGAGCGACCACGTGGCTCGAAAACTTGGAAAACAGCTTGTTTTTCCGTATCAAAAAATCATGATAAGCCAACATGACCTGTGGTTTCAGAGAATCACCTGTGGAAAGTAAGGTCACGATAAAAAAACCACGTGGCTCAAAAGTTCCGAAAATTTCTATTTTTTTGTTTTTCATCTGCTTCAGAGCAATCATAAGAGCGAATACGTGACCTCTGACACTGATAAATTCCGTTGAGAAGGTTCAAGTCAAAATAAAAACCACGCTGCTTGAAATTTAGGAAGATCGTCTGTTTTTCAATCATAAAACTTTTTCATAGACTTTCATAAAAGAAAGAAGAATCAAAGTCAAAAGAAACGGGAGTCAAAAGGGTAAAAAACTGACGAGAGCGTCAAATGGTCGATTGTAATGGAATTCCCATCCCTCTGCCCACTGTTATCATTTTAGATATCGATTTCGAAAAACTGCCGGAAACCGTATCTCAAACTGAAACTTCGTCAAAAAGAAGAACAATTGAAATAGCTTCATTTTACGATCTTTCTGCGTAGTTTTCTCCTGTTTCTGTTGACTTTAAAACAACGTTTGAATTGAATACTGATAAGGCCATATCAGACAAATTAGATTCTGCCCTTATCGCCAACATTCTTCTCTGCAAGTTGGCGAATACTCGTTCATTTCAGAGAACTTTTTGGGGCCACTCAAAACTTAGTACACAGAGTAAAGTACGTTATTTACACAGGTGAGTCCGGTGTGATAGAAAAAAAGAGAAATTTTGTTAGTTTCTCACATTTATGAAGCCGAGTCAGTGAAGGAGCTGGAGGAGGTGGGAGGAGAGGCGGAAGGAGGTTCGGATAGGCCGAAATTCGCTAGAACTCGTGGTTGGGGTGGAGTGAATCAATGGCAAGAAGCGCGATGGAGCACAATGAACGCGGAGGCACGTGGGGACACAAATTGAACTGAAGCATGACCGACACATCTCGGAGAACGATCAAAAAGAACTATTGGACAACCTGCTGTGATTAATGAGTTTTCATAGCATTGCGACGGGGACTGCAGGCATGCTTTTCACTCATATGAGAAGCGTGGAATTTGAAAAAAAAAAACGGATAAATGTTCTTTGCTCTTTTTGATGGATAAACTTTCATCTAAGTGAAATTCGAAAGCGAGGTAGGACGAAAATTTGTTTGAAGCCGCGGGAAAAAGTTGCGAGATAGCGTTTGCGTCACCTCTAGCTGAAAGACGTGTCGTGTGGTCGAGGGAAAGCCGCCTCATTTTTTCTTCACGTTTGGTTTCCATTGCTCTATTACTCTCTAACAAAATAAAAAAATTTTCAAAGCAACTCTCAATTTTTTTTTTTGCCGAAAATGAAGCTGTTTTTCCCGGAACAGTTTACCAATGTCCATGAAGTCCGACAGCTGCACTACGAAAGTTTATTCAAGCGACTATTAATTAGGGTACAATTGAGGCTACATGCTTCATCTTACTAAAAAAAGACAACAGTTCAAAATCAAATAATTAGGTTCAATTGATCGGATGGAGTTCGATTTATGCTTGGGTGGCAATGTGTGAGATGAGGTCGACGACACGGTTGGAGTAGCCGAACTCGTTGTCGTACCAAGCGACGAGCTTGACGAAGTGTGGGTTGAGCGAGATCGAAGCGCCAGCGTCGAAGATCGACGAGTGGCAGTCAGACACAAAGTCGGTGGAGACCACTTGGTCTTCAGTGTACGCCAAGACTCCCTTGAGCGGTCCCTCGGCAGCGGCCTTGAGCACCTGCAACTTTTCAATGACTTCCGTTTTCTCATTTTCTCATCAAACCTTCTTGATGTCGTCAAGAGAAGCAGGCTTCTCCAAGCGAGCAGTGAGATCAACAACAGAAACGTCCGGAGTTGGGACACGGAAGGCCATACCGGTGAGCTTGCCGTTGAGCTCAGGAATGACCTGAACAGAAAATGTATGTTTTTGGCTTTGCTTAGGGATCAGGTACTTTGCCGACAGCCTTGGCGGCTCCAGTAGAAGCTGGGATGATGTTCTGTCCAGCTCCACGGCCATCACGCCAGAGCTTTCCAGAAGGTCCGTCGACGGTCTTCTGGGTCGCAGTGACGGCGTGGACGGTGGTCATGAGTCCTTCGATGATTCCGAAGTTGTCGTTGACGACCTTAGCCAATGGGGCCAAGCAGTTGGTGGTGCACGAAGCGTTGGAGATGATGTGGTCGTTGGCAGCATTGTATTTCTCGTGGTTGACTCCCATGACGAACATCGGAGCATCGGCGGACGGGGCCGAGATGATGACCTAGGGTTGAAAAATGATTGGAATTGATATTCAATTTGACGAATTTACCTTCTTGGCACCTCCCTTCAAGTGAGCGGAAGCCTTGTCGATGGTGGTGAAGACACCAGTCGACTCAACGATGTATTCGGCTCCAGCTTCTCCCCATTGGATCTCAGCAGGGTCCTTGGCGTTGTAGACCTGGAAATGAAATGATTGCATCAAGGTTTCGCAATGGAAGCTTTTGCATCATAATGTATCGATATTTGAGTTTTACGCTAAGAAATCAGAAACTTTGTTTTCCATAATTGACTTTTGATCCGAATTATATCGTATTTACGGTTAGTAGCATCTCATTTTCTGTCCTGTAAGTCTCCACACGAACCTTGATCTTGTGCTCGCTCTTGCCCTCCTTCTTAACGATGAGGTAGTCACCCTCGTGCTTGACGCAGCCCTTGAAGCGACCGTGGGTCGAGTCGTACTGGAAGAGGTAGACCATGTAGTCGACGTTGATGAACGGGTCATTGACGGCGACGACTTCCACGGAGTCCTTCTCGACGGCGGCGCGAAGCACCAGACGACCGATGCGGCCGAATCCGTTGATTCCAACACGGGGCTTGGTCATTTTCGTCACTGAAAGTTCCAGTCTACTATGACTATTTTCAGGCTGATTGAAATAACGATTCGAATCACGAGTGAAAAACAACAAGTAAAAAAATGATGGCACGTTGAATGCTTCATTTTTTACAATATGAACAGAAAATGAATAAAAAAAGTCATTTAGCGATTTCCGCTTCCGTTTCTCTGGTCCTGCCCGAACTCGACGTGTTCCTGAAAAGTCATACTTTTGTTCGGGGCTCAGTTTGAAAGAAAATTTAGATCATTAAGAAGCTGATTTTTTTCAGGATTCCTTATGAAATTTTCTTGAGTTTTTTTAATATTTGATCGTTCACAGAAATTGAAGGAAAAAAGCTAACAGGTTTTTGTTTCTCTGGGTGCCTGAGTTCAGCCTCTTTTTGCTGGATCTGCTGCCTCATTTGTTCAATTTGCTCCCGATCTTTCTGTTGGAAATATGCGGCCTCGCGAGCAGCCCCGAGTTTTCCAAGGGCGCCACCTTCTTCATAGATCGCCCCATCGCTTCGGTTACTTGACATTGCTGAAAGAAGAAAACGTTTGCAATTTGGTGATGATCATTGAAACATTTGATAAGGGACGCGAAAGAAAACACGAGAAAAGCCGAAAAAGAACAGAAAAGGGACGAGCAATGTGGGCCGAGTGGCGGCCGACCGATTGCCATGATGCAATGGCCGCGTTGCGCCGCAAAACAACCGCCCAACATGTTTACTTCTTTTCTTCTCGGGAACACGTACACACTTTTTCACGGCGAAAGTTTTGAATCTGTATGGATCATTACAACGGAAAGTTATTGCCTAGCATGGGTATCGGTTTCAATACTCTCCAGTGGACAAACATAATATTGGCTTCGTTTTTCTGACTTCAGTTAAAAAATTTATTGAAATTTTACGCATTTTCAGCTTTATGAAGTTGAAAACTCTAGGCTCAAAACTGCCGAAATTTTGCTGCTTGACAAGTTTTTTTTCAGTAGAGTTGGATTTTCCAAATAAGAAACTATTGCTTTTTAAGCTAAACATGTGGAGAAAACAAGAAAGTTTCGCGGCAAAATCTTATCAAAGAAAAATTGATAAGGCATCATGAAACAGCAAACCACTGGAAAGACCAATTTTTCGGAGTGATCAAACAGAAATCTAAATTTATTTTGAATAGCTTCAAACTGAAACCGATCGCCAAGACATCGAAAAAATAATTTCCGCCCATTTTTCAAGCTGGAGAAATGATGCAAACGCTTTTTGATGCGAACGCTTTTTAAATGATGCAAACGCTTTTCAAGCCATCTGGGAGAAGCTTGCGAAACTCTGATGCAATTTCTAGTCTTTCGTCGTAAAACTTCTAACAGTGGAAGCCACTCTGAAAAAATTGCAAACTCAAAAAGAAGCTGGGAAGACGTGAGAAGTGAGCTGCTTGGGCAGGAAAGTGAAAGACGAAGAGGAACGGCAGCGAGCGGATCGCCGAGAGGCAATCAATGCAGTTTGTGCGGGGCGGCTGTTCACTCGCTTTCCACTTTGGCACGTATGCTCTCGACTTAGACCGAATTTCCGCTCCGAGGGTCAATCCTTGTGCTCTGCAGATCAAATTGATGTTATTTTCTTGCTAGCGTCAAGACATTTTTGGACAAGAAGATGCGTTTAAAAATGAGGTGTTCGTTCTGGAAGATAGGAGCTTAAGAAAACCTTAATTATTGATGATCAAGTGCGCTTTTGATCTTAATGGGACACTTTACATTGTTCAAATAGGAGCCATACCTAATTGGAAGAATTTAAAAAGCTCCATGATTTTTTTCATTACGAATTACTAACCTTAAAATGCTGCATTTCATACGACTCGATGAGCAGAATAGCTTACATGAACTTTTCATCAACTGGGACGTTTGGAAGTCTATAGTTTCAAAACCTGGTACGAATACAGTCAAATACGGACTAGTTTTCATTTTTTCACTTCCTAGAAACAACACAGACTTTTCATTTTCAGCAAAACAAATATATCCTTAAAATCTTCATCATAAGGCTTTACGAAGCCTTTTTCTAAAAAATAACAAAAAACCCTGAAAACATACCACTTATGCCGGAGACAACGTGAGAAAGCAAAGGACCGATTAAAATGAACCGAGGTCGGCGATTTCAATGATAGGCGGGGTTGTTGACAATTCGGACGGGCATCTGATCAGAGTTCGCTGAGAGACTTCAAAGTCTGTTTTGGTTTTTCATCATCAAATGAAAGAAAGACCAGTTTCTGATTGTTTTTTTTTAGTATAAAATCGTTTGATGTTTTGAACTTGACAAAAAAAATTTTCAAATCCACAGAGGATAAAATGTTCTATCGAAAACATACATTGTTTTTTTTTTAACTTTTGCCGGAATTTTCGATAACGCGTAGCGGAGGATTTTTTTAAACATTGCTACATGGTCCATGTTCTCGTTACTTTCGAGTTCTTGAACTATTTAAATGCAGTTAAACATGGGTTTAAGGTAAAAGAAACATCTTGTGAAGCTTACATTGCAAACCGAACGGTCTACTCAAAAAAGCAGAGAAATGAGTAATTTTAAAAAGCAACGCGATTCAATTTTCCTGTCTTTCAGCTTCGAAATCTGCTTGGGATTGGTGTAGAAAAATTTGGTAACAGTAGCCGCCCTTGAACTTGTCATTGAACTTGCTACTTGAGCAAAAAAGACAGCAACCTGCTTCAAATCAAAACTTTTCTACTTTGAAAAACCATTGAGGCAAAAAAATACACAAAGATACTCAAAAAAACTCAAAATATCGACTTCCCAATCGCAAGCCGTAAAGTCACCATTTTTCACCAGAAAAACGCTTTGGGATCCGAATTGGCGAACATTAACCGAAAGGAAGTTTTTATGGCAGGAAAAACTTTGGTGACAACAGAAACAATAAAAAATTGAAAATAGGAAGGAAAAGCAATAAATCGAAAAAATGACAGTCCGCTTTGCTCATAGGAGAGCTACTTTACTGTAAAATGCTTTTGATACGTGACTTTTTTGTCTTCGACTTTTGATAAATTTTTTTGAATCTGAAGTTCAGTAAAGAAACGAAGAAATAAACTATTAACTTCAGATGATCATTGCCAAAGTCAGAAGCGCGAAAAACGGTTGCAAACAGGAGGTCACTGCAAAAATGACCGCTGAAAATGGGTTTCGTTTTGCGGTCTTTATTGAGCCTTGGTGGGCTGAAAAGACTCAAAATAGAGTGAAAAAAAAGAAGCCGCAAAAAAGGTAAAAAAAAAGTCTCGGCCATTGATGATTCTCAATTTTATTACTGTAGCACAATTTGGTCCATACACAGTCTAAGAATTATTAAGATCATTCTCAATTTAAAATATTTTTTTTTCTCAAAAACCCAAAAAGGGTGTATAAAGGCCGATGACAGGGCGGAAAAAGGCAGTAAACAGGAAAACCTTCCCGCCCATTCAGAACAATTAATGGAAACCTTTTGCACTCATAAAGGACGTTCAAAGGGGCCGGAACAGGTCCTTCCGATTTTGCTTATGGCTTGAACATTCATCAGGATTTCTAATTTTTTACTGTTTCAAGGTTTCTTTTTGAACCACTGGATGTTTTATTTAACAAACCTGAAAAAAGGGGAAAAAATCAAAACTTCATTGTTCGATACAGAAAAATTTACAAAGATATGGTATGGCTGCGAATCATCAAAGAGCACAACAACACCCGTGGCTAATCCATTCACAGCAGAATCACAGTGAGGTTATGTATAAACAGGGGTTTTATATCACACGGCTGCATCACCAAAAGCTATACGAGTGTTAAATTTCACTAAAATCACATCACAAAATAATGTTGTAAAAATGATTGTACTAAAACCGATTATGCTATCCTCGAAATATCAGTCTAGCTATCAATCACTTCGTTTTGTTGATGGGTTTCATTTGTTCATCTCCGAGTTTCAGAACGTTGGCCATTGCTTTGAGGATGAGTTTGCTTTGCAAAGTCGGCGGAGACATACAATGAAGAAATTGGACAAAAATATTGCGTAGGTAGTCAAGTTCATTGGTTGAGGAGAGCATTTGGAGCTTGCCTGCAAGACAATAAGGCTGACTTTTTTTTTAAAATCATCTTCGGCGACTTGAAATTTCACTGAACGACATTCCACTGTTTCCCTGCGTGCGGTCGCAATGCGTCTTCGCCTACCAGTTTTTTCTTTTATTTCAATACTCGACTTTCCATTTTTCGAACTGTAAAGAAAAGTTGAACTGTCTGTACACCAGCTTTGATAATAAAAAAAAGTACCGAGGCTCACAGAGGCAAAAACGCTTTGCGACCGCACGCAGCGGAACAGCGGAATGTCGTTCGGTGAAATTTCGAGTCGTGGTACATAAACTATGGAACTTGCTATCAAGGAAGGGATTATTTGGTAAATTAGACGAATCATTATAACTTTTGAACTCTTTTCAAACGTTTTTTTCCAGAATAAACATAGGTAGAACCTATTAAGAAACTCCATTGAGACTTCCAAAAAAATTACCTTAAAAAAATTGTTTGTCTTAAAAAAATTCTATCATGAATCCTCTGAGCCTTACCTTCCAGAGCTCGGATTTTGTCATTAAGAAGTTCAGTAGTAGACAAGCGTTCCAATTGTTCAGACAAGGCTTTTTTGTGATTGTTCACGCCAACGAAAATCCACTTCTTCTAATTGTTTCCTAGAAAAAAAGTTTATACATGGAATTGCTATCAACTAACCTCAAATCAGTGATTTCATGTTCTCTGCTGGCAAGTCGGTTTTCATAGAAAACGTTTCGTTGGTCAGGATCTGTAATTTGGAACTTTTTTTGAGATGCGTTGAGACGAAATAATCATCTCACCCATTTCTAAAAATATTCATCAGATCTTTTTAATAAATCGGAAAAAAATAAATTAAAAAGTTTCAGAGATATGAGTAATATAAAAAAACTTCAATGAAAAAGTCCTCACCAAGAGTGAAAATTGAGTTTTCATCAATCAGGGACGTTTGAGTTTTTGATTTTCAGAGTGAGATCTGAGCTCGTCTCGTCTTAAAACAGTCAGCATCTTTCTGAAATTTCAAACTTAGAACGATTCATTTTGAAAGAAACTTTTGGCTTTTTAAAAAAATTTTTAGAAATTCTTTTTTTTTATGAATTCAAAGCAGCCAAACCTGCAAACTTCGAGTTCTTCCTCTTTTGCTTCAATCATTTCACTGGCTCTTGAGCGTTGTTTATGCATTTCCTGCTCGATTTCCCCTGAAAATATAAATCGAATTCCTTTGAAGAAACGAGTCTTTGAGAAAACTTCATGAAACCTTGTAAAAGTGTAACCAGAATTTCTAGGTCCCGAATTACTGTGAAAAACATCTTTCATTTTTATTTTCAGTGAAGTTTGAACGCTCTTAAAATCACAGAAATTCCAATTTTTCTCACGTATACATTTCACTTTTTCAGGTTTCGTCGATTGAACAAATTCTTATATTTTAGAATTTGAAGCTTGTAAATTTTTTTCCGAGAAGCTTCATCAAGTTTTCCTCAGAACCAATTTTTCTAGAAAGTTTATATACCTATATATACCTCTTTGAGCCGTCAAAATCCGAATGTCCTCTTTGAGTTTCGAAATTTCCGATTCTCGATTTTTGACACTCTGCTCAGTCTTTTCAATTTCCTGAAAAACTTGAAAATTTTCTTTCAAGAATGAATTGAAACCGTAATCAGATGTCGTTTCTCTTTCTCGATTTCGTCTTTTTGTTTCTTCAACTTTTCGTTGAACAGCATCATCGTGTTGTTTTCATCTCGTAGCTGAAATTATGGTGAATTGATTTTTTTTTTATTGATTGATTCTTTAGGAACAGTTTTAAGATACTCATGAAAACGAAATTTATTTCCAAGGCTCTCTTCACTTGAAACATCATCGCAAATTTATTATCTTTCAGAAACAGTGATAAATTTTCTGATTTTTTTTATTTTTAGCGGCTTTCTTTGGAACTGAAACGTACCTTAGTGATTTCACTGATTGTTTGGTAATCGTTCGCCTCTCTAGTACTGTCTGCTATTTTTCGTCGATAAAACTCTTCTATCGCCTGACGTTGCTCCGGACAGCACAAATCTGCAAATTCATTCATTTTGAATGTTTTCAAAGAAGAGTGTTTACCGAGTGGATCAAACAGGGGTTCATGTTTCAGACGGTCGAACTCTCGTTGAAGAAGCTCTGTGAGGCTTTCTTCCGCAACAGGGGTCGTACTGCCGCTTCTTGATCTCTCCTGTGAATCATTGAATAATTAACGTCACAAAAAGTTGAACAAAAAACCTCTTGAGCTTGAGATAGCTCTCCTCGTAGCCGCTGAATTTCATCGTTAAGTTCTGAAACTTCCGTTTCTTTCTCTTCACATCGCTTGGTCATAGTCATGATTTGTTTCTGAAAAAAATATTGAAACTTCAATGAATTACTCAGGTTACTTCTAATTGAGCCACACGAGGATCCCAGTCGCTGTTTTCAGTGATGATTTCGTTTCGATGAACTTCTTTTGCTTCTCGAGCCTGATCAAGCTGAAAATGGAAAAATGATTTATTTAAAAAATTTGTAGCCTTACCGAAATCGACGCTAACTTTCTATCTAAGAATATTGACCTTGCATGATTATCTTCATACAATTTTTTCCATTGGTCCACTTCCTTCTCTTTTGCTTGAACTTCAGCCTGAATTTCCTTTTTTTGATCGTCCAAAAATATTATTTTACAAACTTTTTAAACGTTGCAATACTTCACGGTTAGATTCCGCTCTATTCATTTCGTCAACCTGAGAAAAATAATAAACTTGAACAAATATAATTTCTCAATATACTTTTTTTCTTATATTCGGCGGTTAATGCGGCTTCTTTCCTCAAACGATGTTCGAGCTCAGCTATCACAAACTTTGGATCCAATCCACTGTTTTCCTGAAAAAATAGTCATCATGAAAAGAAAGTTTTATATAAAATCAAACCGAGGAATATTTCAAAGGCTTGTCCGCTTCGGCTAGTCGTTTTTTCAAATCGTTGTTCTCATTCTGAAATTTTGAGGTTAAAAATACCGAACATTTTTGCAGCTGACCAAAAGAGCGTTTCTCGACTGAAGTAATGCATTTTCCCTTATTTGGCTCTGCTGTATGAGAACAGCAACTGATTGGTTCACATCGCTTGATTTATCTTCCTGAAAATATCAAATGAGCAAATTAATGGATTTGGCGAACTTTTTTGTTGCTTTTCTCGAGGCTTGAAATAATATTAGATAGTGCTTCTTTTTCTGCTTTCAGTTGCTTGAAACTTTCGACCGTCACTGGAAATTGGACAAAATGAGAAAAATTATTGAAAAAAAAACTCACATCTCAGTTTTTTCTCATACAAAGCCGTTTTCTGTTGTTCTGAATGCAGAGCTTTCCGGATTTCATCTATGCCCGCCATTTATCTAAAAAGCCATAGAACTTCAAAATCTGGAATGAAAATTGATAAACTTTGAAAAAAAGTAGCAAAAGGTATCATGAAGTTGGGAAACTTCTCACAAAAAAACTGAACAAATAAAAAAATCGGAAAAAAATTCTTTTTTTATTCGTAAAACCCGACAGAAGGAAGCTGGAATAAAGCTAGAAAAAAACAGAAGCACCAGAAGTTGAAACCCTTTTCAAACAGTTTACACCCATAAAAAAGCACCCAGAAAAATTTCAAAGACGTTACTAAAATCAATAAACGTGTATCACACCGTAGAAAAAGAACCAGAAAAGATTAAAAGCGACAATCCCGCCGACAAATTTATGAAAAAGGAAGTCTCGATCAACAAAGTATTCGTTCCATTGATCTCCAGATTCGATGTGCCAAACGATTGCCTGAAAATAAAAATTGGAGACCGAGGAGAAAACAAAAGAAAATAAAAAACCTGTAAGAAAACCGAGAGGATATAAAACAAGAACCCACGATACGCAGTCAGACCGAGAATTCCTGGAAAAATCAGGTTGAAAAAATTGAGAAATGACTTCATTCTTGATAATGATTATCCGTGGCGCATTTTGAATAAAACAATATTTTATTTTTTTGATTTTTTAAGCATCTAGTTTAGATTAAAAAGACATAGAACACAATACGGATTCAGATGTTTTGCGTAAAAAAATGAGTTGTTTGATTTTTAAGTTTTTTTGATTCGGCTGCTGGCCCCTGTTGTACTTTTTTGGTGTAGCACCCGTAAAAACCATAAAAAAATTTTTGATGAGTCACAATTTTTATTTCCAACAAAAAAATATTTTTTTGAGTTTTTTTCAATTATTACTCTACTTCAGAAACTTTTTTCCAAGGAAACAATAAATTTTTGATGAAAAAAATATTTGTTCTACAATTATTTTTTTCGATTTTTTTGCGTATTTTTTTCCAACGTATCTGGCTGTATTTGAATAATAACACGTTTATCAGTTGTTTGCCTTTAAAACCTAGGATATCGTTTTTAATTGCCTGCAACTTGAAACACAAAGATGTACTTAAATAAATGAACAATACCTGCGGCGATTCCAGCACTTGCTGATTGACACGTTCGACCAAACTCCAACACTTGGAAGTTATGTTCGGAAGCTAGTAGGCTGGAAAACCAAGTGAAAGTCAAAAATAAGAGAAAGTTCGGCTGCAAACTTGTAGGTCTTGTCCGAAAGGCCGTTTTCTAATGACATGACGGCCCTGAACGAGTGGGATGTTAATGGTTAGTAGAATAGCTACTGGGTAACGTTTGAAGAGACTTTGATGGGAAATTTCTTGAAGAAGGGTTAGTTATGTGAAGATTTGAGAAGGTATCTCGATTCACTCAAAAAAATTTTGAGATTGTTGTGATTTCGATGTAAAAGTAGTATAGGCTCAAATAGACATTTTAAAAAAAAGTGAAGCTTAAAAGTTTATTTTTGCGTCTGATCCTTTTTTTTCCTCTTGAATTGAATTTTTCAGTGGTAAGAAAAGCGTTCTATGGAGTTTCCAATTTGACAAAAAAGCTATAATTCAAGTACACTCTTTGTGGCTTGAGACCTGAAGTTTATTCCTGCTATTTTTTTGCTAAATTCTCGGAGAGTTTTTTTGTTTAATTATACAAAATTTCTGATTCTTGTTTTTACATAATATTACTGTTTTTAATCAGTGAAAAAGGAAAAAAACTGATTGTATCAGATAAACAAAAAAATATGTTTGAAACTTAATTTGGCATTCAAAAACGAATTTTTCAATAGTTAAAAATTTCCTTTTTTTCCGAATAAAAATATTAATCAACTCACAGCTCAACTAAAAAAATCGTTTTAAATTTAACAAATACATCCATTCTTCAATTATAAGCACGACTTGTTCATTTCAATGAGAAAGAAGACGATACATTATATAAAAATAATAAAAATGCGATTGTCAGAGTGACGTGCCAAGGTCAAAAATCGTGAGAGAAAAAAAGCGCGATGGCGCAGACTTTCACAAACTCGTTTTCAGAACACGTATGCGGCCACGGCAATCCTCCTTGTAATTTATTCCATTTTGCTCTGTTTTTCTCATTCCCACATTGTAATTTTCTAATCATTTTTCAAGGAAAGTTCTTCAATCAATTTTTTTACAGAGCTCGATTACGATTTGAATTTTTGAATTCAATAAGTTGAATCAAGAGGTAGGCTCAAGGCACATTTGCTTTTATATTATTAACTTATTTAGAATATTGATAAGATTTTTCAATTTTAAGGACTACAGTTATAGAAAAAGTTTTAAAAAAATTCATTCAAAGCGTAACTTTCAAAAAGAAAGAACACAGAAATTGTCTATTTGATATTCTACCTCAACAAGTAATTCCCATATCTTTTTTGTTTTATTTCAAAAGACTGTGTCCTGCGGCAAAGTTCATGGTTTTTAAGCTGCTGAATTTGTCATGTAGCAAAAGTTTGATAAGACGTTATATAGACCAAAAAAAAGCCGGAAATCTCCTCTTAGTGGGAGAAGAAATGAGTCAGTAACTGTTATGAAAAAGTGTTCTTTCAAAGGAACGCATCCCGAGTGTTTCTTTCCTTGGCCTACACCCCCAGACAGGTTCGAGAGAAGGAGAAGGCCGCAAAAAATGGTTGGTGATTAGTCACCGGTGGGCGTCGGCTAGCCCATATATTAACAATTTAGGTCGACTACTCTCGTTACTTTTCTCATTTTCCATCTTGTTGGTTTTAGTATTGTCAAGAATGGCTTTCTATAGACTTCCTATAAACTTGGAGTAGTCTCCAGCAAGTTTCTTTCTAAGTTCACTGGCTTTTGAAGAAACCTGATCTATTTTCCGTTCTTTCGTTTTGCAAATTACTTTCGAAAGTTGCCTCGCGACAGTACAATTAAAGTATTATTTGGAAGATTTTTTCAAAGAGCGCGGGAAAATTTGGAAAAAGAGTTCATTCAGAGCATAGTTCATAAGTTGCCTATACTTTTTCTCTTATTTTTTCTCAGTGCGTTTAAAAAATGCTCAAAAAACTTTGAAAGGGCTAAAAATGAAAAAATTCTGCGCCTCAAAATGATTTCTGCAGTTTTTACGATTATTGTAAAAAAAGTGTTGACAGTTATAATTTACCAAAAAAATACGATTTTTTTCATTTTCAAAATCCAAAACCCTTTTTTTAAAGACTGACGAAACAAAATTTAGAAAGCTTTTTCTGGACAATATCCTATTTTTTTGGTTTCAAACAAGCTCTATTTTTCATTTTTTTATTGAGAATCTAATATAGAAACTTCAAAACACGATTATAATACATCAAATGAATTTCGAAAAATCGTATAATTTTTTTCGGGACACAACGTCATTTCCATTGAATGACAGCTAGTTCTCAACATTTAGCCCCCTTCCTTCTTCTCATATCATTTATGATCAAACTAAAGTTGTTCATTTCAAACTTCCCTTCCTTTTTTCTGCTCGGGCAAGACAGTTTTATGAAGTGGCCTTTCTCTAATCAGACTGTTGAAAAGTCATTAACAGGCGACATGGTTTACAACTACTTTTCCGACAAGACGATTATTCGAGAAACACGTCTTGTGAGCGAAAAGTTCTCTTGCTACTGATAGCCGTTGAGCGAAACTGAAAGAAAAGTTATAGTAATTAAACGAAAAATCTACTTTTCTTTCCGGATATCAAATTTTGATGTCAAACTTTGGTATCAAAAACTGTTTTTTTAATTAAGGATGTTCGGTTGGCTCTCGATTTGAATGAAACGATACAGCGGCGGAAATTTTGCTGGCAACCAACTAGTTCTATTGATTCCCAGCCGGTGAAGCGGAATATTTCGGCCACTTTTTCTGCCGACGAATACGCAAAAGCGAAATTTCCAGACCTGCGGGGTGGCCAATTTTTTCATGTTTCCAGGAGCCTTCAAATTTCCAGAGAGTTCTTTTTGAAAGTTGATTTTGGACATGAACTTCTTTACTCAAAGAAGTTACTTCATTTTTCCAGGAAGTTTGATAAAAGTACATTTTTGAACATTTACTATGAAAACAATGTCTTCTGAAGAACCTGAAAAGCTGAGCCTGCGTACCACTTTCAGGTTTCTGATGAACTTCCACACCAAGAGAACTTCAGGACCACGCCCGATCCGGAGAGGATGAAGGTGACGACTTGCCGACCTTGGGCGATGTACATTGATCAATCTCGCAAATTCAAGGGCGGTGCCCTCCGGCGAAATTGCGCACTAACCTTAGGAGGCAATGTATTCACACTCCTCTTTTCTCTTTTGTAACCATTCCCCCGCAATCCAAAAGCCTTTTCGAGAAAAAGAAAACCGAGCCAATTCTTTTGTCCCTTCTCCCTCCTCCCACTTTTCTCAAAACCGTGCAGTTCTACTGAAAGTCTTTCTTACAGTGACTAATATTTCCGTAACCAACCAACCGCCCACGTCGACTTGCGCGCCTCATCGGCAGATGATCCCTAGGGCAAGCAATGTGCCGTCCATCCTCCGAATTTCACTTTTTGTCTGTTCTCAGCTTCCTAACAGTCTTGAATTCAGAAGCCAGCGTCTGTGGGCGCCTCGCTTTTTTTCAAATATAATTTCTCAGTCCTAGTAGATGACTATATTCCTTACTATAGCTGATTGAGTCCCTGTAAGTTCCACAAGTCTTCCCAAAAAGGTCTCATCAATAAGAACGAACCGTTTTTTCAAACTTTCAGTTGCAGCAACGGGTTATAATCTACCGACGACACAGAACCATGACAAAAAGTTGACTTCGTGTTCCATTTTTGAGTGAACGGCCGTTCAGTTTGGCCCAGTTCGGATGGATTACGCTAGGTTTTGTCGTGATGGTTCGATGTCGGATTGCCCGCCTCAATCAATGCCGTTTAGACTAAAAGTATTGAATTTGCATTGCATTATTTGCGTTGGAATTCGCTCCAATTCAAACCCGCAACAGAGCATGTCTGCACTTACAGAACTGCATTTGTGTCGAATTTTTCTTTTTCTTTTTTTTTTGGTTTTTTTTCTTGGTTTTGGGTTTTTCAAATATTATTCTGAAGACCTTGCTTATCCAAAGAAAATGGAATATAAATTGGCAAAGTCTTTGAGTACTTAGTACAGATTCTGAAGTTTTCTAAACTTTCAGCTACTACCAAAAAAAAAAAATCAAATTTCTCACTTAGAACGGTATCGCCAAAATTTCCAAATTCAGTTTCTGTCCCTCAAAAAAATAATAATAATAAATTCGAGAATTTCAATACTTAATTATTTTTTTCAAAGTTCAAAAAAATGAACCTTAGTTTCGAAAAAAAATTTCAGACACACGTCATTTTTTTCTGTAGACATGCAGTGAAAAATTCACAAAAGATCACTTTATTTTTATCAATTTTCTTTTCCGGTGATAAAACTGTTTTTTTAATTGTCTTTCCATTTCAACATTCATTGTTCACGCACGTGCTGAAAAAAAGACGTGGGATGATTTGATTTTTTTAACGTGATAGTATGTTGATTCTGTCGTAAAAGTGAGTAAGGGGGAGCTCATTCACTATATTCGTATTTCCAAAAAAATTGGTTTTCAATATGCTTCTCCAAACTTTTTTGTGATTTTTTGAGAATTAGTCCAAAAAGGCTCATAAAAATTTGAAGCCAACACAAGTCTCAATTGTTAATTGAATCCATCCAAAAAGATTCAAAACTAATACACTTCATTTTTTAGCGCACCTTTGAAACCGAAATGAAAGTTTCAAAAGCTGATTATTGCCAACAGCTCGCTTTCCTTCGTTTGTTTTACAATTGCCCTTTCTGATAGCAAAGTCTTGTTCCTTCACACTAGTTACTATCAAAAGCTGGTAAGGAAAGGAAATTTATCGGGTTTGCAAGATGGTCATGCTATCGAAAACGTACCCGTCGTTGCCGACGACGCAATTCGTTTAAAGATAACGGTCACTCTTGGATAAGAACCAAATTGACGGTCCAGCCAGCCTCGACTGGTCGTTACGTTTTTGGCGAAACTGAGGAAGAACCGGAAGAACGCCATTTTGCTCCATGGGCAAACAGGCACGGCGCTTCTCCGTTTACCTTCAGATGGTTGGTTGGACGCTGGCCGGCCTCATTTCCCTTCTTCATTTTCAGTTTTATCCCATTCCATTAAAGTTTTTCCCTCATTCAGAAAAATAGCATGAGAAGAATTTTTTTCCCAGATCTCTGTAGACTTGGTTTGTTTTTCAAATTCTTTCGCAATGTCCTTTTTCCAGTGCTCGGTGGTGTTCAGCACTCGCCGCCCAGGAATTAACAACAGAGCCGCACGGTCCGCCTGTTTTCTCCTATTTTTGAACGTGTTCGCCGACGACCGCCAATAAAAACCTTGCAAAAGCTTTTCCACCTTTCATTTCATTCCATCCATACCGGCTTAGGGGTAGAGCGTAGAAAAAGTTGCCGAACGGCGTGTTTGAACATCCATTTGAGAAGCATCCTAACGGGCGTCTTAATGGCATGTCCCTTTACAGATTGCACCATTTATCGTCGTTTACGCTCGTTTCTCTTTGCGTTTTAATACAAAGTCGATGAATGGAGCCAGTTTTAGTCGATTCCCACCATGACCGTCGAGGAGGAACAGCAGCAGCCAATCGTCAAGATGCGAGGCGAGCGACAGCCGCTTTCGGCCACCGCCAACACCAACGCCCAGGTTCACTCGGCTTTGGCCCGAGGCCTCGAGGCTCTCAATGAAGGCGAGATCACCGAAGAAACTGAAGGTAACTTTTTTATCAAGTCAAAGTTCAAAGAATCGCTACTGTAATTTTCCCTTGAAGATAGAATAAAGAGTAAATTATCCAACTTTTTCCAGAAATTCGCAAGCTTGACACTCAACTCGACCACTTGAATGACTACATGGCCAAGATGGAAGAAAGACTCAAGGTACCACTGTCTGTATAGCTATGAAATCATCAAACCCATGATTCAGGCTCACAACGACAGAATGCTGGAAACCCTGAAACAGCAAAAAGAGGAGCGCGAGAAACGACGACGCAGTTTCCATGAGGTATCCTTCAATCCTCTCTTAAGAAGAGCAACCCTTTGAAAATTTAAACTTCGATTCCAGCGCATGAACCAGACCCAAGGAGAAGACGAAGAGTTCCGAAAGCAGATGGCCAATATCTTGAAGAGAGTCGAATCTGTTCGCCAATCGCAAACCAACAACGTCAAGCAATAAAGAAAAACTCCACTAAATCACTTTTTTGTCGTGTATAATGTTATATTCGCTTGCTTGGTCCTTCAGATCCAAAATAATTTGTTTAAAGGCGCCAAAGTTTCGCGATGAGATCTGAAGCCTTCAAAGTCCCAGCAAGCTTTTAAAGATAAGACTAAACCTGCTGATCGCAATCCGTTCCTTCTACTCACTTAACCTAGTATTTCTCTTCGAATTTTAAATCCCCGTGTTCTGTTCTTCCCTTGATTATTTTTGTACATGGTTACTCGAAATACATTTTTCATTACAAGTATCCAAAAACACAAAAAATGGTTTCAAAAGCGCTACGGTGCACTAAAACTTTGGATTTTCTCGGCATTTCTAGCACTAATTGAATAGTCTGCTCGCTCAAAACCAAGAACTGAAAATCTCCATTGAAGATGAAAATAATACGCAAAATTTCTACTGATATCAACAAAAAAATGATTAGACACGAAAATATAAACAGGAGCTCCCTAGTAAACAGCCGAAAAGGAATAAAAAAATAGTTCGAAAGAAATTTCTCCTTTTAAGTCTAATTTCAAACTTCTTCTTGATCCATTTAAAAAATGCCAAAAACCAGAAAGTTTCTGAACACATCACATCATCAGGAAAAACAAATTTGGAGAAAATATATCCCTTTGAATTCTAGTTAGGGGTTCTTAAGTTCAACGTCTCCCGGATTTCCCCAAGAACTAAATAATGTGACTTTTTCAATGAAAAAAATTTTTCGAAAACACATTTATTATATCAAATGAGCACAAAAAAAAAAAAAAGATAGAAAAATTGAAAATAACATATTTCGACAGAGTTGATGAAAATCCCATGAAAATTAATACAGTTGTTGACAGACATATTGGCTTTCAACAAGATTAATAGCGGAAATATATTCCGCTTAAGCGAGACTTCTCTGCGCCCTCCTCATCTCTCTACAACCCTACCATGTTCACGTGCTGTTTTCATGTTTCTCTGACCTCGCCGTGAGGGAGCAGAGAGACGCAGACACTCAAAAACTGTCAAATCTTGGCTGACGGACTATATAAAACATTATGAAAACAATTATAAGATTATAAGAGGAGGTACAAGTTGATAATGAGAGTGAATGAGCCCAGCTCAGTACTTGGTAAATATACAATCATTGATTGATAGAAGCTTATGATCTTTTATGATCAGATGAAAAAGGATATTGGAAAAATGAGCTAGATATTGGTATAACGAGGACTGATGGTCTTGTTGAAGACTTCGTTCAGAGCGGTGTCTTTGTAAAGGACGCGATTTTCCAAGTTGCACCACTTGCCGACGCAGCAACACAAGGTTTCGCTATAAGGAGCCTTGATCTCGCAGAGTTTTCGGTTGTCGCAGTGGGTCTCCTCGCTCTGAAAAAAAACTGGTTATTAGAAATTCATTCAGAAAATTTTTTTTTCCCAAAAACGCTTATTCTTCTTTTAAGATCCTCTGTACCGCTTGACCGGCGTCGGGCCCCAAGTCATAGGGGCAAGATATCCTGATATCAGTGATAACTAGTGGAATGGCTCTAGTAGTCTTGCGTAACGGCTGAAGATTATCCTCTACCAACATTTCTCAAAACTCTTGTTTAGGACTCAGCGGGGATCGAACTTGTGACCCTTTGGACCGTGGAAAGGCACACAACCTGTTGCGCCACGTCGCCCCTATAGTCTGCTCTGATTTTTAATGTCAAGTGATCGCTGAAGCTCCGCCCCCTAATAGCGCGATAAACCAATCAGAAAGCGAGCCATCCACAGATCGTTTTCGAATGACGTCATTCTACTTGACATTCAAAATCTGAACGGACTATATGAATACTTTTGCGCCATTTCTTCTATCATCTTTTTCTTAAATTTAAACTCTCATCAGCTTACTGAGTGACATTGTTTGAAATTTTCAAAATCAACTTCGCAAGTCCAAATTATGTTCAAAACCCACGATTTTGTAGACGTAGCATCCCTGCTTCATTTCATTATTCTTTGCATCATAGGAGGCAAAGCAAGAGGGACGTTCCCCAGGCCTCGCTGTTTGGCAGCGGAGAGACGTCTGGACAGAAGAGACCGAAGAGTCGTAAGCCAAACAGGTAATGTAAGGGAGTCCTTTAGAGTCGAAGAGGTAGAGCTCCGGGTCGAAGACAAACGCCTCATTTTTCGTTCTGGAAGAAAACATTTTTAATCATCGTTTTTCCGTTATAGCCGGTCCACGGCTAACTTGGGACGCAAACAGGCTCTCCCTCAACCAGACACTTTTTCTTTTCTTATTGTGTCAAGACCCGGTGGCTCAAGCCAGCCGTGAATCAGCTATAACGTACCCTTCGAGCAGACTGAGGAACAGATCATAATCCGCATTGTTCTTGTACATTAGTTTGTTGGTCTTGGCTCCAGTTTCGTTTTTGAACTTCGCAAAGAAGGTGCGTTTCTTAGGGGCGGCTGGATAGTCATCCGAAGAGATTTCGTACAGATCGTCGATTCCTCCAGGAAATACTTGTCCGTTTGTGAAAGCTATGGCCAGGCCGAGGATCAGAAAAAGATGGAAGTTCATCTCTGTAAGTAAAATGATTTTCACGGTCAGTGCATCTCAAGAGATCCAATTAATCTTGTAAACGACAAAGATAAAAAATTTTCCTGTCGTCTTAATTTTTCTGTAACCAACAGGAAGAGAACATTTGTATCTGAAACCACGCCAAAGCCTACAAAAGATGGAAATAGCGAGATAGTAGATTTTTGCCTATCGATTACATGCCCAAGAAAGATCAGAAGTCAATCCAAAAGTATTTTTGGAACTTTTGAAAATAAGTTAGTAATAATTGCCTTAACAAAATTTAGTTTTTTTGAAGGCAGTGAGACATTTTTTTCCTGGAATAAGCTCGATAAAAATTTGATTGAAATGTTCTAATCAATGTGAATCAAAATGAGAAATGTTGAAAAAAAGACACAAAAGTTCACAGTTATGTATATATATATATATATATATCAACATCGTCAATTTTTTTAGTACCACAAAAGTTCAGCGAAATGTTGTCTCTCTTCTTAAAAAAATGAAGAAAAAAATAGGGTTTTTATGGTGAGCTTTCCAGCAAAAATGCTTATTCGAAAGAAAATTCTATTGATTATCACAAAAAACGTCTGCTGAAAATTTTAAAATCAAATAATTCTTTTTTTGCAAATTTTTTGATGAATTCTAACACATCAGAGGCCGGAAACTGAGATAGGATAGACAGAAATCTCGACTGGGAACAAAAAAGGGACAAAGAGCCGAGTAGAAGGGAGAGTGGTGCGTCGGCACGCCATTCATACCATTCTGAGCCCGCGAAACGCCGATCTCGCGCTCTCTTTGTCTTTGCAGATCGACCCTGCCGTCGTGCGATGAAGAGGTCAGACTTGCCTTGTGAATACTAAGAAGACTCCGTAGTGCAGTATTGACAAATTATGAAAAGCTTCCTTTTTGGGATAATTTGACTGTGAAATATGGAAAGAAATAAGAACAAAAAAAAAAGAGCTTGATATCCAAAAAAAAATGAACACTAATAAATTATTTCGTTTTTTTATAGGCAAGTCGGAAAGGGTCGAAAAAAACCTTCATATAAAAAAACTTCTTTAGGGTGACAAAGGATCCTTTATTACTCCCTTTTTGCGCCATTTCATCGCCTTTTATGCACCATTTTTGCTGCCTCTCAATTTTTTCGTTATTTCTTGAGCTTTTAAAAGCCTAGAAAAATTGGAAGGCTTGATGGAGAAACTCTTTTTGCTTCCTTTCTGCGGCCTTTTTGAAGTCTCTTTCTTTTAGAGGCAACCATTCACTATTCAGACTTTGCCCAAGTTCCAATTTGACAATTTTTGTAAAGAGTCTACAGTTTCTGATATAGCACTGGACAATCTGGGCTTCGCGATGTTTCTACTTGGAGAAGAAGCTCATCGTAACTTCCTGAGGGTCCTCCCAAAAAAAAAGATGCGCTACAAGTCATTTTCGATCTTCTGGCAAACATTTTTCATTTTTACCTTTCGAAACCTTTCCACTCCCTTCCGAACACCTTCCAAAGGCCTTTTCAAAAACTTTTATCTTGCATCCAGCTTTCCAACCTCTTGCTGGTTACCTTCCCAACACACTCCCAGGATTTTCCTGAGCTTAAACTTGAACTTATCAAAGGCGGATTGCTGTTTGATCTTTTTTCAAACTCCAAATTATCTCCAAGAACGTTCTGATGTCACTATCGTCTTAATGAACAGTACAAGAAAGCAAAATTATTTCGAAATTTTGCAGAAATAATCAGAACTCAAGTTGAAAAAAGTTTATTGCAATTGTGCAGGTAGAGCTTTTAGAGCTTCTTCTTCAAAAAATTTGTTTCTTAGATAATCACAGAAAATACGGAAGTATCACATTTTCATAAGAATAAATACTTTAAACCAGCAAATAAGTTTGGAAAAAGGTGCATTTCACGCCTGAACATCGACCAACTCTGGAGGCATTGGAGACTTGGGATGTTTGCTCTCGAAGTGCTGCTTATACGTCTTGGGATCAGGAATCATGGCCTGAAATCCGTAAAAGTCGGTAAGAAAGGAAGATTGAAAATTTATTACCATGCATACAGTGCACTTGTGATGTAAGCTTGCCATAGCGGCGCCTTTTTGATCAGCCCCCTAAAACGTGAGATCAAATTTCAGGTTTTTCAAATAACTAGAAAAATTCAGGAAGTTTGAAATGGAGAAAGAGTACCTGCTTTTTGGCCATATCTGCTTTCTTCTGAGCATTTTTTTGTTGTGAGAGGGCTTTCTGATGTCCTCGCGCCATCCTCTGAAATTCAAGAAGTCAAAGTTTCCAAGTTTGAAGATGTTTTTATAGCAGCCACGAAACTTTGAAAGCAGGAAATTGATTTTTTTAATGACGGAGTTAACACGCGTGATTCATTGTTCACTCAAGGTCCATGTCAAATTTTATTTTTTGTGCGATCTGATTCTATTAAAAAACAGCCATTCAAACTTCAAAAACCCTAAAGATTGAAAAAAAGACACTGTCGTCTTTTTTTGGTACAGAGAAAAAGAAACGTCCTTAACTGTGATTTTCATTAATACATTAAAAAAGTAACTTTTAAATCAAGCCAATAGTAAAAAAAAAAAGGAGCGTCAATATGAAAAAAATCAATTAAGTGATGAGTCAAAAAGAAAAGTAAGGCAGTTGACGCAGTTGGCTGGTCAAAATGGCGTTCGAAGGCGTCGCGCGCGAAGATTCCTTCCACAGGAAAACCCGTTTCTGTTCTCGAGAGACTTTTCTCTGTGTACGGATCGCCAAATGTCGACTTCATCGTGGAAAAACAATCGGAGCGAGCTTTTCCCCGCATGTTGATTTTAAGGTCATTGCTCTGGAAAAAGGACATCAGAATAAATTTTTTTATTCTGATGTCATTTTAAATTAAACCTGTGAGATCTTTGTGTGAGATAATTTTTTTAATTCTTGATTTTTTTCTCATCTTTTCATGGCATAGGGATTCTTCTTTGACGAACTATCGGGAAAATCTTTGTATTGAAATGGAAAAAGAAAAAAAAAACGCTTGATTATTATCATTGATAAAACGTCCATCAGATTCGAGCGGTCCTTGAAAAAGTGGATCAGCATGAAAATTTATATAGAAGCTCAATAAAATTTTTCTCAATATGGTCTTTAGTCTTATGAAAAATCCGATTTTGATTTTTCTTTTCCGAAAACTTGATTTTTAGGAAAAATGTTTTGTATGAAAAGTATAAAAAAGTGTAGACCGCCATGAATTTTGAAGTGTGTGAAACTTTTTTGGAGAACTTTTCAAATTTTCAAGAACTTGTCAGTTTTCATTGCTAACTAATCTCGGAATTTACAACCCTCTAAAAAAAACCAATAACCTCAAAAAACTTCATCAAAAGACCAAGCTGAAGGTCAGAAACGCGAGCTGAGGTCGGCATATTGTAATGATACGAAGAGAAAACGAGCGCTTTTGAACGGGACACTCTTAAAAACGTAAAGTGAACCACGTTGGCCAAAACGCCACGAGGTTTTCCATTTAAATGATGATCATCATTTGTTTACTTTGATTGTTTTTTGAAGCACAATTTTTTGACGGTTTTTTTGAAAAAATAAGAAGAGCTTCAGCGTCAAACCTTGGGCATATAAAAATGAGAAAGTATAGTTTTTCTCAATAAGATTTGGAGTTTAATCGATAATACTCTTGGATTTTCTAGCTTTTGATTTGATCCAGGCGGATTTTTCCCCAGATTTCCAATAAGAAAAGCTTTTTGAAATTATTTTGCTAAAATGGCATGGTTTGCTTGAATTTCGTAATTTGGTTTTGACTTTTAATTTTTGACAACTATCACGAATAAAAAAGTCTGGAACCGATTTATATATAAAAAGTTCTTTCAGCAGTATATTTCTCATCTTCCTTTTTTGATATTCAAAACGCTAATGAAATTGATCCAATATTTATTCTGAACTCAAAATCTTGTCCAAGATTATCTATATTTTCCTTTGTAATTTGAACTTTTCAAGAAGTTGAGTTGACTACCCTCCACAGGAAATGAAAAAAAATTCAAATTTCTGTTTCCGTTCTCATATTAGAAGAGCTGCCACCAAGAATATTATTAAAGCTACGTCAACCTTATCTTTCTGCAACCCGTACGAAACGGATTATACCACAATAATTCTACTTCTCAACTCGAGAAATTATCATCAAAACATGGATTTTTTATCACTAGTTATCGTGGTTTTTGCCAAAACGTGCAAGCCCCTTGCAGTTTACAGATTCGCGCTCAATAGTAACACGGACAAGGCTATAAAAAAGACATCAAAGAATCGGCTTTGCAGCTGAAATCGATAGGAAACCAACACTTTGAGATCGGAGCAAACAGTGTGGGGACGTTCAAACGTCGGTCTATTTGTGCTGTGTTTCTGCAAAAAGGTCCCGCCGTCGCCACTCAGGCGCGATTGTTTTGCTTACATTGTTATCAATAACTTCAAAAAAAGATTGTAATGAAGTCGCTAATGAATGAAGATTCTCTGAGATTTTGATTAAACCCGTCTTAGTTAGTCTTAGAGCTTACGAGAGCACACTAATAATGTAGTGAGTAGAAAATTTCACACCTCTTGCTTTTTCGCCGTCATGAAGTTTGTACTATACCTTTTCAAAGAAAAAAAGAATCCTTTTTTTCGTTTTTTTGGGGATTTGAGAAATTTTTATTTTTTTAGTACAGGATGTGAGTCATTCGAGAAAGATCTTTTTCACAAGTTTTTCCAAAAAGTCTTTTTGCAAATTCTTTATTAGAAGATTTTTTTCTGCTTTTTTTCGATATCCTATGATAGATTGAAATTTAAATTCATTCAAATATAAACGCAATTCTATTTATTTTTGGCTATTATTTCAAGATTTTTTTCTATCTACATCGGCTTTACTGTTTTAGAAAATTTAAAGTTGCATTTTATTTGTTGCAGGTCTGTTTCCAAAAATGCAAGTTTTGCAGGGAGGTAGATATTCCATGGGTCGTATTCTAGAGGCGCGAACCTCGGTTTTCCCTTTTTTTTCTAGGCGTCGGGTCGTTCAAAATCCCCCCACCCAAACTTACTATTTTTCTTTCGTTCTTTTCCTATTTTTTTTTTTTGATTCAGCTCTAAAGTAAATGACATTCTTAAGCTTACAAATTTTGCAAACGTTTTATCCGTCTTGAAGAATCAATAGTTTTTGTTAGTAGAGATACAGAACTCTGTTGACTTTCGGCATAGTTTTCGTCAAGCTTTTTCCTTTGAAAAAATAGAACCTGCAGCTGAATTTTTTTGAACTTGAGGAGCTGGAAGCCCTCTGAGAAAAATCAAGATAACAAGGTGAAAAAATTAAGAAATTTTGTGAATTATTTGAAAATAACCAAGTAGACAATACAAGCTGTATTTTCATTTGGAAGCTGAGTCTCTTAAAACCGGAAGGTTAGTTATCTTTTTTCCTGCAGCTAATTGTTCTTATCACTCACTTTAAGCTTCTCCAGCGCCTTCAAAAACTCTCCGAAGTGGTTTTTTCCGTTTTTGAATCCAACGCTTCGAATTGAAATTTTCCCTGTTTTACGAGTTTCTGTGAGTGCACGCCAACGTTAATGTGAGCGATTTGAGCGGTGCAAATATTTGGAGGCCGCATATGCGGAATGCAGCGACCCAGGCAAGAGATGAGGAGACGGAGAGAGAGCCATAGAAAAGGAGAGCGCAGGGCCCATCGATCGGCTCCTCCTACTTGTGTTGCGGCAGGCCTTCCAATCCAATACCATATTTTTCTACCCAAACTTGTTGTTATTTTTGTTTATGTTTATGTTTTCGTTTTTCATTTTTTTTTTCCTCGAAGTGCTTCAGAACTTTTTTTGTAAGCCAATCCGAAAAATGATCTCCACGCATTTCGAAACAAAAATAGGGGTTGACAGGTGCAAATGAGTCACCTTGTGGCATTTTTTTTATCTTCACCAACCTTTTATCAATTTCTCTGGACAACTGCTTCACTCCTGTTCTTTTCATAAACAATCCTCTTCCTTCGCAAACTTTTCTATAAACACACACGAACTTGTGAGCAGAATTTGGTTTCTCAATTTTTAGGAACATAAGCCCCTATTCTTGTCCAAAAGCTCTTTGATTTTTGTGCGCTATTTCGAGATGTCCATTGTTTGCTGAAATGAATGTCCACTTTGCGCTCACTGGCTTTTGGATTTCCGCCATTTTCTTTGTCCTTCATCATAGTTATGTTAATATTTCAGCGAAATGGCCGAACGTGGTGAACATACAAAAGATCCTAACGCTCCACCAGAACCTGTATTGGAGGTACGACTTTCTGTTTGTAGATTTATTTCCTGGCAATGAATTAAAAAATGAGAGAAATGGTTTCAGGTGCCGCCACCGCAGGAAATCCGCGTTCTTGAAACTGCTGATGACATCCAGGTTGATCCTATCTCAAAGTGCCAGGGAATATTTTCTGATTTTGCAGCATCGACGTCAAGAAGTCTTGGGTCATTATTCCCAATTTAAAGATTACGCTAAGAACAAAAGAGATCGACTAGAAGAGGCTCGCCAATTCCAATATTTCAAAAGGTTAGCATTCTTCTCCTTTCTGTCGACATACAAGGAGGTTTCAGAGATGCTGATGAGCTTGAAGTTTGGATTCTTGAAAAACTTCAGACCGCTCAAGAAGAAAATTTCCGTGATCCTACCAACCTCCAGGTTCGTTAGAGATGTCGTTCGAAAAAAAGATCTTTTGTGTATGAAAAAAAAGTCAAGATGGGTACGAGTAGTTTCGGAGCAGGGAGGTCATGTCGGCGGCATATCGATTTTCTGCCTCGCCATTCTTTCCGTTTTGCTTGCAGCTCCCTCAAATGAAAAAGGAGGCCCCCCGCTTTGGGAGTTGAGAAGCTTTTCCTTGGACGGCGCACTTCTGGCCCCGACAAACCAAATTAGGCATTGTGGGGTCCTCAAAAGCTGTCAATAAAACTCATCTGAATGAGAATGAAATCCGGTTATACGAAATGAAAACAGGAATATATAAAGTTTTTTTCTAGGATGCATAAACTATGTTTCCGGTATAATAACTAGTCTCTGAAATATTTATTAAAAAGAAAATTTATTTGAATAATTAAGTGAAAAATCTATATTTTGAAACAGATCGGTTGAAAATCAAAAGAAAAACAAGGTTTTTAGTTTAAATGAGAAAACAACTTTTTTTCATCTTTTTTCCAAACCTCAACCAATTTTTTTTCTGTGTAATAACCCCATGAACGGCTCTGTGCGTGGGGTCCCAAATTTTGAATCAGCAAGGCTTTCTTTGTCGCCCGACGCTGCGTCGTATCACTAGCGCCGTTTTGTGTGCACTTTGAGTCTCTAACAGAAAATTCTGCGCTTTTTTCTCTCTTCTCATCACAACTGGTTCGGAACGCAGTCGAGCAGAACGACCAGCGTGTAAGCCGATATGGGCGCTCAGAGCAAGATGTAAACGATGATACTTTCAAAAAACCAAAAATGATGAATCTGAAACTGGAGACTGAAGAGTATCTCAACCAATTTTTCATTTAGAAATCAAAAAATCAGAACGAATTATTCTCAAATCTCATTTTTTTTATCTTTTTGTGTTCCATACACTCTTTGATGATTAACGCAAAACGTCATGATGAAACTCCGGAATGTCACTCTTTTCTGGGTATCGAGATAAGAGAAAAACTGTATGAGGGTCGCGGCGACGATATTATTTTGATTGGCCTTGACACTTTGGCCGTGTTCGTCGGAGATCCCACAAAACCTTTTCCGATTAACCATACGATTGAGAAGGTCGCCAGAAATGTACAAATAATTATTGGTTAAGAAATTTTTCCGAAGGGGAAAAAACTGAAGTGGAGATTTCAAAATTTGAAATTTTTCCGTAATTAGTCTTTTAGTAGTTATACCTGCTCACGCGCTTCCAGCAGTTTATAAAAAAATCGACGCTTTAAATTCAAAAATTTATTGACTTTCTATTCAAATTTCTGTTATATTTGATATTTATTTTTCAATAAAAAAATTTTTTTCATCTATTGAATTTTTTTAGGCAAAGATCCAAAAAAACATGAAGCGTTCGAAGCGGAAGTCCAAGCTCATGCCAAAACCATCGCTAGCTTGGATAAAACTGGAAACGCCATGATTCAACACAATCATTTTGCAAGCGACGTTATCAGAGTAAGTCCTACACAAAAAAAAGGCTACACTGAAAACCTCATTCTACAGAAACGCCTTGAAGAACTCCACGCCTTGTGGGACAAACTTTTCTTCAAACTGAAGGACAAGGGAATCAAACTGCAGCAAGCTCTGAAACTGCTCCATTTTATCCGCCAGTGCGACGAAGTGCTCTACTGGATCCGAGAAAAAGTATAAAATCTGAAAAAAAAATAATGATTTGATGTTTTAGGAAACCTATGTCACCGCAGAAGACATGGGAATGGACTTGGAGCACGTTGAAGTGCTTCAGAGAAAGTTTGACGATTTTCTGAAAGAGCTTGGCAACCATCAATATCGAATCAACGAAATCAACAGCGCAGCTGACAAACTTGTTGAGGAGGGCCACTCTGAACATGATCAGATTTACAAGGTCTGAGAAAAATTTTGAAATACTCATTGTCATGATGCAAATTTTTAGAAGCGTGATGACGTCAATGAGGCTTGGCACAAGCTGAACACTTTGGCGGCAACTCGCAAAGAAGGACTGTATGGAGCCCACCAAGTGCAGCGATTCAATCGCGATGCTGATGAAACTCTGGCGTGGATTGGAGAGAAGGTTGAGATAATCTGACTTAAAATCCAAGTCGTGGAGTTTACAGGACAGCGCTCTGTCAAGTGACGACTACGGCCGCGACCTGAACAATGTTCAAGCGCTTCAGCGCAAACACGAAGGAACCGAACGCGACTTGGCTGCTTTGGAAGGAAAAATGCAGCAACTCGAGAAAGAAGCTGTCAAGCTGGCTGAAACCCATCCTGACCGCACCGATGCGATTCAACGAAAAATGAACGACACGAAAGATGCTTGGGACGCTCTCAAGCGAAAAGCTCAAGTAAATTTGCAATTACCCTAAGGATCCATTTCCAATAACTTTTTCAGCACCGCAAAGAAGGTCTCGAACGCAGCTACCAGCTGCACCGTTTCCTGGCCGACTATCGTGACCTGGTATCTTGGATCCAAGACATGAAAGCCGTCATTGCTGCTGATGAGCTTGCCAAAGATGTGGCAGGTGCTGAAGCCCTTCTAGAGAGCCATCAAGAACACAAAGGCGAAATTGATGCTCGGTATGAAATTTTTAAAAAATGAAATGTATTTGAAATATTTTTTCAGCGAGGACTCGTTCAATCAGACAGCCAGTTCGGGTCAAAAACTTCTTGAGATCGGCGTAGCTGAGAGCAACGAAGTCCGTGACAAACTCGAGCAACTCGCCCAGGAGAAGGCTGCTTTGCTGGGACTCTGGGAAGAGCGGCGCATCTTGTACGAGCAGTGCATGGACTTGCAACTGTTCTACCGTGACACTGAACAGGCGGAGACCTGGATGAACAAACAAGTAATTTTGAATTTCTGCGGTTCCCTTCAATTGAAAAATATTATAGGAAGCTTTCTTGGCCAACACCGACCTTGGGGATTCATTGGATTCGGTTGAACATCTCATCAAAAAACACGAAGACTTTGAAAAGTCGCTTGCCGCTCAAGAGGAGAAAATCAACGCTCTTGACGAGTTTGCCACCAAGCTTATCCAGGTGCTGATTTTGGAAGTTCTGAATGAAAAACTTATAAATTCCAGGGTCAGCACTACGCGGCTGATGACGTCGCCAAAAGACGTGAAGCTCTTCTCGATCGTCGCCGTCGCCTTTTGGACCGGGCTCGTCTGCGAGGAAACGCCCTCAAGGAAAGCTACAAACGTCAAACATTCGACCGTGACTGTGATGAGATGGTCAGCTGGATTACCGAGAAGCTGACGACGGCTAAGGACGATTCCTACCTGGATCCTACAAACATCCGTGGAAAGCTCCAGAAACACATCAACTTCGAACAGGAGCTCAAGGCTAACGAAAACCGCCTTGATGACATCCGCTCCACTGGCGACCAGATCATCAACAGCGGACACTTCGCTGCTGACCACGTTAGTCTGAAATGAAAGAATAATCAACTAATTATGACCAATCTACAGATTGCTTCTCGTCTCCGTGACGTCAACAATCTCTGGAACGAACTTGTCGACGCGACCAACAAGAAAGGCGCTAAATTGCGTGATGCTGGAAATGAACAGCAGTTCAACCGAAACATCGAAGACGTCGAGCTCTGGCTCAGCGAACTTGAAGGACAGGTATTGAAATAAAAAAAAAGAAAGCTGTCATAAGGGAATTTTAAGGTCGCTTCTGAGGACTACGGCAAAGACCTTGTTTCTGTGCAAAACCTGCAGAAGAAAATGGGACTGTTGGAGAGCGATTTCCATGCACACAACGATCGCATCGAAGGAATCAACAACTTGGTTAGAGCTCATCAAGTTTCGGAGATTAATATAATATTTTTTCAGGCCAAGCAGTTCGACAGAGAAGAGCATTTCAACGCTCCAGTCATTGTCCGAAAGCAGGAAGCTTTGCAAGGACGTTATGAGGTATATACAGCTATTAAGCTGAAAAAATGAAATTTATATTCAGAGCCTTCGCGAGCCTCTCGAAAAGCGCAAGAAGAAGCTCGGAGAGTCGCTCCAGGGTAACCAACTGTTCCGCGACATCGAAGATGATTTGGCATGGATCCGCGAGAAAGAACAAGTCGCCGGCTCTACCAACCGAGGACGAGACCTCATCGGAGTCCAGAACTTGATCAAAAAACAACAAGCTCTGATTGCCGAAATCAATAATCACGAAAGCCAAATCGACTATCTCACTCGCCAGGCTACAGACATGATCCAAGACGTAATTGAACTGCCAGGAAGAAATAAATAACCTGTTTTAACGTTAAGGGTCATTTCCTCGCTCCTGAAATCCGTGACAAGCTGGCTCAGCTACGTGACAACTGGAGAATCTTGTTGACTAAAGCTGAAAAGAGACGCTTGGAACTTGATGACTCTCTTCAAGTAGGAAACTATTGCACGTGATTTTCCAAAATGAATTTTCCAGGCCCACCAGTACTTGTCTGATGCCAACGAAGCTGAAGCTTGGATGAACGAGAAAGAACCAGTCGTTGGGTCCACGGACTACGGAAAAGACGAAGACAGTGCTGAAGCTCTACTCAAGGTGACCAGTTTAAAATTCAAGCTCAAAAAAGAATTTAATTTCAGAAACACCGCGCTCTTCTTTCTGACCTGGAAGCTTTCAAGACCACCATCGAGGACCTGCGCAAGCAGGCTTCTCAGTGCAAGTACCAAGAACAGCCGATGGGACAACTTGGTACATTTGAATGAAGAAAATCAGTACTTACGCATTTTTACAGGACGTGACTGTGTTTTGGCCCTTTACGACTATGTGGAAAAGTCTCCTCGTGAGGTCTCCATGAAGAAAAACGACGTTTTGACTCTCCTGAACGCTTCGAACAAGGACTGGTGGAAGGTCGAAGTCAACGACCGTCAAGGATTCGTTCCGGCCGCTTATGTCAAGCGTATTGAACCTGGAACCGCTCAACAACATGCTCAACAACAGGTAGAAAACTTTAAATGTTAAACAATGAATAAATCTCTGATAAAGGTCAACTCCATCGGAGGAAAGCAAAGCGAGATTGAGGACAAATACCAACGTCTGATGATGCTTGGAGAGACTCGCAAGAGGTTGGAGTTTGAAGTTTCAACCAAAAAAACTTGGCTCGTTTAGAAAGCTCGAAGAAGCCTGCAAGGGATACCAACTCCTCCGCGAAGCCAACGATTTGGCCGAATGGATCAAGAGCCGAGTACGTCTGTCTCATTTTCACTTTTTTCATTTTAGAACACTCATGCGCACTTTTTTCAGTGCTATTAGTTTTAGGCACAATTAACGAACTTTTTGCAGAGCATGTTAGAAATTAGAGATAGTTTTTTGAGCGTTTTTCACATGTGCGCTTTACCCTATATGTTTACTGTTTAGACAAACATGGCAGAAGTAAGTTTACGCCACCGGCTGAGTTCCTTTTCATTTTTATGTTTTGTGCTGTCACTGTCTTTATTTTTTGAGCATCCTGTCATTGTTGTGTTTTTTGTTATTTTTTCATTCTTTCTGTTGTTGATATCAGCATCTATGTCATCAAAACCATTGCATGAAAAACTTGAAAAGGTTTAATCGACACGTTTAGGAAGCCGTGGCTGCTCAACAAGAAATTGGCACCGATTTGGAGCAAGTCGAAGTTCTTCAAAAGAAGTTCGACGACTTCAAGGGTGATCTCAAGGCCAATGAAGTCCGCCTCCAAGAGATGAACCAAATTGGTAAGAATCAGTTTTGAAAAAGAAAATATAGGAGATTTTCCAGCCACTGCGCTTACTTCGGTTGGACAAACTGAAACCGCAGTTCGCATTCGGCAGCAAATCGAGGATCTCAACGCCAGATGGCGTGCTCTGGAAGAACAGACGGAGCAGCGTGAACAACAGCTTGGATCTGCTCATGAAGTCCAGCGTTTCCATCGCGATGTTGATGAGACCCGTGACTGGATCCAGGTATCTAAGAGTTGAAAAAAATTAAGATAACTGGTAAAATTTAGGAGAAAGACGATGCCCTCGACAGTGACGACTTCGGTCGAGATCTTCGTTCCGTTCAAGCTCTTCAGCGCAAACACGAGGGTGTGGAGCGCGACTTGGCGGCTCTGGGAGACAAAATCAAGAGTCTCGACGAGAAGGCCAACCGCCTCCGTCAGTCTCATCCTGAAGCCGCTGAACAGATCTACGACCTGCAACGAGAGCTCAACGAACAGTGGAACAGACTTACCGCCAAGGCTAACAACCGCAAAGAGAAGCTTCTGGATTCCTATGACTACCAACGCTTCTTGTCTGACTTCCGCGACTTGATGCAATGGATCGCATCGATGAGCCAACTAGTGAGCAGCCAGGAACTGGCAAATGACGTCACTGGAGCTGAAGCGCTTCTGGAGCGTCACCAGGAATACAGGTAGCTTCTTTCTCAAGTCTTTCAGTGGACAATAATTTTAAGAACGGAAATCGATTCCCGCGCCGCCACCTTCTTGGCATTCGATCAGTTTGGTCATCAGCTTCTGAACAGCCGTCACTATGCATCTACGGACATCAACAACCGTCTGCAAGACGTGTGCCAAATGCTGAAATTCAAACTGTTTCCATTTGTGTTTTCAGGTAGCTGATGCTCGCAAGGGACTGGAAGACGCTTGGGTGGCTCGCCGCAGCATTCTCGACCAGTGCTTGGAGCTCCAGCTCTTCTACAGAGACTGCGAGCAAGCCGACACCTGGATGTCCGCTCGTGAAGCTTTCCTTGCTTCGGAAGACCCAACTGGCGACAACGTCGAATCGCTGATCAAGAAACACGAAGACTTCGACAAGGCCATCAACACACAAGAAGACAAGATCAAGGGGCTCACGGTATGATTAGAAAATTGTTTCACGTCCTAAACATTATGAATAAGTTGCAATTCTAAATCTCAAAGTTGAACGTTTCAGACTTTCGCCAACTCGCTCATCAGCCAAGGTCACTACGACGCTCCAGCGGTTGAGAAGAAGCGCGACAGCGTTCTGGACCGTTGGAACCGCCTGAAACAGGACTTGATCCAACGCAGAAGCAAGCTTGGAGAGTCCCAGACCTTGCAACAGTTCAGCCGCGACGCCGATGAAATTGAGAACTGGATTGCTGAGAAGTTCCAGGTAGACTTTCAAAGCTAAGAAAAATACTATTATACTTTTACAGGTTGCTCAAGAGGAGAACTACCGCGACCCGACCAACATCCAGCAGAAGCACCAGAAGCAGCAAGCTTTCGAAGCCGAACTTCACGCCAACTCGGACCGAATCGCCGCCCTCATCCAAGCCGGCAACAACTTGATTGAGAACGCCAAGTGCGGAGGAGGCGAAGATGCCGTCAGTGCTCGTCTGAAGGCGCTCAATGACCAATGGGAGCTCCTTGTCAAGACAACTTCCGAGAAGAGCTACCGTCTCAAGGAAGCAAACAAGCAGAAAAGTTTCATGGCTGCCGTCAAAGACCTCGAGTTCTGGCTCGGAGAGGTTGAGATCCTCCTCCAATCCGACGACTACGGCAAGGACCTCGCGTCGGTCGAAAACTTGCTCAAGAAGCATCAGCTTCTGGAGGCTGACATCCTTTCCCATCAAGACCGCGTCGGTGAAATGAATGACCAAGCCAATTCTCTTCTCGACAACGACCAGTTCCAAGGACAGCAGATTGCTGAGAGGCGCAAGGTTCGATTTCTGAAAGCTGAAAGTTTTATATTGGTTAATAATTAAGGTTATCACTGACCGTTACGACCGAGTGAAAGCTCTTGCTGCTGACAGACGCGATAAACTGAGCAAGGCTCTCAATGTCCACCAGTTCTTCCGCGACATCGATGATGAGGAATCATGGATCAAGTATAAAATGAAACAAAACCATCTTGAAACGTTTTGATTTGCAGAGAGAAGAAGCTTCTTGTGTCTTCTGACGACTATGGCCGAGACCTTCCTGGTGTTCAGAACTTGCGGCGCAAGCACCGCCGTATCGACACTGAATTGGCTAGCCACGAACCTCAGGTATCCGTTTCGGAAGGAAAAAAAATATTAATTCAATCTTCAGGTTTCTCTTGTTCGTCACAAGGGAGAGGAACTTCTCCGATCGGCTGCTGAAGCTGGAATCGGCGAGGACCAGATCCGCAAACGCATGCAAGACCTCGAAGATAGCTGGGGACAAATCAGAAATCTCACTGGCAGCCGGTAAGTGATATTCCAAAGTTTTGTCTTTTAAAAATCTTTAAATTACAGCCACCAACGCTTGGGAGAGTCTGAACAGTTCCAAGAGTTCCTTGGAGACGTTGAAGAGGAGGAAGCTTGGATGAATGAGAAACAGCAGATCCTGGGCTCTGACAACTACGGCGACAACATGGCTGGCGTCCAAGGCCTGCTCAAGAAGCACGACACCTTCCAAGTTGACCTCGAGCTCCACAAGGAGCGTGTTGCTGATCTCGTCAACCGTGGTGATAAGGTAAGAAATCTGTGCGTATTTCATGGATAATGGACGTTGTTCAGCTGATCGCTGACGGAAATCATCACGCTCCTCACATCAAGGCTCGTTGTGAACAACTGCGCAAGCGCCTTGTGGACATTGAGAAGATGGCTGGCATTCGTCTAGGAAAACTTCGCGATAACTCGGCTTACTTGCAATTCATGTGGAAGTGCGACGTTGTCGAAAGCTGGATCGGTATGTTAAACCTTCAGAAAAAAGTTTCATCAATATTTTTAGGAGAAAAGGAACAACAAGTTCGATCGGAAGACTTTGGACGAGATCTGTCCTCGGTGCAAATTCTGCTCACCAAACAGGAAGCTTTCGACGCTGGTCTCAACGCCTTCGAACATGAAGGAATTCAGAGGTGAACTTGTCAAACAAGGAAAATTTCGAAGATTTTTTTTAGAATTACTGAGCTGAAGGATCAGTTAGTGTCCAGCTCGCATCAACAGAGTCCGGCCATCGAAAAGAGACACGCTAACGTGATTCAGCGTTGGCAGCAGCTTCTTTCGCACTCTGAGGCTCGCCGCCAAAAGTTGCTCAAGATGCAGCAACAGTTCAAACAGATCGAGGTAAAGATTAACGAAAATCAGAAATACTAATGTCGGAAAAACAGGAACTGTACTTGGCTTTTGCCAAGAAGGCGTCTACCTTCAACTCGTGGTTCGAAAACGCTGAGGAAGACTTGACAGACCCAGTCCGTTGCAATTCTTTAGAGGAGATCCGTGCTCTTAGGGACGCTCATGCCGAATTCCAGGTAGCAGATTTTCTGTTGTTCTCCTACAAATAAAGTTCTTCTGCAGCGCTCGTTGTCCTCTGCAGAAGAGGACTTCCGTCAGCTGCAAGATCTTGATCGTCGGATCAAGTCCTTCAACGTTGGCCCCAACCCGTACACCTGGTTCACAATGGATGCTCTCGAAGATACTTGGCGCAATCTGCAACGAATTATCAAGGTTGACACAACTTTTTGGACGTGAGCTTCCAATGTTCAACTTCCAGGAACGCGAGCAGGAACTTGGCAAAGAGCACACTCGCCAAGACGAAAACGACAAATTGCGTCGCGAGTTTGCTAAACTGGCGAATAACTTCCACAACTGGCTGACCAACACCCGCCAAGAGATGATGGAAGTCGGCGGCTCCCTCGAAGAACAACTCGACGCCGTCAAGAGAAAAGCCGTTGAAATCCGAGGAAACAAGTCACAACTGCGGAAGATTGAAGAACATGGAGCTATGCTGGAACGGAACCTCATTCTCGACAACCGGTATATGCAACCAGACTTTCCTTCTTTCAGTTCAAAATTTTACAGATACACCGAACATTCCACTGTCGGAATCGCCCAGGCGTTTGATCAACTGGAGCAGCTGGCGATGCGAATGCAGCACAACTTGGAGCAACAGATTCAGGCTCGCAACCAGTCTGGAGTCACAGAAGAAGCCCTTCGCGAATTCTCGATGATGTTCAAGCACTTCGACAAGGTGGACCTTCTGACTGTTTGAAAAATTACAAAAATCCTCTTGAGGACAAGTCTGGCCGACTCGACCACCAGCAATTCAAGAGCTGTCTGCGGGCTCTTGGTTACGATCTGCCGATGGTCGACGAAGGACAGCCGGAACCCGAGTTTTCACGCATCCTCGGTATCGTTGATCCCAACTTGTAAGTGGAGTGTGAGTGAAAAAATTGACCTTTCATTTTCAGGGATGGTTACGTGACTCTGCAAGAGTACATGGCGTTCATGATCAGCAAGGAAACTGAGAATATCCAATCTTCTGAGGAGATTGAGATGGCTTTCCGTGCCTTGTCCAAGGAATTCCGTCCTTATGTCACTGCCGAAGAGCTTTACGCTGTCAGTTTTTTTTTTCTTATTTGAGATTCCTGTTTCAAACTCAGCGTCAAGGATTTGAAATAACTTAACTCTATGATTCATACAAAAATGAATTTTCTATCATAAGGACTTCAAGGTAATGTCCCATAGAGAGCTATACGTTTTTGTAGGTTCCATGTAACCGCAAAAGACTGAGCTGATTTTTTTTTGACAACAGAGTTTTCGAATTTCCAAAAATACGAGAGCAACCCAGGACTCGACAAAATCATAAAGAAGATACATAAAAATCAACGAGATTCCAGAACTTGACTCCCGAACAAGCCGAGTTCTGCATAAAGCGAATGAAGCCGTACACGGACGCCATCTCGGGCCGATCGATCCAAGGAGGCCTGGACTACGAACAATTCGTCCACTCCCTCTTCCACAGTTAATTTCCCAACCGAAGCTTGTCTCCTATAAATCACTGGTCTCTCAGTTTCTCCAAGTAGAATTTCTTAATGATTTGGTCATTATTGATCCCAGATTTATTGTAATTCAATTACCCTAAACTTTTTCCTAAGGTCAATTGCTAACTTTCCCTGCCATTATGGAACTTATTACTCACGCAAATGTACTCGATTCTCCGCTTTGCTGAATATTATTTTGTTATTTCTTCCGGCGGTTCTACACAATAAATATTTAAAGCTGCATCGATAAAGTCGGCTCCAATTAGACAGATTTGTTTCAACTTAAAAAAATATTTTTTTGCTTATGGATGATGATGTAAAAAAATGGCAAATATAAAAAAATTACTGGCAAAGTGTGATATCTTAATCAGTTGAAAACTTAATTTAGTTAATTTTTAAACGCGTATTTCAAAGGAGAGTTTGAAATTTCTCTCCAAAAGCTATCGCTTTTTTTGTCTATCCTTTCGACTAGACAAATAAAGGAAACAAATTTTTTTACCACTTTTTTCGAAAATAAAATGACAATCTGTTTTTTAGAAAAAATCAGTTTTACGAGTTCTTAATAAACATTCCATCTTTGACTTTTGTTAATCAACGTTTTTGACACCATGAATTTCATAAAGTTTTCAGGATTTTTCAATGAATAACTCATATCGTTACTCACGGTTGAACGAAGAAGACGGGTTGTCTCTCCCGGAATCCTCTTCAAATGTGGCTCAGGTTCTTCAGAGACAAGAAGTGAGAAATTTGTCGCACCTATACAAATTTCTCAACTTAGGAGCAATGAAAGAAACATTATTTGTTCGCGTAATTTTCCACTTTTTCGTAGTCCATTGACCAAATGCTGGGTAGCTTTGAAGATGCTATAAAATAGGGCTGATTGTCTCAAATTCAAAAGTTATCCAGCTTTGGAGGAACCCAGCAAAAAATTGATAACAAAACTATGAAAATGTCAAAAAAACGCAGAAGTTATATAAAAAAATAAGCCGCATAAAAAAAGGTGTCAGTCAAATCGAAAATATGGAATAAGCTTCTGACGACCGCAAAATTTTATCATGTAATTCCGAATTTCAATATCAATCCGTATACTATTGATCAAAAATCGTAAAACATTCAATCAATGAAAAGTTAAAATTACAGAAAATTTTACAAGATCAAGATGAAGACCTGGAATTGGTTGGAAACTCTGTTCGCACTCTCAAAGGCATGAGTCATCGAATCGGAGAAGAACTTGATACTCAATCTGTGTACGTGTAATTTCCACTGTTTTAAATATTTTTACTTGATTCAGATTGCTAGATGACTTGGGACACGACATGGACCGCGTTCAGAATACGTTGGATGGAGTCATGAAGAAAATGGCGAAGCTTTCACATTTAGACGATGGTTTGTTTTTGTTTCAACTATACCAAAAAACTGTTTTAGTTATAATGCATACACAAAAGTTTATAGCTGCGTTCAAATAAGAAGAATGGAATTATCTCTAGTTTTTACTAAGCTCAAGCTCCAATTTTTTTCGTTTTTTTAACTCAAAAAAAGCTCTTTTTTATATTTTTGTTTCGATTTTTGTATAGTCCAACTAGGGATTATAAGACTTTTTTTCCTCAAACTTATACTTATACGCAATCAATTTGCTTAATTTTGATGTTTAAGCTTTTTTTTAAATTAAAGTTTTGCAACAGGGTTCTTTTATTCATCCATTTTTGTTATTTTCACAACTTTTTTCTTTCAGATGGACGTCAATGCAAGATGATAATCATCCTTAGCGTTCTACTATTTTTCCTTGTATTTTTGCTAATTGTCTTGTGAACATGTGCTCTTCCGCTAATTGCCATTGTCAAACCCATTTTCAATTCTTCAAACCTACTACTGTGAAAGTATCTTTTTATTGTGATTCATTTCCATTTTCCTGCAAGAACTTAGCCTCAGTTTTGATCAACATTACTCATTATGTACATGAAAACAATTTTATAGGGTGACATATTGCTGGTTGTGAAAATTTTTCCTTTTTTTAAAGTAAATTTTTTTATGAATTGTTGTTCTAGAAGTTTCCATTGAAACAAATATTGCCGCAACCACAAATTTATGATGCGCTGGTACATCCATGGCCTTTATTGACCGTTATCAGTGTGTAAGCAATTCATCTGACCACAATCACTTCTTCATCGATTTACAGCTGAGAAGTACTCGGAATGCGGTGGTTCTTCGTCATTTCGGCCCTTTTCAGTGTAATTCATGGGGTTACAACAGAGATTGAAATCGACGCCAAAGGATATGTTTTGTTCTGTCCGTGTATGGGTGCGTTTTACTATCTTTGTGAAAACTTTTTTTTGAAGACTTGAAGGCCAAAATACGACAGACGCAATTAATGGTGGTATGAAAAAAAAGCCAGCGTAATTTTGAAAGGCGGCTTTTCCAATTTTTCCGTATCTTCCGGAACTTTCCGACGGCCACCTTTCCGACGAAATTTTTTCCGACTTTTTTCCCTTATGTTTTTTGGTTCATAAAACATCTATAAACATTTTTTTTCTATGTCTTGGTGTTTTTAATCATGAACAACTTGCCTACTTTATATAGGGAGATTTAAAACGGAGAGTACATCGAGAAAAAAAGTCGGAAAAAAACTCGTCGGAAAGTTCCCTAGCGATATGAAAAAATCGGAAAAATCGCCGTTTGAATTTTCGCTGGTCTTTTTTTCCTCCCACCCAATTAATAGCTTCTTTTTTGCTTTATTGAAATTTGTAAGGCTATCAAAAAAACTATGAAGTAAGTTTTTGAAAAATAATCAAGAGAACCTTCTTATTCAAAAAAATGTTGATTAACAAATACTAAAATTTTTTTGAAGAAAAATTATAAATTTAAAGTCCAAGTAGTTTTTTTGTTTGCTGCTGTGGAGTTACGGTATTTTTTCAAAAATCGGCGTTGAATTTAATTGCTTTGAAACCTCAAAAAGTCTTTTAAATAAAGTGTTACTTCAAACTTCGCTTCAAAAACAGGAAAACACACAGTAACGTCAATAAAGAAACGAAAAACAAAGTTTTCGGTCCCAAATTTCTTGTAAGGAATTCAATCTTTCTAAAACGTTCTAAAGTTGTTATGACTGTTATTTTTTTAACACTCTGATAAAGTTTCAGTTTACGAAAAAAACACCCTGCTTCAGAAACAATCAGTAAAATTAAAATTTTTTTACAAAAAAATCGTGACGAAATTTCCGTTTTTTTCGAATCTTTTTCTCACGGTAATGTAAGAATGTAGTTTGTTCTATGCGGTTTTGGAATCATTCTGTATTTCCAAATTGAAAAAGCGCCCAGAAAAGACTGATACGACTTTGAAGATTCTCAAGTTTTCAAAAACGTTTTTTTTTTCCCCGAAAATGCTTCTTTGGCAATACTTTCGTCAAAAAGCTCACTTTTTGAACGCGTATTTGCTCTGACGTTATAGAGAATTTTTGAAAATGTCTGAAATTGAAAACTCTAAGGGGTTTGCCTTACATATACTTTTCAGGACGATTTGGTAACCAGCTCGATCAACTACTTGGTGTGATGAATTTTGCTCGTTCTCTAGATCGAACGCTTGTTCTTCCATATTTCATCGAATACCATCATCCAGATACGGTGATAACTTTTTATCGGCAAACAGACATTTGGAAATTTATAGGAGCTGATTCCTTTTGAACGAATATTCAAACCGGATTCTATGAAAATGTTCGGTAGAGTTATAACTATGAACGATTTCGTCAAACATGTGATGCCCAAAGTTTGGCCAAAGGATAAGCGAATTGGTGAGTTCTCAAATGGAAATATTTTTTCAAACCGGGCTTCAGCTTTATGTTGGACCCCACGAGAAGCGATTTACGACAAGACCTTACCTCACGGTTGTCATCCACACGAGGGAAATCCTTTCGGACCGTACTGGAGCAAAGTCGGCGTGAATTTCGTCGGTGTGTTGGGCTCATTTTAGAATTAATGAATTTTATCCGATTAAGGCAACGAATATTTCGGAAAGTTACCTGGCGCATATGACCTTACTTATCCGGGCAGTCGTAAGGCTTGGATGGACAAGTAAGTTATGGAATTTGAAATCGAACACGGTTTTCAAAAGGTATCCGCCCGCAGTGCATCCGGTTCTGGCCTTTCCAAGCGCACCAGCACAATTTCCCTCAACAGCAAAAGTTTGGGATAATCAAAGGTCGGTTTATTTTTTATTATTCATGTTAACAACCTTATCAGGTATTCAAACACCGTAATTTCTGATCTTCTGCTAACAAAGCCATCTTCTTTTCTCATAATATTTTGATTCTGCCGATTGATTTTTTATTCTGTTCAGCCAGCAAAAAAATAAAATACAGTACTGTCAGAAGCGAAAAAACGTTTACCACTTCTCTGTAAGGAATTCAATCATTCTAAAATTTCCTGTAATTGTGATGAATGTTATTTTTAACGCTCTGATGAAGTATCAGTTCATAGAAAAAAACCCAGCTTCAGAAGCTATCAGAAAAATTGAATTCCTCACAAGAAAGTTTTGACCAAAATTGCGTTTTTACATATTTTTTCTGATGTTACTGTACATTCAGATCAATTTCTGATAATGAAATACTCAAGAGTCTGAATATATCATTTTACTAGGTATCTGAAATGGTCTTCGAGAGTCGTAACGGCGGCAAAGAAATTCATAAATGAGAGTCTTCCTCAGCCGTACGTTGGAGTTCATTTGCGCAACGGAGCCGATTGGGTATCCAAGTTTAAGAAAATAAATTCCTAATTTGTTTTACAGAAAAAAGCGTGTGAACATGTTGATAATCACAGTAATAAGCCCTTTTTTGCGTCCGCCCAATGTTTGGGTGAGAACCATCATCTCGGAAAACTTACCAAGGAGATTTGCATGCCCAGTAAAGCTACGATTATCAACCAGGTTGGTTAATTTGGTGAAAAAGGCTCTTACTTTTGTTGAAAAATTCACAGAAAAGTTTTTTTCAAGTTTCATAATTTGCATAGAACGGCGAGAAAAACGCTTTATCTATTTTTTAGCTTTTCAGCGAATGAACTTAAAGATTAAAACTGATAGATGTGTTCAGATTGTTGATGAAGTTGGAAGAACGGGCGCGAAATCTGTATTTGTCAGCAGCGATTCCAACCATATGCTCGATGACATCAACGAAGCTTTGAAGCCTTACGATGTGAGTTTTGTCAATAATTTCCCATTTTTTTAAACGAAATTTCAACAACATTGATTTTTTTTGTGGTTTTTAAAGAAGAAGGACGCAATTTCAAATCATTCAAATTTATCTAAAATCATTACTTTATAGGCAAACGCTATTTTGAACCTGTTCAAAGTTGAGGATAACATAAAATTTTGTTTGAAAGCTTCAAATTTTCCTGGTTTAGGTCGAAGCCGTGAAATATCCGTCAGAAGACATCTACGTTGATTTAGCGCTTCTGGGGCGTGCAGATCTTTTCATAGGAAACTGTGTTTCAACTTTTTCTAACATCGTGAAACGGGAAAGAGATTATGGGTGGAGGTTACCACGCCCGACGGCTTATTTCGGAGTGAAGCCGTTCAAGAAAAAAATATTGAATTGTAGATTTGTAGAATTGTATCCTGTATACTTTTTTTGGTTGTGCCTGTTTTTTTCACTTTGAAATTTTTTTAAAACAAGAGCTTCATGTTATTACTGTTATCTGTGTGCCATAAATTTTTTTCAAATTTCAAGTTTATTTATCCATTCCATCGTATCACGCGGGTTCAACATTCTCTAAAATCACATGAAAAAGCCACAAGAGTATGGATTACAAGCATTGCATAGTTTGTGCAAGACAATTCGAAACTATACATTTTTCCCGAATTTGGTTTCTTTTTTTCAATAATTAAACGTTTTCATGACATGTAGACAAGCTGCCATCAGGCTCTAGTTGGTTCTGAGATCGAGCATTTTGTCTGAAAATCAAGTTATATTTGAATCTTGGTCTAGGAATTCACTTTGTGGGTTGTTGTTGAAGTTCTGCTGCTGCCCGGTTACAGTTTCGGTATTCAAAGAGTTGGTTGTACGGCACGTCGTGGTTCTTGAGTTCAGACCATTTCCATTCTGAACGTCTTCCGTTGCTTCCTAAAATGAAACTCGATATTTATTTTTGTTTTCAAAAGGTGTTCACTTCATTCTTCGCCGAGAAGTACATTGTTTCTGGAACGGTGGAAGAACGAACAGGAGCCGCCTAAATTTCTATTTTTGGCTTTGGAATCTACCTCACGCTGACCTCGACCTTAGTGAAGTTTTCTTCCGTGATTCCTGAGAGTTTATCTCCAAGAGGGCTCACAATGCTAGTCACTGGAATTTGTTAATGTCTCACAAACTTCAGTCGCAATTTCAACTAAAGGTATAAGATTTCCTGCATAAAATGATGCAACATAAAGTCTTTCTTGGAAGCACAAAATCTTGTTGCAAACAGGTAATTATAGTCTGTTCACCGCCATTCACGCGAATTTTTCCGACTTGCAGAAAACTTTGAGACTGCCAGGCAAAGTTTTTCACTCTCATTGATATTCTGAAGTTTAAAAATTACAACTCATTCACTAATAAGGCTCTTTTTCTGTCCAAAGACGAAAAAACTTATACTTATTCTGTTGATTTTTTAGTTAAGTAAGATTTGGGAGAAGATTATTTTTGAAAAAATGTAAAAATTCTAGTTTTTTTCAGAACCTCCATTTTTTGTTCAAACCGTGTTTTTGGCGAGAAAGCAGTGAATAGACTATATAATAATGATAGATAAAACATGAAGACTCATATGAAAACTTCTACACTGAAATTCTGAAGAACTGGGTCACCCAAACTTTTCAAACAAGTAACTTAGAAGCCAATTTTTTGATCAGCTTATGAAGCAGCCGAAAAGGGACAATCACGACGTGCAACATGCAAGAAACATGCTAATCTCTGGGTCACACTAATTAGCAATAAAACCTACACTTGCCGTTACATAGACCTTTGAGGTTAAGGGATGTTGGGCGCGCTGAAATTTGTTAGTGAAAGATAGCAAAACTAAACTGGAAAAGTGCTATGATTGCTTTGAAATTGCATGAAAAAGCGTTGAAATATTTACCGAAAAAAACTGAAAGACAAAAGTTTCGAAAATCAAGCGTTTGGTGGGCGGAAGCGTCGCATGCCTAAGCAGTGCAAGGAAAGTGCGACTGATAGACCGCACTGAGAAATTTTTCTTTTATTAGGTTAGTTGTTTTATTATAACTGTAAAATGTGTAGTTTTCTTGGAGTAACGAACCCATCGAGTTTGAAGAAGACGTACTCATTGGAGTATCGCTTCTACGCCCGTGATTGTTCAATGGCAACTGTGATGAATGTTTTTCACACTTCTGAAATGAAATATTACCGCGCCAGCCGTTGATATAGCGTTAGGGAGGCTAACGGCCCGATTCATTCGGAAAGAATGCATCGGAAGTCCGAAGTTCTGCAGTCTCTGCAGTCTTTCTTTCCTGAAGCTATAGGTTTTCAGAACAACATGATGGAATGAATTACTTGGAAAGCATGTTGGTGATGGCCACTTCTTGACGGAGTCTGTCCAGTTTCAGCATTGATTCAACCTATAAAATTCCTTTGATATTTCTTCCAAATGAAGCTGTTTCACCGCTTGAATGCTCTTGGTATAGGCCTCAATGTAGTTCATTTTCTGGAACGGATTTCCGGAAGAAACGATGTTGGTGTCATAGCCGTTCCACTGTTCTTCATGCGTATCTCGAGCTGCCATCATCGCCAACGAGCTCCGATCCTCCATGTCTTGGGAGGACTAAAACAAATTGAATCATTTTTGCTTCAGATCTTATTTGAAATACTTTCGGAATGTGAGCCACGATGTCGTACTGCACGCCAGTTCTGTGCATGGGTTCGGCGCCCATCATCCGCTTGAAGATCTTCTCAGTCAAGCTCGCTTTTTTGTATATTTGTAGACAAATACGCTTCCGGAGAACGATATGCATCGGGCAAGGATGTGAGAGTCGGAAGATGACCTTAAACTTCACTACTTTCAAAATACTTCCTTCAGGATAACCTTGACGATTGCGTAGATCTTCTCGCCTGAGGAGCTGGGTATGTTCAAAGCTGAATTATCATGGATAGAGCTGTCCCAAGAGCAAGTAGCCGTTTGCTGAAACCTTAGATCCTCAAATGGAGGTGCCTTATTTCAACCTCTTTCTCGTTATAATTGAGAAGAGGGAGCATGAGAAGATTGCTTTCCGGTTCCATCGGCAACATGGAATGAGCTCCAGCAATTCTTGGGACATTCTAAAAAAAAATTGCATTGCATTTTCAAATTATTTTACCTCATCGCTTGACATTTCTCCAGTCATGTCATCGGAATTCAAGTCGAGGAAAAGCACAGGGATGTGTTTTTCGACTCCTTCCGGAGCTTCCCTGCAAAATGGAAAACATTTATGTTTGTTGGTAAGATTATACCAATCGCATGGAGCTCCTGGAATGTTGGAGTTTGGAGCAGGACATTCCACAGCAGTCCTTTCTTCAGTCAGGGCGACCCACTGCCCCATCAAAGAATGTTCTCGATCCAGTTCCGCCTCCGTTTTACCCGTTTTAGAAGACAACTTTAGAAAGAAAGTGAGAAATTGTTCTGTTTTTCTCACCGTGTCGAGCTGGTGCTGTAGGTAAACTTGGCGTGTCTTCAGTGCTTGCGACCATTGTTTCCGAATCACTTCCAAATCTTCTTCCTGTGACGGTTAATTTGAAAGGTATGCCATAAAATCCCACAAACCTGGTAACTGTCAATGGCTTTTTGTGTACTACCATTCTTGATAGGCTTCACGCAACCGATACTCACGGAAATGACAGAATCAATGGCCAAAGGCAAGCCTTCGATGGTTTTCGCGTCGAGACCAACGACCAGACGTCTTTGCTGTCCCTGAGAAATCGATCATGAAACTTTTAAAAGTTTTACGATTTATTTTGAATTCCACGTTGCGCTGGAAGTTTTCTTTCGAAAAGAGTTCGAATGTCATTTTTTTGAAGAAGAAGGTTTTTGGAGATTTTTTAGAACAATTTTTTTCAATTTTGTAGTAATGATTATTTGAATGAATCACAATTTTTTTTTTCTAAAATTTTTTCGCTGGTTTTTTTGTTCTATGAACTAAAAAAACATTGTCACAAAAACTCGGGAAAGTTCCGCAAAAAAATTAGTTGCGTTTTTTTCCATTTTTTTCTGATGCATTTCTTGTAAATAACAACATTATATTGATTCAACTCAAACTGAAAAACGCACCTGTCGGAGTTGATAGATTCCCCCGCAGCCGACGTCGTCGCTTTGACGACACTCCACACTACACCATTCGCCATTGTCATTGATCTCTTTTATTTCAGCCCATAATTCAACTCTTCTCGTCACTTCCATCCATCGGTTCTGAAAAGTTTTTATAAGGTATAATTTCAGGATTTTATCTCACCTGAAGAGATTTGTTCTTCTCATCAGCGTCAAGAACGCGTTCCTCTTTCTGGTCGCAAACTCGATGACCCCATACTTCGATAGAAAGGGCGTCATCTCGAACGTATTCCAAAAACTCTTCCGTCACAACCACAGAGAAATCCTGGGAATTGTACTGAATCACTAAGCTGAAACTGTGAACAAACCTTCTGGTGCTCGAAAATGACGCTTGTTGATGAAGAATTGTTATCGTGAGCTGGAGCGACCACCAACATTTCGCTCATGTTGAAGAAGGAGTATTGGCAGAAGACAAAGTTGGAGAGCTTGTCTGGGAGAGCGGAAGCTCTTTTTATCCGGACCTTGAACAGGTTTCCAATCAATAAAAATAATAATTTTCAACGTACTCGACAGTTTATCACTTTCCCGATCAACTTTTCCGGAGAGCAATCCGGATCAGAACCTAGAGGAGTTTCATAGGAGTCGTTACTCGATCCAGCTTCATCCACTCGATAGATTTGGACATGAAGTCTTCCAGTCACTTCGCCTTGTTGTGAAATTATCGGCACCCAAAATGAAAGCATAGAAAGATAAGTCGAAGTTATTTGAGTACTTGATAATCCAGACGCAAGTCATGAAACAGCACTTCCAAAAACACGTTGGCAACTCCAATCAAGTTATGATGCTCCTAAAAATTTTTTTATCATCTAAAATTGGCAAATGGTCTCACTTGGCTTTCAAAGAAGGGGTCAATGACCAAAGATGAGTCACTGCTTGGGATCGACTTCATAGGAGAATTGTTAGGCGAGGCGGATAGAGAATCGAACGACCTTGATAAACTTATATTATTAAAATTGAAAATATTAGGAAACCTATTGAACCCGTTGATCATGTCGTTATATGTTTCCCGCATATCGACGAGTCGACTTTCTAGTTGTGCAACCGACCAGAACTGGCTTCCGCTCATTCCTGCTCGGCGCACTACTATCACTGGCTCGCAAACAAAAGCTCCAGCCTGAAATCGATTTCGAAATAACAGTAGGTCTCGTCGAAAGAATCTCACCTTTATTTTGATGGGTCTTAAGTTAGAAGCAGGAATTTGAAGAGTGACATCGTAGGTCGTCTGACGCCGTGAATTTTGAGAAAGTTCTCGAGAAATCATGTTCGCTTCGCGGACCAGGGCGTTTGCGTGCACGACGTCAGCTTTCAGGCGTTTTAACGATTCGGAAAACATTTCCTCTCTGAAAAATAGTTCTCGTTGTAGTATTCGATGAGCTGGTCAAAGGAAACTAACTTTCTCTGAGCCCAATAGAAGAATTTGCTCTTGACGGACTGCTTGGGATTGTGAGGGAAAGGAAACGGCGGTAGGCCAGTCGGTGTGGTAATGGGAGTGGCGATTCCAAAGCCAGGAGTCATTGGGGTCGACGGCGTGAAGCTGCAAAACAGAATTAATTGAATCGGTAATTTTGCTGTTTCTTTTCCTCACCCGCCAGCCGTTAGGTTCTGGATGTAACGTTCGAAAGCTTCGTACTGCTGCTCCAGGGCGGCTTGCTTGTCTTCCTTGAATTTTGAGATTGAAGAATCCAAATAACAACAAAGGTACAAAAAGGGAGATTAGCTAGAGAAGTCCTTTCTTTTTTTTGATCGGAAAATTAAAAAAAGACAGGAAAATTGAGTTGAAAAATTTGCATCAAAGCAATGTTTTCTAAGTTTCCAAACACGTTTTTCAACTTTTGAGAAGATATGAAAAAACTTAACGTAACAAATTTCGCGTTTCTCAAAAATCTGAATTTTGAAATCGTTCGCCTGAGTATCATACGAATAAATATGGATTTCAAAAAGTTCAATATTGATTTTTTTCAAAATTTCAATGATTTTTTTAAATACTCAAGTTCGAAGTTTCAAACGTTTCTGATAAGCCAACCGAAAATCAGAAAAAAAAACTAACTTGATGTTTCAGGGTCACTTTCTCCATGTACTGATCAACCGCAGAAGATATAGGGTTGGCATCATTAACCTCAAAAAAATTTCAGTTATTACAAAAAAACATTTTCTTCTTACTTCATGCCAGGCATCGTTGTAGTCGAACATCGTGCTCTCTTCCATCACAGACTGCTCCATGTCCTGCAAAATAAAATAGCAAGGCACTGTTCCTAGAATCTACCTTGGGGCAATTGACTTTGAAGAAGTGATTTATACCGATGAGAATACGGTTGGCATTTCTCAGCAGTGTTTTCTCGACAATTTGCTTACCATTCACGCAAACTCTGAACTTGAAAATAATTCAAAATTAAGATTAGTGTCGATACCGAGCGTCAGAAGAGAGCGGCTCAATGAAAAGTCTGGGTTTTCCCAAGTACTCCTCGATAGACATCCTGGCATGCCTTCTCATAACTCCCAGGCCACGAAGAACAATACTCGTCCTTTCTTTGTCTTTTCCAGTGTAAACCCCTGCAAAGTTACTCTTCACAAAGCCTTGACTGAGGTATTCCACCTCCATCTTCCTTTTTGTTCAACTCTTCCAGCGAGAGGCCCATGCCTGAGTCTCTGCTTGTTTCAAGCTCCTCTGAGTTTCCGATTATTGCAGACCCCTAGAAATTCCATTTTTCAAGGAAGACATTGGAATTCTTACATTGATGTAATAAACAAGAAGCTCGTTCAGAGAAGGATCGGCGTTCATATTGACCAGGTAAAAACGATCTTTTTCTACCTTGATGCCACTTGACTCAATTGATATTCCAATATCAGCAAGGTCTCTTTGACGTTCCTAGAATTTCCTTTTTGAAAATCTTCAAGATGATAAGCACCTTATTGAGCGTATCAGTTTCTTTGAGACGTTCCTCCCAAGATTTGTTCATTTGAGCGACGAGTCGCTCGCTTTCCGCAAGCCGCTCTCGCAATTCTTCCGTTTCCTGAAAACGCTTGCATGATTAACAAAAAAAGAGAAAGAGCTGGCAAAAAAAGAAGCGAAAAGAAGAACCGCGTGTTCTTTGCGCGTCTGATTGATCTGCATCCGAAGAGTTTCAACTTCTTCGCGAAGCTCCCGAATCACTCGAGCGTTTGGATCCTGAAATAAATGATGAGACGTACAAATTTTGCGATTTACCTCATTAACGACAGCGTGATTGACAATACGTTTGGCACGATCGGCATATCTCAAGGTTGAGAGAGTTTCTTCGTAGTTATCAGAAGAAGGTGACAACGTCGCAATCATAACTGTCCTCGAATTTCCGCCGAGAGAGTCTTTCAGTAACCTGAAATCAGTAAATGAAAAAAATGACTTGAAGACAAGTTTACTAAAGTAAAAAATTTTTTTCATTCGGATGATGCCTACTTGATATTTCAGAAAAGTTTAGATTGACTGGAAACGCCGTAGTCTAACTTTCGCTTCATTGGAAAGCTTCAAATGATCCCGATTTTTTTCGAAATTAAGCTTAGTAGGCTCAGTAAGCGCTTAGCCGTTGTCATTTTTTGTCTGTATTTTTTAAATATGTTTTCTGTTTCATGTCAAATTAATCGTCAATTTTCGAGATGCAAAGAAATGAGTCCATAAGAATAGATTTTAAATTCACCATGTTAGCACAGAGTCTCGGTACGGGATGAATTTCTCCTTCTTCCCTGACCTCTCAGCAAGTGCAGAAATAACCATTCCCAGCGTCGTTAGAGACCTAAAACCGACGAAAATCTAAATATGGTCAAAAAAGTTACTTGTTGATGTTTCCGCCTTCTTCCAGCCGTTTCCCCATGGCTCCTGTCTTTCCAGCTCTTTCACTTCCAGCAAGATCCACCAAAGATATCTTGGCAACTTTCTCCCCACTGAACCCATTGTCGAGGTCGTGCAGAGTCTGAGTGACGATCAGACTGAAGACCGCGTGGGATCTTGAACTTTCGGCGTTCATATTAGTCGCAGCGACGGTCCTCGACTTGTTGCCCTCTTCCAACAGGGAAGCGATTTGCTGCAATCGAATTAGTCCGCCTTGAGTCGGCATTCAACTAACCTCGTATGTATTGACGGCCAGAATCGACAGCCCGTCGACCATGGGTCCAAGAATCTTGTGCTCACGTACTTTGAGAGACTTGTTGGACCTGAATTAAGTCCCAAATAATAACCTTTTGCTGTTTTTAGTTTTCACTTTTTTGGGTCAAGCAAGTCGCGGACGCGCTCGTTGTAAATTTCCATGTAAGACACTTCGACTTTGAATGAGAGTGTTTCATTCGTAGTTTCTTCAATGCGTTTGAAGATCTGAGTACAGATATGAGAAAGTTAGATAGGGAAAGAAGGAACCTCGTTGCAGACTCGTGGAATGATACCTGGTTGATCTGGTGTACCCATCATTGTGTAAGATTTTCCGGAACCTGGAAAAGATACGAAGAATGAGAAAACTAAAAAATCGCAGTAAAAAAATGGACATCAACTCCAAACATGTTTCAAAGAGAATACGCATCACTATCAAATATTCCAGTTTGAAATAAATAGACGTTTGTTTAGGCTGCTCTCACCTGTCTGACCGTAAGCGAAAATACAAGCATTGTATCCAGCAAAAGCGTTCTCGACAACTCCTGTTCCCAAATGAAACGAAACAGTTTCCTGACTCGCAAACTCGCGATCATGAGGATCCGTCGAACAAAATGAATGGTCGAAGGCGAAGGTTTTCGTTTGTTTCCTGGAATTAGATGTGCTCTCTATTTTTCAAATTTCATATTACTCTTCTGTTGGGTGTGTCAGAAGCGTAGTTTCCTTATTGATGCTGACCACCGACTTGGTATTGGAGTCGAGTTCTAAAAAAAAGCTAAGTTCAAGTCGAATCGATTCGAGTTGAAAGTTTGAGAAATGAATTTTTTGGAAAAAGGGTTATCCAAAATTGTTTAGCGTATAGTTTGAATCAGCTATGAATTCTTGTGACATTTTTTGAACGCCTAATAAGTTGGAAACGGTACTTCTTGTTAAGACAATATACGTTGCTAAAACAGGAAGCCTGAAATAAATCAAGAATCACATGGAATTTAAAACGACAGCTGTAAGCTTGACCCCCAAACTTCCATCTTAAGCTTGACTTTTCAAAAAAATTTCCGGGAAATTTCGTTAGTACAACATTCCTGGAATTTATGAGACATTTTCCTATCGAAATAAATATCTTTTTCCATTTCTTCAAGCTAAAAGCCTCACCACGCTTGTTGAAAGGGCGAACTCGAACCGCCACCTTGACAGCGCAATCCATGTCGAGTACTGTCATTTCTCAAATCTGACGCTCAGTTTTACTGGTAGATCATCTGCAAATGGAACAAGTGCACAGTGAGAAAAAAGTATAAATTTCTAAAGGAAGTGCGGTTTGAAGGACAAGAATGGAGTACATAAGCTAACATGGCTGGAGCAGCGTCGCAGGATTAACATCGATGCCAAAAAGAGGAGCAGTTGCGGGCCACGCCTGCCATTCCCGAACATAACAACAGAAGTGAACTATTGGTGTTTAAATAAGCTGGGAAAAAGCTTCCGAAAGTGATCGGACGCTTGAATTTCTGCAACTGACTCGGTGTCATTCTCACGCCCTTTTTAGGCGTTGGGGACGAGCGACCAACTTTTATTTCTTACTAGAGAACTTAATTGGAAAACATGCGTAAAGTTTCACTACAATTAAGATTAATCAGACTTTAGTGAAAAAAAACCCGGAAAATGATAGAAAACTTTCAAAATTTTAACTCGGTATTAATTTTTTAATGTGTTCTATCAAAGTTGAAAAAATCAAAAGAGGAATTTTTTTCTTTCTTGATCTTCAAAGTTCAGTCCAGCTGTTTTTAAAACTTTAATTCCGAATGAAAAGCCAGTGCATATTATATTTCAAAAAGATATTCAGATTTGATAGGAGACATTAAGAGAAGTAAGCAGAAGAAGAAACAAAAAAAGTTCGAAGAAAAATAATTTTCACCCTTAAATTCTCCATTAACCTCCAGCCTCATTCCTAAATTCCACTGAAAAACTTTTTGGATCTAATTTCGAACCAATAACTACTGTTATCGAGTTTTACAGATATCTTTAGAAATGAAAATTTGACAACGCTGCTTTGAGCAGTGGAAAATGTAAGAGCCTGGGATAATTGATTTTTTAAAATCTCAATGTATGACGATTTTCACTCGTTTCAGCTGGTGAGATTCATTAACCCCTCCCCTTTCCACCGCCTTATTACATTCCCCCTTGACCCTTTGATGAAACTTTGCTTAAAAGGTACTTTAGGATCTTCTAATGGCAGAACAAGAAAAAATTATCTCGCAATAGATCTGGTTTTAAGTTCAGACGCTTCAAAAGCATGAGATAGCGTTTTTGTCATAATTTGTGTAATTTGTGGAATTCAAAGCTTCTTAACTCGTAGAAAAGATTTATTGAAAGGAAGTTTTTTTTGTTCTGCAGTCGGGAAGGCCAAGTACACTTCACCGAAGTTTCATGAAAGGTTCAACCGGAAGGTAAAAAACGTTTCCTGGTTAGACCTCAACCTTCATGGTAGTACCCGACGTTTCAAAAATTATCCTGCTGTTTTTCGACTACGTAACAACAAGAAAAATTGTCTCAATGCTCAGAAATCGTGCATGTGATGCGCCAATTATTTGCAGATGGCCTTGGATGCGTTGCACAATTGCAATCGACGCTCCAGAAGCCCTTACCAGGCAAGCGGAGCCTCTCCCGACGCCACATTAACGTTCTCATTTGAAATTGATGAGACCGACCGCTCGGCGGTTTTTTGTCCAACACGGCGTTTCCTCCGAGGCCGCCGCCAGCCTCGGACACCGAAACCACGCGTCGCTCATCACGAGCCCGTTTCTGGCCTCGTTCATTAATCCGACTGAGCCTTGTGATTCTAGAGTCCCCTTGTTTTCTAATGCATGTATAATGAAGAGCACTACAAGTAAGGCTCGTAAATATGTCAGGATGGGCCCAAAATTGCTTGAAAGTGAGTGACACCTGAGCCGTCCAGACTAAACATTTTTGGGGCTCAAATAGAGCTGGTAGTATCCAAAAAACCATACATCGAAAAAATTGGAAGAATGGGACGATCGATTCAAAGTCGAAAAAAGTGATAGTTTTCTTAGAAGTCATACAAAAAGCGCGGATGAGATTGCTGATTCACCTTTAATTGAAAAATCCACTTTGTTTCAGACGAACTTGATTATGTGAAGCAATGTTCAAATAATGTTTCAAGCTCATTTAAAAACTGAAGAAAAACTGAGAATCGGATACAATTTCTGTGATAAGCAACTATTCCATAAAATTTCGTGACGAATGAAGGGAAGAGGTGCTTTGAAACGTTCTGGAAAAAATTATTTCACGAAAAAAAATGGCAAAAAGAAAAGGAGAGCTTTTTGTAGATCACAGCCCTTTGTGTGGAAGGTGGAAATAAATTTTCCTGAAAATTATCATTGATTTTGCTTCAAAGTTTTGTTTTCATAATGGTCGCAAATGTTGCTTCCCGAATGAAAGCAAAAAAAAAGAATTCCTTCACTCTGAAAAAAAAATGAAAAGAATACACCCAGAAAACAAAACAGAATACAAGACGATCGAGCAGTCGCATTTTCTGCCTTTTTTTTGGGTCAAACTAATTAAAGACGCTTTTCCAATAAAACGAGGCTCAATGCTTTCCGAAGTTTTTCCGGTTGCGTTCATTTTTTGTTTGGCTCTTTGCATACGAAAATGAGCTTTTTAATTAATTTTTCTTGTTCTGTAGGCTCTTCGGTGACGCTTCCATTGTTTGCCGGGAAGTTTCGAAAACATCAGAATAAGAGGAAAACGCGAAAAATCGGTAATTTTTAATTTAACAAATAAAATAAATACTGACTAGGGGAAGCTTTTACTTTTAAATTTTCCTTAGGACCTCCTAATTTCAAAACAAGAAAACAATTTCTCCCAAAAGACCTTGTTTTCGATTTATGAAACTGCGCAAAAAACACGGTATTTCATGCTTTTGAAGCGTCTTAACTCGAAAACCTATTGCGAAACATTATTTCTTGTTCAGGACGGTCTAAAGTACACTTTAGCAATGTTTCATCAAATGTTTAATGAGAGGGGGAGAAAAAAAGTTCCCAAGTGAGTGAAAAAAATTAACACTTGATAAATTGTTATGAAAAAAATTGTAGCTTCACAAAAAGCTTTCCACAATGAAAAAAAACCATTTCGTATTAGAAAAAGCAAATCGTATTAGAAAAATTTTTTTCCTAACCACGAGTGAATTTGAAAAAGAGATGTTTTTTTCAATCACTAAAAAAATTATCAATTTTTTTGTCAAAAAAACGAAAAAAAGTACAAGTCTAGAAGAAAACAAAATGTTGCTCAGCTGGGTCATAAAAGCCAGACGCATATCTTAATCGAGATGTGGTCGCCAATAAAAAAGAAACTACTATTGGCCTCGAGGAGAGAAAAGAGGCGTGGTTGATGGGCTCGTTGTTGGAAAATAATTCCGGTCGAGGCATCGAGCCCGAAAAACACAACGAACGCGACTTCCATCCTAATCTGTGCTCATTTGAAAGCGGCGGACCACAATAACGAGATTCGGAATCAGGGTTTAAGAATCGCCGAATAATCTTAATAAATTCTTCTAGATTTGTCGTGGAAATAAATTATTTTGGATAAGGCTCAAAAAATGCAATTTTCCAAGAAAAGATGAATATTAGAAGAAAGAATCGATAAAAAATTGCGGTATTGCGCGACTGACTAAACGGTGGGCAAATGATAAGAAAAAGTCTGATAATGGTAGTAGGTGCATGTTTTTTGATTTGTTGTGCTCTCCTTTGAAAATTTTTCCCTTAGAAATTAAAGAAAAAATAATCATACCAATGTTTTCCTTGATGAAGAAAATTGATTGAAACACAGAGTTCAGAGGGTCGAGACAAAAACAATTGTTAGTAAGTGAGCTTCCAGCCGCGTTGGAGTGTAAGAAGAACATGCATCTGTGCCGTCGAGCCGCAAAAAATACTTGCCTTTACAAAAAGCCGATCAGATCACACAAAGTTGAGAAAATCTTTCAGGAAACGAGCTTTTATTCGAGAAATATAACTATCCGTTCCATCGGACTTGTTTTAAAGAAGCGAGATTTGAAAACAAATTTGAAAGAATTCTGCTTTTTTTGGGTTAGTCATTTTGAATCAATGATTATACTGCTCCTCATGATCTTAATAAAGGGATTTCCAAGATTTTTATTACTCAAAATTTTATTAATGTACCATGAATCCCATAAAATTCCCATGAAACGTCGGTAATCGGAGTTTCCCATAACAAATTATCTGAAAAAATTATGAAGCTCGGAACTTTTTTGACATAATTCTAGCATCAAAAATTCAGATCTCCAAGTTCCCAAGAAAAAAATAAATTTTTAATTGGAAGGTGAGAAATGAGGAGAAGCGGATGGCAATAAGTGGAAAATTGGAAGGCTGAGTCTCGCCAGGGGCACAATATTCAACCCTAGCAGTGAGATTACAAACAGCCGCTGAGCGCCACGATGACCACTGAAGATATTTTTGACGCGAGGCCCGAAAGTGAACGGAAAAGCAGTCCGAGATGTCAAAGAACGGCACTAGAGGCCCGCCGAAATCCGAGGCCCAGGCATTTATTATCGGAAAGTGACAAATGATCGCTTTGTGTTGAATTTGAGAGCGACTTTCGTTGGCTTAAGAGCACGAGGAAGTAACCAATGTGTTCTTTTTCTCAGAAATTGGCTCATATATAGTTCGTCATTGAACCAATTACTGTAGACATCAAAAAAATGTGCTGCTCAAAGATGAAGTTTCAGATTTTTTTCTTTCTTGATTAAAAATTATCATTATTGATTTTTTTCGCTAAATTATGTTCAGAAGAGTTGCAAAAAAACTTTAATCGTCTTCTAAATTTCAATCTTCCTTTTGATGTCGTCTTTGTTTAATGTAATCCGAAAAAAACTTTTGAAATGGGAAAAAAATTGAACTTTTTCTGATTTTTTTAAAGGAACGCCTCGAACATTTTGATTTCTCTTCCCTTTTTGATTAAAAAAATTTAAAGATGGAAAAAAACCTGAAAAAAATCAAAAAAAATCATTACAAAATTATCTCAAATTGTACAGGTCAAAAAATCGGCAATGAAATCTAACTTAGAAAAAGGGACCGTCAGCCGATTTGCGAGATTAAAAGCATCGAAATTGGGGGGGCTATCCACGTCTGCTACATAATTGGATTGGAAAAGGAGCAAAAGGGTTCAGAGGCGTCGCAATTTTTATTGGGTAGGCAAGGATGCGACAGAATAGAAAAAAAGCAGTTTTGGGTTGTGTTGATGGGCGACGAGCAGAAGAAGAAGAAGAAGAAGAAGAAGCAACCCAGAAGGAAATGAGCCATTGTCCTGCGATGGGAATCTCGCAGCTGCCGCGGCGCCTCTGGCAGTTGCAGTTTCAACGAGAATGCTGCCATTAGAAGACAAGAAAGGATTTGTGTGTGTTGTGGGAGACGAACTTTTTTTTTTCGGAACGCAAATACATTTGTCTCTTTTTTGTACAACGACGCCTTTTGAAATAAGAAACTTCGGCCTTTTTTTCAAAATATCAGCTTGAGAAAAAGCTTGGCTTTTCCGATTTTGACAGGATGACCCAAGAAATGCTCAATACCGCTTTTTGTGAAAGTCAAAAAATAAAAAATTACTCAAGTTTGAGATGAACTAAACCTCACAAATCAGATGAAGAGTATAAATCAGATTCTTTTTTTTTTGGTAAAATACAGGTAAACTTAAATTCTTGTCTGTAGAAAAAAAACGTCAAAACTAAATTTTTTCTGAACATAAAGCGATTTTTTAGAAATTACCTGGAAGTTCTAAAAAATTTCAATATCTGATTTATACGGATTTTTTCCAACAAAAAGATGATCAAGGTAAATTTATTCAAACGTATTATGATTTCCTATCTGCCGATGGAATGAACTCTCATTTTTACAGTACCTTGGTTTTTATGTGACGGCGTCTTCGCATCGTTGGTCTCAAAGTCATTGACGCGGTTTTAAATCGTCATTTGGACATCCGAAGCGAAACAAATTGTGAGGTATTTTTGAACTTGTCCAATGAAAAAGTGAATGGAAAAAAGGCTATGAGCAAACATAAGATTTGCAATCAACAAAATGTCAGCCTCTCGGGCGCGACTTTTTGACTCAGATTGATGGAACACGTCAAAAACTCATCGCTTTCTTTTAGGACCATCTAGCTTCATGACTACAGCTGTACTTTCTTGCCTGACAAACGCATTTTAAATGAAATTTGAGTTGGTTAAAATAGAAAAAGCTACAGACTGAAAAAAACTTGAAAAAGCGGCGGGTAAAGAGTAAGTAGTTTGCGGATCAACGAACCGAACGTGTGAACAAATACAAAAGAAAAGACGAATCGGCCAGGAAGAAAAGGGGATCTAGAGGGCCGCGCAAACAGTTACTAGCGTGGGAAAGTGCGTAAAAAGCTTAGACGGCTTGTCAGTATCGTGACTGGACACAGCAAACATGCACAGGGCAGATTTATAGCTCAGTTAGGTTGTCGACCAAGGGGAGACTTCTGGCCCTATCTGAGATTTTATTGAAACCGTAAAATAGGCCTCATAAACTGTTTCTTTGACGTCGTAACTCAAACTTTTCGGAGAGAAGGCGTCCAAAGACGACCGGGTTTTAAGGATTTGAAAGGAAGCTGCCAATTTACTCGACCTTTCGAAGCTTCAAAAAACTGCAAAAAACTTTCCGTGTTCTAGATGAAGTGGCTTTTTATAGCAAATTTGCTGTTTCAATTACACTTTTTGAATTTTCAAACTTAGAGCCGCAATTTATCACGCTAGATACTTCAAAATGAACTTTCT